AGGCTCGTCTTTCATCTCACAACATGAAGGAATGTCTGAATACCCTGTGAGGACCTTAGAGAAAGCCCTAGGTCCCTGCCTCATTTTGACGGAATGCCTCACATCCCGCTGACACCTCGAGAGGCACGCGGAGTTCATTGCTTCAAAAGGTGACGATTCCTGACTCCTCATGAATACTGATAGGAATCCCAAAATCCCGGTGGCTACTGGAAATGGTCCTTGGGTGCCCTGCCTCACCTCGAGAAGCGTCCCTTTTGCCCTGCCAAGCCTCGAAGAGATTCCTGAGGTGTCCCTCGTTACCAGACAGGAGTCCTGACGTCACTGAAGAAACTCGTGTTTTGAAGGGCCATCCCCGCAGTAAGTCGGAAACATACCCCAGGTCCCCGCCGCAACTCGAGAAAAACCATGAGACTTCCCCCTAGAGGCGAGATGAGGCCCCATTCCCCTGCAGTGCATGCAGAGCTATTCCGTGATCCCATTCAAACAAGTCAGGAGCTTCGACTTGCTTAATGGATCTCGAGACAGTCCCCAGGAACACTGTCACCAGTCTAGACGGACCCTGAGGTCACCCCAGCAACGCAAAGCAGCTCCATGTGCCCCAAATCAACTCGAGATGAGGCCCGATTCCCCTGCATTGACTCCAGAGCCATTCCCCGTTCCCCATTCAACACGAACGGTGACTCGACTTCCTTCAGGCAACTCCAGAGATGCCCCGAGAACACTGTCCCAAGTCTAGAGGAACACCAATGTCAGCACAGCAACTCGAGGAATGCTCCGTGTACCCCAAATCGTCTCGAGATGAGAGCTGATTGCCTAGCTTAGGCTCAAGACGTATGCCAACTTTCCAGAAGCACCTCAGGAGGAGGCTTCTCTCAGCAATAGGTATGTGGGAGGGACCCCGTGTTTGCTGCCTCAAGGGGAATATACAGCGAGAAGCCCTAACATGAAAGGAGGCCGGATATCCTTGCAGTGGCTTGAATACAGGCTCGTCTTTCATCTCACAACATGAAGGGATGTCTCAATCCCCTGTGGAGACCTTAGAGAAAGCCCTAGATCCCTGCCTCATTTTGACGGAACGCCTCACATCCCGCTGAGACCGCGAGAGGCACGCGGAGTTCATTGCTTCAAAAGGTGACGATGCCTGACTCCTCTTGAATTCTGATAGGAATCCCAAAATCCCTGTGGCTACTGGAAAGGGTCCTTGGGTGCCCTGCCTCACCTCTAGAAGGGTCCCTTTTGCCCTGCCAAGCCTGGAAGAGATTCCTGACGTGTCCCTCGTTACTAGACAAGAGTCCTGACGTCACTGAAGAAACTCGTGTTTTGAAGGGCCATCCCCGCCGTAAGTCGAGAACATACCCCAGGTCCCCGCCGCAACTCGAGAAAAACCATGAGACTTCCCCCTAGAGGCGAGATGAGGCCCCATTCCCCTGCAGTGCATGCAGAGCTATTCCGTGATCCCATTCAAACAAGTCATGAGCTTCGACTTGCTTAAAGGATCTCGAGACAGTCCCCAGGAACACTGTCACCAGTCTAGACGGACCCTGAGGTCACCCCAGCAACACAAAGCAGCTCCATGTGCCCCAAATCAACTCGAGATGAGGCCCGATTCCCCTGCATTGACTCCAGAGCCATTCCCCGTTCCCCATTCAACACGACCGGTGGCTCGACTTCCTTCAGGCAACTCCAGAGATGCCCCGAGAACACTGTCCCAAGTCTAGAGGAACACCAACTTCAGCACAGCAACTCGAGGAATGCTCCGTGTACCCCAAATCGTCTCGAGATGAGAGATGATTCCCTGGCTTAGGCTCAAGACGTATGCCAACTTTCCAGAAGCACCTCAGGAGGAGGCTTCTCTCAGCAATAGGTATGTGGGAGGGACCCCGAGTTTGCTGCCTCAAGGGGAATATACAGCGAGAAGCCCTAACTTGAAAGGAGGCCGGATTTCCTTGCAGTGGCTTGAATACAGGCTCGTCTTTCATCTCACAACATGAAGGGATGTCTGAATCCCCTATGGAGACCTTACAGAAAGCCCTAGGTCCCTGCCTCATTTTGACGGAATGCCTCACATCCCGCTGACACGTCAAGAGGCACGCGGAGTTCATTGCTTCAAAAGGTGACGCTGCCTGACTCCTCTTGAATACTGATAGGAATTCCAAAATCCCTGTGGCTACTAGAAAGTGTCCTTGGGTGCCCTGGCTCACCTCGAGAAGCGTCCCTTTTGGCCTGCCAAGCCTCGAAAACTTTCCTGAGGTGTCCCTCGTTCCTAGACAGGAGTCCTGACGTCACTGAAGAAACTCTTGTTTTGAAGGGCCTTCCCCGCCCTAAGTCGAGAACATACCCCAGGTCCCCGCCGCAACTCTAGAAAAACCATGAGACTTCCCCCTAGAGGCGAGATGAGGCCGCATTCCCCTGCAGTGCATGCAGAGCTATTCCGTGATCCCATTCAAACAAGTCAGGAGCTTCGACTTGCTTAATGGATCTCGAGACAGTCCCCAAGAACACTGTCACCAGTCTAGACGGACCTGAGGTCACCCCATCAACGCAAAGCAGCTCCATGTGCCCCAAATCAACTCGAGATGAGGCCCGATTCCCCTGCATTGACTCCAGAGCCATTCCCCGTTCCCCATTCAACACGACCGATGGCTCGACTTCCTTCAAGCAACTCCAGAGATGCCTCGAGCACACTCTCCCAAGTCTAGAGGAACACCAACTTCAGCACAGCAACTCGAGGAATGCTCCGTGTACCCCAAATCGTCTCAAGATGAGGGCTGATTCCCTGGCTTAGGCTCAAGACGTATGCAAACTTTCCAGAAGCACCTCAGGAGGAGGCTTCTCTCAGCAATAGGTATGTGGGAGGGACCCCGAGTTTGCTGCCTCAAGGGGAATATACAGCGAGAAGCCCTAACTTGAAAGGAGGCCGGATTTCCTTGCAGTGGCTTGAATACAGGCTCGTCTTTCATCTCACAACATGAAGGAATGTCTGAATCCCCTGTGAGGACCTTAGATAAAGCCCTAGGTCCCTGCCTCATTTTGACGGAATGCCTCACATCCCGCTGACACCTCGAGAGGCAAGCGGAGTTCATTGCTTCAAAAGGTGACGATTCCTGACTCCTCTTGAATACTGATAGGAATCCCAAAATCCCGGTGGCTACTGGAAATGGTCCTTGGGTGCCCTGCCTCACCTCGAGAAGCGTCCCTTTTGCCCTGCCAAGCCTCGAAGAGATTCCTGAGGTGTCCCTCGTTACCAGACAGGAGTCCTGACGTCACTGAATAAACTCGTGTTTTGAAGGGCCATCCCCGCAGTAAGTCGGAAACATACCCCAGGTCCCCGCCGCAACTCGAGAAAAACCATGAGACTTCCCCCTAGAGGAGAGATGAGGCCCCATTCCCCTGCAGTGCATGCAGAGCTATTCCATGATCCCATTCAAACAAGTCAGGAGCTTCGACTTGCTTAATGGATCTCGAGACAGTCCCCAGGAACACTGTCACCAGTCTAGACGGACCCTGAGGTCACCCCAGCAACGCAAAGCAGCTCCATGTGCCCCAAATCAACTCGAGATGAGGCCCGATTCCCCTGCATTGACCCAAGAGCCATTCCCCGTTCCCCATTCAACACGAACGGTGGCTCGACTTCCTTCAGGCAACTCCAGAGATGCCCCGAGAACACTGTCCCAAGTCTAGAGGAACACCAACTTCAGCACAGCCACTCGAGGAATTCTCCGTGTACCCCAAATCGTCTCGAGAGGAGAGCTGATTGCCTAGCTTAGGCTCAAGACGTATGCCAACTTTCCAGAAGCACCTCAGGAGGAGGCTTCTCTCAGCAATAGGTATGTGGGAGGGACCCCGTGTTTGCTGCCTCAAGGGGAATATACAGCGAGAAGCCCTAACATGAAAGGAGGCCGGATATCCTTGCAGTGGCTTGAATACCGGCTCGTCTTTCATCTCACAACATGAAGGGATGTCTCAATCCCCTGTGGAAACCTTAGAGAAAGCCCTAGATCCCTGCCTCATTTTGACGGAACGCCTCACATCCCGCTGAGACCGCGAGAGGCACGCGGAGTTCATTGCTTCAAAAGGTGACGATGCCTGACTCTTCTTGAATACTGATAGGAATCTCAAAACCCCTGTGGCTACTGGAAATGGTCCTTGGGTGCCCTGCCTCACCTCGAGAAGCGTCCCTTTTGCCCTGCCAAGCCTCAAAGCGATTCCTGAGTTTTCCCTCGTTACTAGACAGGAGTCCTGACGTCACTGAAGAAACTCGTGTTTTGAAGGGCCATCCCCGCCGTAAGTCGAGAACATACCCCAGGTCCCCGCCGTAACTCGAGAAAAACCATGAGACTTCCCCTTAGAGGCGAGATGAGGCCCCATTCCCCTGCAGTGCATGCAGAGCTATTCCGTGATCCCATTCAAACAAGTCAGGAGCTTCGACTTGGTTAGTGGATCTCGAGACAGTGCCCAAGAACACTGTCACCAGTCTAGACGGACCCTGAGGTCACCCCAGAAATGCAAAGCAGCTCCATGTGCCCCAAATCAACTCGAGATGAGGCCCGATTCCCCAGCATTGACTCCAGAGCCATTCCCCGTTCCCCATTCAACACGACCGGTGGCTCGACTTCCTTCAGGCAACTCCAGAGATGCCCCGAGAACACTGTCCCAATTCTAGAGGAACACCAACTTCAGCACAGCAACTCGAGGAATGCTCCGTGTACCCCAAATCGTCTCGAGATGAGAGCTGATTCCTGGCTTAACCTCAAGACGTATGCCAACTTCCCAGAAGCACCTCAGGAGGAGGCTTCTCTCAGCAATAGGTATATGGGAGGGACCCCGAGTGTGCTGCCTCAAGGGGAATATACAGCGAGAAGCCCTAACTTGAAAGGAGGCCGGATTTCCTTGCAGTGGCTTGAATTCAGGTTCGTCTTTCATCTCACAACATGAAGGGATGTCTGAATCCCCTGTGGAGAACTTAGAGAAAGCCCAAGTCCCTGCCTCATTTTGACGGAATGCCTCACATCCCGCTGACACCTCGAGAGGCACGCGGAGTTCATTGCTTCAAAAGGTGACGCTGCCTGACTCCTCTTGAATACTGATAGGAATTCCAAAATCCCTGTGGCTACTGGAAAGTGTCCTTGGGTGCCCTGGCTCACCTCGAGAAGCGTCCCTTTTGGCCTGCCAAGCCTCGAAAACTTTCCTGAGGTGTCCCTCGTTACTAGACAGGAGTCCTGACGTCACTGAAGAAACTCGTGTTTTGAAGGGCCTTCCCCGCCGTAAGTCGAGAACATACCCCAGGTCCCCGCCGCAACTCGAGAAAAACCATGAGACTTCCCCCTAGAGGCGAGATAAGGCCCCATTGCCCTGCAGTGTATGCAGAGCTATTCCGTGATCCCATTCAAACAAGTCAGGAGCTTCGACTTGCTTAATGGATCTCGAGACAGTCCCCAAGAACACTGTCACCAGTCTAGACGGACCTGAGGTCACCCCACCAACGCAAAGCAGCTCCATGTGCCCCAAATCAACTCGAGATGAGGCCCGATTCCCCTGCATTGACTCCAGAGCCATTCCCCGTTCCCCATTCAACACGACCGATGGCTCGACTTCCTTCAAGCAACTCCAGAGATGCCTCGAGCACACTCTCCCAAGTCTAGAGGAACACCAACTTCAGCACAGCAACTCGAGGAATGCTCCGTGTACCCCAAATCGTCTCAAGATGAGAGCTGATTCCCTGGCTTAGGCTCAAGACGTATGCCAACTTTCCAGAAGCACCTCAGGAGGAGGCTTCTCTCAGCAATAGGTATGTGGGAGGGACCCCGAGTTTGCTGCCTCAAGTGGAATATACAGCGAGAAGCCCTAACTTGAAAGGAGGCCGGATTTCCTTGCAGTGGCTTGAATACAGGCTCGTCTTTCATCTCACAACATGAAGGAATGTCTGAATACCCTGTGAGGACCTTAGAGAAAGCCCTAGGTCCCTGCCTCATTTTGACGGAATGCCTCACATCCCGCTGACACCTCGAGAGGCACGCGGAGTTCATTGCTTCAAAAGGTGACGATTCCTGACTCCTCATGAATACTGATAGGAATCCCAAAATCCCGGTGGCTACTGGAAATGGTCCTTGGGTGCCCTGCCTCACCTCGAGAAGCGTCCCTTTTGCCCTGCCAAGCCTCGAAGAGATTCCTGAGGTGTCCCTCGTTACCAGACAGGAGTCCTGACGTCACTGAAGAAACTCGTGTTTTGAAGGGCCATCCCCGCAGTAAGTCGGAAACATACCCCAGGTCCCCGCCGCAACTCGAGAAAAACCATGAGACTTCCCCCTAGAGGCGAGATGAGGCCCCATTCCCCTGCAGTGCATGCAGAGCTATTCCGTGATCCCATTCAAACAAGTCAGGAGCTTCGACTTGCTTAATGGATCTCGAGACAGTCCCCAGGAACACTGTCACCAGTCTAGACGGACCCTGAGGTCACCCCAGCAACGCAAAGCAGCTCCATGTGCCCCAAATCAACTCGAGATGAGGCCCGATTCCCCTGCATTGACTCCAGAGCCATTCCCCGTTCCCCATTCAACACGAACGGTGACTCGACTTCCTTCAGGCAACTCCAGAGATGCCCCGAGAACACTGTCCCAAGTCTAGAGGAACACCAATGTCAGCACAGCAACTCGAGGAATGCTCCGTGTACCCCAAATCGTCTCGAGATGAGAGCTGATTGCCTAGCTTAGGCTCAAGACGTATGCCAACTTTCCAGAAGCACCTCAGGAGGAGGCTTCTCTCAGCAATAGGTATGTGGGAGGGACCCCGTGTTTGCTGCCTCAAGGGGAATATACAGCGAGAAGCCCTAACATGAAAGGAGGCCGGATATCCTTGCAGTGGCTTGAATACAGGCTCGTCTTTCATCTCACAACATGAAGGGATGTCTCAATCCCCTGTGGAGACCTTAGAGAAAGCCCTAGATCCCTGCCTCATTTTGACGGAACGCCTCACATCCCGCTGAGACCGCGAGAGGCACGCGGAGTTCATTGCTTCAAAAGGTGACGATGCCTGACTCCTCTTGAATTCTGATAGGAATCCCAAAATCCCTGTGGCTACTGGAAAGGGTCCTTGGGTGCCCTGCCTCACCTCTAGAAGGGTCCCTTTTGCCCTGCCAAGCCTGGAAGAGATTCCTGACGTGTCCCTCGTTACTAGACAAGAGTCCTGACGTCACTGAAGAAACTCGTGTTTTGAAGGGCCATCCCCGCCGTAAGTCGAGAACATACCCCAGGTCCCCGCCGCAACTCGAGAAAAACCATGAGACTTCCCCCTAGAGGCGAGATGAGGCCCCATTCCCCTGCAGTGCATGCAGAGCTATTCCGTGATCCCATTCAAACAAGTCATGAGCTTCGACTTGCTTAAAGGATCTCGAGACAGTCCCCAGGAACACTGTCACCAGTCTAGACGGACCCTGAGGTCACCCCAGCAACACAAAGCAGCTCCATGTGCCCCAAATCAACTCGAGATGAGGCCCGATTCCCCTGCATTGACTCCAGAGCCATTCCCCGTTCCCCATTCAACACGACCGGTGGCTCGACTTCCTTCAGGCAACTCCAGAGATGCCCCGAGAACACTGTCCCAAGTCTAGAGGAACACCAACTTCAGCACAGCAACTCGAGGAATGCTCCGTGTACCCCAAATCGTCTCGAGATGAGAGATGATTCCCTGGCTTAGGCTCAAGACGTATGCCAACTTTCCAGAAGCACCTCAGGAGGAGGCTTCTCTCAGCAATAGGTATGTGGGAGGGACCCCGAGTTTGCTGCCTCAAGGGGAATATACAGCGAGAAGCCCTAACTTGAAAGGAGGCCGGATTTCCTTGCAGTGGCTTGAATACAGGCTCGTCTTTCATCTCACAACATGAAGGGATGTCTGAATCCCCTATGGAGACCTTACAGAAAGCCCTAGGTCCCTGCCTCATTTTGACGGAATGCCTCACATCCCGCTGACACGTCAAGAGGCACGCGGAGTTCATTGCTTCAAAAGGTGACGCTGCCTGACTCCTCTTGAATACTGATAGGAATTCCAAAATCCCTGTGGCTACTAGAAAGTGTCCTTGGGTGCCCTGGCTCACCTCGAGAAGCGTCCCTTTTGGCCTGCCAAGCCTCGAAAACTTTCCTGAGGTGTCCCTCGTTCCTAGACAGGAGTCCTGACGTCACTGAAGAAACTCTTGTTTTGAAGGGCCTTCCCCGCCCTAAGTCGAGAACATACCCCAGGTCCCCGCCGCAACTCTAGAAAAACCATGAGACTTCCCCCTAGAGGCGAGATGAGGCCGCATTCCCCTGCAGTGCATGCAGAGCTATTCCGTGATCCCATTCAAACAAGTCAGGAGCTTCGACTTGCTTAATGGATCTCGAGACAGTCCCCAAGAACACTGTCACCAGTCTAGACGGACCTGAGGTCACCCCATCAACGCAAAGCAGCTCCATGTGCCCCAAATCAACTCGAGATGAGGCCCGATTCCCCTGCATTGACTCCAGAGCCATTCCCCGTTCCCCATTCAACACGACCGATGGCTCGACTTCCTTCAAGCAACTCCAGAGATGCCTCGAGCACACTCTCCCAAGTCTAGAGGAACACCAACTTCAGCACAGCAACTCGAGGAATGCTCCGTGTACCCCAAATCGTCTCAAGATGAGGGCTGATTCCCTGGCTTAGGCTCAAGACGTATGCAAACTTTCCAGAAGCACCTCAGGAGGAGGCTTCTCTCAGCAATAGGTATGTGGGAGGGACCCCGTGTTTGCTGCCTCAAGGGGAATATACAGCGAGAAGCCCTAACATGAAAGGAGGCCGGATATCCTTGCAGTGGCTTGAATACCGGCTCGTCTTTCATCTCACAACATGAAGGGATGTCTCAATCCCCTGTGGAAACCTTAGAGAAAGCCCTAGATCCCTGCCTCATTTTGACGGAACGCCTCACATCCCGCTGAGACCGCGAGAGGCACGCGGAGTTCATTGCTTCAAAAGGTGACGATGCCTGACTCTTCTTGAATACTGATAGGAATCTCAAAACCCCTGTGGCTACTGGAAATGGTCCTTGGGTGCCCTGCCTCACCTCGAGAAGCGTCCCTTTTGCCCTGCCAAGCCTCAAAGCGATTCCTGAGTTTTCCCTCGTTACTAGACAGGAGTCCTGACGTCACTGAAGAAACTCGTGTTTTGAAGGGCCATCCCCGCCGTAAGTCGAGAACATACCCCAGGTCCCCGCCGTAACTCGAGAAAAACCATGAGACTTCCCCTTAGAGGCGAGATGAGGCCCCATTCCCCTGCAGTGCATGCAGAGCTATTCCGTGATCCCATTCAAACAAGTCAGGAGCTTCGACTTGGTTAGTGGATCTCGAGACAGTGCCCAAGAACACTGTCACCAGTCTAGACGGACCCTGAGGTCACCCCAGAAATGCAAAGCAGCTCCATGTGCCCCAAATCAACTCGAGATGAGGCCCGATTCCCCAGCATTGACTCCAGAGCCATTCCCCGTTCCCCATTCAACACGACCGGTGGCTCGACTTCCTTCAGGCAACTCCAGAGATGCCCCGAGAACACTGTCCCAATTCTAGAGGAACACCAACTTCAGCACAGCAACTCGAGGAATGCTCCGTGTACCCCAAATCGTCTCGAGATGAGAGCTGATTCCTGGCTTAACCTCAAGACGTATGCCAACTTCCCAGAAGCACCTCAGGAGGAGGCTTCTCTCAGCAATAGGTATATGGGAGGGACCCCGAGTGTGCTGCCTCAAGGGGAATATACAGCGAGAAGCCCTAACTTGAAAGGAGGCCGGATTTCCTTGCAGTGGCTTGAATTCAGGTTCGTCTTTCATCTCACAACATGAAGGGATGTCTGAATCCCCTGTGGAGAACTTAGAGAAAGCCCAAGTCCCTGCCTCATTTTGACGGAATGCCTCACATCCCGCTGACACCTCGAGAGGCACGCGGAGTTCATTGCTTCAAAAGGTGACGCTGCCTGACTCCTCTTGAATACTGATAGGAATTCCAAAATCCCTGTGGCTACTGGAAAGTGTCCTTGGGTGCCCTGGCTCACCTCGAGAAGCGTCCCTTTTGGCCTGCCAAGCCTCGAAAACTTTCCTGAGGTGTCCCTCGTTACTAGACAGGAGTCCTGACGTCACTGAAGAAACTCGTGTTTTGAAGGGCCTTCCCCGCCGTAAGTCGAGAACATACCCCAGGTCCCCGCCGCAACTCGAGAAAAACCATGAGACTTCCCCCTAGAGGCGAGATAAGGCCCCATTGCCCTGCAGTGTATGCAGAGCTATTCCGTGATCCCATTCAAACAAGTCAGGAGCTTCGACTTGCTTAATGGATCTCGAGACAGTCCCCAAGAACACTGTCACCAGTCTAGACGGACCTGAGGTCACCCCACCAACGCAAAGCAGCTCCATGTGCCCCAAATCAACTCGAGATGAGGCCCGATTCCCCTGCATTGACTCCAGAGCCATTCCCCGTTCCCCATTCAACACGACCGATGGCTCGACTTCCTTCAAGCAACTCCAGAGATGCCTCGAGCACACTCTCCCAAGTCTAGAGGAACACCAACTTCAGCACAGCAACTCGAGGAATGCTCCGTGTACCCCAAATCGTCTCAAGATGAGAGCTGATTCCCTGGCTTAGGCTCAAGACGTATGCCAACTTTCCAGAAGCACCTCAGGAGGAGGCTTCTCTCAGCAATAGGTATGTGGGAGGGACCCCGAGTTTGCTGCCTCAAGTGGAATATACAGCGAGAAGCCCTAACTTGAAAGGAGGCCGGATTTCCTTGCAGTGGCTTGAATACAGGCTCGTCTTTCATCTCACAACATGAAGGAATGTCTGAATACCCTGTGAGGACCTTAGAGAAAGCCCTAGGTCCCTGCCTCATTTTGACGGAATGCCTCACATCCCGCTGACACCTCGAGAGGCACGCGGAGTTCATTGCTTCAAAAGGTGACGATTCCTGACTCCTCATGAATACTGATAGGAATCCCAAAATCCCGGTGGCTACTGGAAATGGTCCTTGGGTGCCCTGCCTCACCTCGAGAAGCGTCCCTTTTGCCCTGCCAAGCCTCGAAGAGATTCCTGAGGTGTCCCTCGTTACCAGACAGGAGTCCTGACGTCACTGAAGAAACTCGTGTTTTGAAGGGCCATCCCCGCAGTAAGTCGGAAACATACCCCAGGTCCCCGCCGCAACTCGAGAAAAACCATGAGACTTCCCCCTAGAGGCGAGATGAGGCCCCATTCCCCTGCAGTGCATGCAGAGCTATTCCGTGATCCCATTCAAACAAGTCAGGAGCTTCGACTTGCTTAATGGATCTCGAGACAGTCCCCAGGAACACTGTCACCAGTCTAGACGGACCCTGAGGTCACCCCAGCAACGCAAAGCAGCTCCATGTGCCCCAAATCAACTCGAGATGAGGCCCGATTCCCCTGCATTGACTCCAGAGCCATTCCCCGTTCCCCATTCAACACGAACGGTGACTCGACTTCCTTCAGGCAACTCCAGAGATGCCCCGAGAACACTGTCCCAAGTCTAGAGGAACACCAATGTCAGCACAGCAACTCGAGGAATGCTCCGTGTACCCCAAATCGTCTCGAGATGAGAGCTGATTGCCTAGCTTAGGCTCAAGACGTATGCCAACTTTCCAGAAGCACCTCAGGAGGAGGCTTCTCTCAGCAATAGGTATGTGGGAGGGACCCCGTGTTTGCTGCCTCAAGGGGAATATACAGCGAGAAGCCCTAACATGAAAGGAGGCCGGATATCCTTGCAGTGGCTTGAATACAGGCTCGTCTTTCATCTCACAACATGAAGGGATGTCTCAATCCCCTGTGGAGACCTTAGAGAAAGCCCTAGATCCCTGCCTCATTTTGACGGAACGCCTCACATCCCGCTGAGACCGCGAGAGGCACGCGGAGTTCATTGCTTCAAAAGGTGACGATGCCTGACTCCTCTTGAATTCTGATAGGAATCCCAAAATCCCTGTGGCTACTGGAAAGGGTCCTTGGGTGCCCTGCCTCACCTCTAGAAGGGTCCCTTTTGCCCTGCCAAGCCTGGAAGAGATTCCTGACGTGTCCCTCGTTACTAGACAAGAGTCCTGACGTCACTGAAGAAACTCGTGTTTTGAAGGGCCATCCCCGCCGTAAGTCGAGAACATACCCCAGGTCCCCGCCGCAACTCGAGAAAAACCATGAGACTTCCCCCTAGAGGCGAGATGAGGCCCCATTCCCCTGCAGTGCATGCAGAGCTATTCCGTGATCCCATTCAAACAAGTCATGAGCTTCGACTTGCTTAAAGGATCTCGAGACAGTCCCCAGGAACACTGTCACCAGTCTAGACGGACCCTGAGGTCACCCCAGCAACACAAAGCAGCTCCATGTGCCCCAAATCAACTCGAGATGAGGCCCGATTCCCCTGCATTGACTCCAGAGCCATTCCCCGTTCCCCATTCAACACGACCGGTGGCTCGACTTCCTTCAGGCAACTCCAGAGATGCCCCGAGAACACTGTCCCAAGTCTAGAGGAACACCAACTTCAGCACAGCCACTCGAGGAATGCTCCGTGTACCCCAAATCGTCTCGAGATGAGAGATGATTCCCTGGCTTAGGCTCAAGACGTATGCCAACTTTCCAGAAGCACCTCAGGAGGAGGCTTCTCTCAGCAATAGGTATGTGGGAGGGACCCCGAGTTTGCTGCCTCAAGGGGAATATACAGCGAGAAGCCCTAACTTGAAAGGAGGCCGGATTTCCTTGCAGTGGCTTGAATACAGGCTCGTCTTTCATCTCACAACATGAAGGGATGTCTGAATCCCCTATGGAGACCTTACAGAAAGCCCTAGGTCCCTGCCTCATTTTGACGGAATGCCTCACATCCCGCTGACACGTCAAGAGGCACGCGGAGTTCATTGCTTCAAAAGGTGACGCTGCCTGACTCCTCTTGAATACTGATAGGAATTCCAAAATCCCTGTGGCTACTAGAAAGTGTCCTTGGGTGCCCTGGCTCACCTCGAGAAGCGTCCCTTTTGGCCTGCCAAGCCTCGAAAACTTTCCTGAGGTGTCCCTCGTTCCTAGACAGGAGTCCTGACGTCACTGAAGAAACTCTTGTTTTGAAGGGCCTTCCCCGCCCTAAGTCGAGAACATACCCCAGGTCCCTGCCGCAACTCTAGAAAAACCATGAGACTTCCCCCTAGAGGCGAGATGAGGCCGCATTCCCCTGCAGTGCATGCAGAGCTATTCCGTGATCCCATTCAAACAAGTCAGGAGCTTCGACTTGCTTAATGGATCTCGAGACAGTCCCCAAGAACACTGTCACCAGTCTAGACGGACCTGAGGTCACCCCATCAACGCAAAGCAGCTCCATGTGCCCCAAATCAACTCGAGATGAGGCCCGATTCCCCTGCATTGACTCCAGAGCCATTCCCCGTTCCCCATTCAACACGACCGATGGCTCGACTTCCTTCAAGCAACTCCAGAGATGCCTCGAGCACACTCTCCCAAGTCTAGAGGAACACCAACTTCAGCACAGCAACTCGAGGAATGCTCTGTGTACCCCAAATCATCTCAAGATGAGGGCTGATTCCCTGGCTTAGGCTCAAGACGTATGCAAACTTTCCAGAAGCACCTCAGGAGGAGGCTTCTCTCAGCAATAGGTATGTGGGAGGGACCCCGAGTTTGCTGCCTCAAGGGGAATATACAGCGAGAAGCCCTAACTTGAAAGGAGGCCGGATTTCCTTGCAGTGGCTTGAATACAGGCTCGTCTTTCATCTCACAACATGAAGGAATGTCTGAATCCCCTGTGAGGACCTTAGATAAAGCCCTAGGTCCCTGCCTCATTTTGACGGAATGCCTCACATCCCGCTGACACCTCGAGAGGCAAGCGGAGTTCATTGCTTCAAAAGGTGACGATTCCTGACTCCTCTTGAATACTGATAGGAATCCCAAAATCCCGGTGGCTACTGGAAATGGTCCTTGGGTGCCCTGCCTCACCTCGAGAAGCGTCCCTTTTGCCCTGCCAAGCCTCGAAGAGATTCCTGAGGTGTCCCTCGTTACCAGACAGGAGTCCTGACGTCACTGAAGAAACTCGTGTTTTGAAGGGCCATCCCCGCAGTAAGTCGGAAACATACCCCAGGTCCCCGCCGCAACTCGAGAAAAACCATGAGACTTCCCCCTAGAGGAGAGATGAGGCCCCATTCCCCTGCAGTGCATGCAGAGCTATTCCATGATCCCATTCAAACAAGTCAGGAGCTTCGACTTGCTTAATGGATCTCGAGACAGTCCCCAGGAACACTGTCACCAGTCTAGACGGACCCTGAGGTCACCCCAGCAACGCAAAGCAGCTCCATGTGCCCCAAATCAACTCGAGATGAGGCCCGATTCCCCTGCATTGACCCAAGAGCCATTCCCCGTTCCCCATTCAACACGAACGGTGGCTCGACTTCCTTCAGGCAACTCCAGAGATGCCCCGAGAACACTGTCCCAAGTCTAGAGGAACACCAACTTCAGCACAGCCACTCGAGGAATTCTCCGTGTACCCCAAATCGTCTCGAGAGGAGAGCTGATTGCCTAGCTTAGGCTCAAGACGTATGCCAACTTTCCAGAAGCACCTCAGGAGGAGGCTTCTCTCAGCAATAGGTATGTGGGAGGGACCCCGTGTTTGCTGCCTCAAGGGGAATATACAGCGAGAAGCCCTAACATGAAAGGAGGCCGGATATCCTTGCAGTGGCTTGAATACCGGCTCGTCTTTCATCTCACAACATGAAGGGATGTCTCAATCCCCTGTGGAAACCTTAGAGAAAGCCCTAGATCCCTGCCTCATTTTGACGGAACGCCTCACATCCCGCTGAGACCGCGAGAGGCACGCGGAGTTCATTGCTTCAAAAGGTGACGATGCCTGACTCTTCTTGAATACTGATAGGAATCTCAAAACCCCTGTGGCTACTGGAAATGGTCCTTGGGTGCCCTGCCTCACCTCGAGAAGCGTCCCTTTTGCCCTGCCAAGCCTCAAAGCGATTCCTGAGTTTTCCCTCGTTACTAGACAGGAGTCCTGACGTCACTGAAGAAACTCGTGTTTTGAAGGGCCATCCCCGCCGTAAGTCGAGAACATACCCCAGGTCCCCGCCGTAACTCGAGAAAAACCATGAGACTTCCCCTTAGAGGCGAGATGAGGCCCCATTCCCCTGCAGTGCATGCAGAGCTATTCCGTGATCCCATTCAAACAAGTCAGGAGCTTCGACTTGGTTAGTGGATCTCGAGACAGTGCCCAAGAACACTGTCACCAGTCTAGACGGACCCTGAGGTCACCCCAGAAATGCAAAGCAGCTCCATGTGCCCCAAATCAACTCGAGATGAGGCCCGATTCCCCAGCATTGACTCCAGAGCCATTCCCCGTTCCCCATTCAACACGACCGGTGGCTCGACTTCCTTCAGGCAACTCCAGAGATGCCCCGAGAACACTGTCCCAATTCTAGAGGAACACCAACTTCAGCACAGCAACTCGAGGAATGCTCCGTGTACCCCAAATCGTCTCGAGATGAGAGCTGATTCCTGGCTTAACCTCAAGACGTATGCCAACTTCCCAGAAGCACCTCAGGAGGAGGCTTCTCTCAGCAATAGGTATGTGGGAGGGACCCCGAGTGTGCTGCCTCAAGGGGAATATACAGCGAGAAGCCCTAACTTGAAAGGAGGCCGGATTTCCTTGCAGTGGCTTGAATTCAGGCTCGTCTTTCATCTCACAACATGAAGGGATGTCTGAATCCCCTGTGGAGAACTTAGAGAAAGCCCAAGTCCCTGCCTCATTTTGACGGAATGCCTCACATCCCGCTGACACCTCGAGAGGCACGCGGAGTTCATTGCTTCAAAAGGTGACGCTGCCTGACTCCTCTTGAATACTGACAGGAATTCCAAAATCCCTGTGGCTACTGGAAAGTGTCCTTGGGTGCCCTGGCTCACCTCGAGAAGCGTCCCTTTTGGCCTGCCAAGCCTCGAAAACTTTCCTGAGGTGTCCCTCGTTACTAGACAGGAGTCCTGACGTCACTGAAGAAACTCGTGTTTTGAAGGGCCTTCCCCGCCGTAAGTCGAGAACATACCCCAGGTCCCCGCCGCAACTCGAGAAAAACCATGAGACTTCCCCCTAGAGGCGAGATAAGGCCCCATTGCCCTGCAGTGTATGCAGAGCTATTCCGTGATCCCATTCAAACAAGTCAGGAGCTTCGACTTGCTTAATGGATCTCGAGACAGTCCCCAAGAACACTGTCACCAGTCTAGACGGACCTGAGGTCACCCCACCAACGCAAAGCAGCTCCATGTGCCCCAAATCAACTCGAGATGAGGCCCGATTCCCCTGCATTGACTCCAGAGCCATTCCCCGTTCCCCATTCAACACGACCAATGGCTCGACTTCCTTCAAGCAACTCCAGAGATGCCTCGAGCACACTCTCCCAAGTCTAGAGGAACACCAACTTCAGCACAGCAACTCGAGGAATGCTCCGTGTACCCCAAATCGTCTCAAGATGAGAGCTGATTCCCTGGCTTAGGCTCAAGACGTATGCAAACTTTCCGGAAGCACCTCAGGAGGAGGCTTCTCTCAGCAATAGGTATGTGGGAGGGACCCCGAGTTTGCTGCCTCAAGGGGAATATACAGCGAGAAGCCCTAACTTGAAAGGAGGCCGGATTTCCTTGCAGTGGCTTGAATACAGGCTCGTCTTTCATCTCACAACATGAAGGAATGTCTGAATACCCTGTGAGGACCTTAGAGAAAGCCCTAGGTCCCTGCCTCATTTTGACGGAATGCCTCACATCCCGCTGACACCTCGAGAGGCACGCGGAGTTCATTGCTTCAAAAGGTGAGGATTCCTGACTCCTCATGAATACTGATAGGAATCCCAAAATCCCGGTGGCTACTGGAAATGGTCCTTGGGTGCCCTGCCTCACCTCGAGAAGCGTCCCTTTTGCCCTGCCAAGCCTCGAAGAGATTCCTGAGGTGTCCCTCGTTACCAGACAGGAGTCCTGACGTCACTGAAGAAACTCGTGTTTTGAAGGGCCATCCCCGCAGTAAGTCGGAAACATACCCCAGGTCCCCGCCGCAACTCGAGAAAAACCATGAGACTTCCCCCTAGAGGCGAGATGAGGCCCCATTCCCCTGCAGTGCATGCAGAGCTATTCCGTGATCCCATTCAAACAAGTCAGGAGCTTCGACTTGCTTAATGGATCTCGAGACAGTCCCCAGGAACACTGTCACCAGTCTAGACGGACCCTGAGGTCACCCCAGCAACGCAAAGCAGCTCCATGTGCCCCAAATCAACTCGAGATGAGGCCCGATTCCCCTGCATTGACTCCAGAGCCATTCCCCGTTCCCCATTCAACACGAACGGTGACTCGACTTCCTTCAGGCAACTCCAGAGATGCCCCGAGAACACTGTCCCAAGTCTAGAGGAACACCAACTTCAGCACAGCAACTCGAGGAATGCTCCGTGTACCCCAAATCGTCTCGAGATGAGAGCTGATTGCCTAGCTTAGGCTCAAGACGTATGCCAACTTTCCAGAAGCACCTCAGGAGGAGGCTTCTCTCAGCAATAGGTATGTGGGAGGGACCCCGTGTTTGCTGCCTCAAGGGGAATATACAGCGAGAAGCCCTAACATGAAAGGAGGCCGGATATCCTTGCAGTGGCTTGAATACAGGCTCGTCTTTCATCTCACAACATGAAGGGATGTCTCAATCCCCTGTGGAGACCTTAGAGAAAGCCCTAGATCCCTGCCTCATTTTGACGGAACGCCTCACATCCCGCTGAGACCGCGAGAGGCACGCGGAGTTCATTGCTTCAAAAGGTGACGATGCCTGACTCCTCTTGAATACTGATAGGAATCCCAAAATCGCTGTGGCTACTGGAAAGGGTCCTTGGGTGCCCTGCCTCACCTCGAGAAGCGTCCCTTTTGCCCTGCCAAGCCTCGAAGAGATTCCTGAAGTGTCCCTCGTTACTAGACAGGAGTCCTGACGTACTGAAGAAACTCGTGTTTTGAAGGGCCATCCCCGCCGTAAGTCGAGAACATACCACAGGTCCCCGCCGCAACTCGAGAAAAACCATGAGACTTCCCCCTAGAGGCGAGATGAGGCCCCATTCCCCTGCAGTGCATGCAGAGCTATTCTGTGATCCCATTCAAACAAGTCAGGAGCTTCGACTTGCTTAATGGATCTCGAGACAGTGCCCAAGAACACTGTCACCAGTCTAGACGGACCCTGAGGTCACCCCAGAAATGCAAAGCAGCTCCATGTGCCCCAAATCAACTCGAGATGAGGCCCGATTCCCCTGCATTGACTCCAGAGCCATTCCCCGTTCCCCATTCAACACGACCGGTGGCTCGACTTCCTTCAGGCAACTCCAGAGATGCCCCGAGAACACTGTCCCAATTCTAGAGGAACACCAACTTCAGCACAGCAACTCAAGGAATGCTCCGTGTACCCCAAATCGTCTCGAGATGAGAGCTGATTCCTGGCTTAACCTCAAGACGTATGCCAACTTCCCAGAAGCACCTCAGGAGGAGGCTTCTCTCAGCAATAGGTATGTGGGAGGGACCCCGAGTGTGCTGCCTCAAGGGGAATATACAGCGAGAAGCCCTAACTTGAAAGGAGGCCGGATTTCCTTGCAGTGGCTTGAATACAGGCTCGTCTTTCATCTCACAACATGAAGGGATGTCTGAATCCCCTGTGGAGAACTTAGAGAAAGCCCAAGTCCCTGCCTCATTTTGACGGAATGCCTCACATCCCGCTGACACCTCGAGAGGCACGCGGAGTTCATTGCTTCAAAAGGTGACGCTGCCTGACTCCTCTTGAATACTGATAGGAATTCCAAAATCCCTGTGGCTACTGGAAAGTGTCCTTGGGTGCCCTGGCTCACCTCGAGAAGCGTCCCTTTTGGCCTGCCAAGCCTCGAAAACTTTCCTGAGGTGTCCCTCGTTACTAGACAGGAGTCCTGACGTCACTGAAGAAACTCGTGTTTTGAAGGGCCTTCCCCGCCGTAAGTCGAGAACATACCCCAGGTCCCCGCCGCAACTCGAGAAAAACCATGAGACTTCCCCCTAGAGGCGAGATGAGGCCCCATTGCCCTGCAGTGTATGCAGAGCTATTCCGTGATCCCATTCAAACAAGTCAGGAGCTTCGACTTGCTTAATGGATCTCGAGACAGTCCCCAAGAACACTGTCACCAGTCTAGACGGACCTGAGGTCACCCCACCAACGCAAAGCAGCTCCATGTGCCCCAAATCAACTCGAGATGAGGCCCGATTCCCCTGCATTGACTCCAGAGCCATTCCCCGTTCCCCATTCAACACGACCGATGGCTCGACTTCCTTCAAGCAACTCCAGAGATGCCTCGAGCACACTCTCCCAAGTCTAGAGGAACACCAACTTCAGCACAGCAACTCGAGGAATGCTCCGTGTACCCCAAATCGTCTCAAGATGAGAGCTGATTCCCTGGCTTAGGCTCAAGACGTATGCCAACTTTCCAGAAGCACCTCAGGAGGAGGCTTCTCTCAGCAATAGGTATGTGGGAGGGACCCCGAGTTTGCTGCCTCAAGGGGAATATACAGCGAGAAGCCCTAACTTGAAAGGAGGCCGGATTTCCTTGCAGTGGCTTGAATACAGGCTCGTCTTTCATCTCACAACATGAAGGAATGTCTGAATACCCTGTGAGGACCTTAGAGAAAGCCCTAGGTCCCTGCCTCATTTTGACGGAATGCCTCACATCCCGCTGACACCTCGAGAGGCACGCGGAGTTCATTGCTTCAAAAGGTGACGATTCCTGACTCCTCATGAATACTGATAGGAATCCCAAAATCCCGGTGGCTACTGGAAATGGTCCTTGGGTGCCCTGCCTCACCTCGAGAAGCGTCCCTTTTGCCCTGCCAAGCCTCGAAGAGATTCCTGAGGTGTCCCTCGTTACCAGACAGGAGTCCTGACGTCACTGAAGAAACTCGTGTTTTGAAGGGCCATCCCCGCAGTAAGTCGGAAACATACCCCAGGTCCCCGCCGCAACTCGAGAAAAACCATGAGACTTCCCCCTAGAGGCGAGATGAGGCCCCATTCCCCTGCAGTGCATGCAGAGCTATTCCGTGATCCCATTCAAACAAGTCAGGAGCTTCGACTTGCTTAATGGATCTCGAGACAGTCCCCAGGAACACTGTCACCAGTCTAGACGGACCCTGAGGTCACCCCAGCAACGCAAAGCAGCTCCATGTGCCCCAAATCAACTCGAGATGAGGCCCGATTCCCCTGCATTGACTCCAGAGCCATTCCCCGTTCCCCATTCAACACGAACGGTGACTCGACTTCCTTCAGGCAACTCCAGAGATGCCCCGAGAACACTGTCCCAAGTCTAGAGGAACACCAATGTCAGCACAGCAACTCGAGGAATGCTCCGTGTACCACAAATCGTCTCGAGATGAGAGCTGATTGCCTAGCTTAGGCTCAAGACGTATGCCAACTTTCCAGAAGCACCTCAGGAGGAGGCTTCTCTCAGCAATAGGTATGTGGGAGGGACCCCGTGTTTGCTGCCTCAAGGGGAATATACAGCGAGAAGCCCTAACATGAAAGGAGGCCGGATATCCTTGCAGTGGCTTGAATACAGGCTCGTCTTTCATCTCACAACATGAAGGGATGTCTCAATCCCCTGTGGAGACCTTAGAGAAAGCCCTAGATCCCTGCCTCATTTTGACGGAACGCCACACATCCCGCTGAGACCGCGAGAGGCACGCGGAGTTCATTGCTTCAAAAGGTGACGATGCCTGACTCCTCTTGAATTCTGATAGGAATCCCAAAATCCCTGTGGCTACTGGAAAGGGTCCTTGGGTGCCCTGCCTCACCTCTAGAAGGGTCCCTTTTGCCCTGCCAAGCCTGGAAGAGATTCCTGACGTGTCCCTCGTTACTAGACAAGAGTCCTGACATCACTGAAGAAACTCGTGTTTTGAAGGGCCATCCCCGCCGTAAGTCGAGAACATACCCCAGGTCCCCGCCGCAACTCGAGAAAAACCATGAGACTTCCCCCTAGAGGCGAGATGAGGCCCCATTCCCCTGCAGTGCATGCAGAGCTATTCCGTGATCCCATTCAAACAAGTCAGGAGCTTCGACTTGCTTAAAGGATCTCGAGACAGTCCCCAGGAACACTGTCACCAGTCTAGACGGACCCTGAGGTCACCCCAGCAACACAAAGCAGCTCCATGTGCCCCAAATCAACTCGAGATGAGGCCCGATTCCCCTGCATTGACTCCAGAGCCATTCCCCGTTCCCCATTCAACACGACCGGTGGCTCGACTTCCTTCAGGCAACTCCAGAGATGCCCCGAGAACACTGTCCCAAGTCTAGAGGAACACCAACTTCAGCACAGCAACTCGAGGAATGCTCCGTGTACCCCAAATCGTCTCGAGATGAGAGATGATTCCCTGGCTTAGGCTCAAGACGTATGCCAACTTTCCAGAAGCACCTCAGGAGGAGGCTTCTCTCAGCAATAGGTATGTGGGAGGGACCCCGAGTTTGCTGCCTCAAGGGGAATATACAGCGAGAAGCCCTAACTTGAAAGGAGGCCGGATTTCCTTGCAGTGGCTTGAATACAGGCTCGTCTTTCATCTCACAACATGAAGGGATGTCTGAATCCCCTATGGAGACCTTACAGAAAGCCCTAGGTCCCTGCCTCATTTTGACGGAATGCCTCACATCCCGCTGACACGTCAAGAGGCACGCGGAGTTCATTGCTTCAAAAGGTGACGCTGCCTGACTCCTCTTGAATACTGATAGGAATTCCAAAATCCCTGTGGCTACTAGAAAGTGTCCTTGGGTGCCCTGGCTCACCTCGAGAAGCGTCCCTTTTGGCCTGCCAAGCCTCGAAAACTTTCCTGAGGTGTCCCTCGTTCCTAGACAGGAGTCCTGACGTCACTGAAGAAACTCGTGTTTTGAAGGGCCTTCCCCGCCCTAAGTCGAGAACATACCCCAGGTCCCCGCCGCAACTCTAGAAAAACCATGAGACTTCCCCCTAGAGGCGAGATGAGGCCGCATTCCCCTGCAGTGCATGCAGAGCTATTCCGTGATCCCATTCAAACAAGTCAGGAGCTTCGACTTGCTTAATGGATCTCGAGACAGTCCCCAAGAACACTGTCACCAGTCTAGACGGACCTGAGGTCACCCCATCAACGCAAAGCAGCTCCATGTGCCCCAAATCAACTCGAGATGAGGCCCGATTCCCCTGCATTGACTCCAGAGCCATTCCCCGTTCCCCATTCAACACGACCGATGGCTCGACTTCCTTCAAGCAACTCCAGAGATGCCTCGAGCACACTCTCCCAAGTCTATAGGAACACCAACTTCAGCACAGCAACTCGAGGAATGCTCCGTGTACCCCAAATCGTCTCAAGATGAGAGCTGATTCCCTGGCTTAGGCTCAAGACGTATGCAAACTTTCCAGAAGCACCTCAGGAGGAGGCTTCTCTCAGCAATAGGTATGTGGGAGGGACCCCGAGTTTGCTGCCTCAAGGGGAATATACAGCGAGAAGCCCTAACTTGAAAGGAGGCCGGATTTCCTTGCAGTGGCTTGAATACAGGCTCGTCTTTCATCTCACAACATGAAGGAATGTCTGAATCCCCTGTGAGGACCTTAGAGAAAGCCCTAGGTCCCTGCCTCATTTTGACGGAATGCCTCACATCCCGCTGACACCTCGAGAGGCACGCGGAGTTCATTGCTTCAAAAGTTGACGATTCCTGACTCCTCTTGAATACTGATAGGAATCCCAAAATCCCGGTGGCTACTGGAAATGGTCCTTGGGTGCCCTGCCTCACCTCGAGAAGCGTCCCTTTTGCCCTGCCAAGCCTCGAAGAGATTCCTGAGGTGTCCCTCGTTACCAGACAGGAGTCCTGACGTCACTGAAGAAACTCGTGTTTTGAAGGGCCATCCCCGCAGTAAGTCGGAAACATACCCCAGGTCCCCGCCGCAACTCGAGAAAAACCATGAGACTTCCCCCTAGAGGAGAGATGAGGCCCCATTCCCCTGCAGTGCATGCAGAGCTATTCCATGATCCCATTCAAACAAGTCAGGAGCTTCGACTTGCTTAATGGATCTCGAGACAGTCCCCAGGAACACTGTCACCAGTCTAGACGGACCCTGAGGTCACCCCAGCAACGCAAAGCAGCTCCATGTGCCCCAAATCAACTCGAGATGAGGCCCGATTCCCCTGCATTGACTCCAGAGCCATTCCCCGTTCCCCATTCAACACGAACGGTGGCTCGACTTCCTTCAGGCAACTCCAGAGATGCCCCGAGAACACTGTCCCAAGTCTAGAGGAACACCAACTTCAGCACAGCAACTCGAGGAATTCTCCGTGTACCCCAAATCGTCTCGAGAGGAGAGCTGATTGCCTAGCTTAGGCTCAAGACGTATGCCAACTTTCCAGAAGCACCTCAGGAGGAGGCTTCTCTCAGCAATAGGTATGTGGGAGGGACCCCGTGTTTGCTGCCTCAAGGGGAATATACAGCGAGAAGCCCTAACATGAAAGGAGGCCGGATATCCTTGCAGTGGCTTGAATACCGGCTCGTCTTTCATCTCACAACATGAAGGGATGTCTCAATCCCCTGTGGAAACCTTAGAGAAAGCCCTAGATCCCTGCCTCATTTTGACGGAACGCCTCACATCCCGCTGAGACCGCGAGAGGCACGCGGAGTTCATTGCTTCAAAAGGTGACGATGCCTGACTCTTCTTGAATACTGATAGGAATCCCAAAATCCCTGTGGCTACTGGAAAGGGTCCTTGGGTGCCCTGCCTCACCTCGAGAAGCGTCCCTTTTGCCCTGCCAAGCCTCAAAGCGATTCCTGAGTTTTCCCTCGTTACTAGACAGGAGTCCTGACGTCACTGAAGAAACTCGTGTTTTGAAGGGCCATCCCCGCCGTAAGTCGAGAACATACCCCAGGTCCCCGCCGTAACTCGAGAAAAACCATGAGACTTCCCCTTAGAGGCGAGATGAGGCCCCATTCCCCTGCAGTGCATGCAGAGCTATTCCGTGATCCCATTCAAACAAGTCAGGAGCTTCGACTTGGTTAGTGGATCTCGAGACAGTGCCCAAGAACACTGTCACCAGTCTAGACGGACCCTGAGGTCACCCCAGAAATGCAAAGCAGCTCCATGTGCCCCAAATCAACTCGAGATGAGGCCCGATTCCCCAGCATTGACTCCAGAGCCATTCCCCGTTCCCCATTCAACACGACCGGTGGCTCGACTTCCTTCAGGCAACTCCAGAGATGCCCCGAGAACACTGTCCCAATTCTAGAGGAACACCAACTTCAGCACAGCAACTCGAGGAATGCTCCGTGTACCCCAAATCGTCTCGAGATGAGAGCTGATTCCTGGCTTAACCTCAAGACGTATGCCAACTTCCCAGAAGCACCTCAGGAGGAGGCTTCTCTCAGCAATAGGTATGTGGGAGGGACCCCGAGTGTGCTGCCTCAAGGGGAATATACAGCGAGAAGCCCTAACTTGAAAGGAGGCCGGATTTCCTTGCAGTGGCTTGAATACAGGCTCGTCTTTCATCTCACAACATGAAGGGATGTCTGAATCCCCTGTGGAGAACTTAGAGAAAGCCCAAGTCCCTGCCTCATTTTGACGGAATGCCTCACATCCCGCTGACACCTCGAGAGGCACGCGGAGTTCATTGCTTCAAAAGGTGACGCTGCCTGACTCCTCTTGAATACTGATAGGAATTCCAAAATCCCTGTGGCTACTGGAAAGTGTCCTTGGGTGCCCTGGCTCACCTCGAGAAGCGTCCCTTTTGGCCTGCCAAGCCTCGAAAACTTTCCTGAGGTGTCCCTCGTTACTAGACAGGAGTCCTGACGTCACTGAAGAAACTCGTGTTTTGAAGGGCCTTCCCCGCCGTAAGTCGAGAACATACCCCAGGTCCCCGCCGCAACTCGAGAAAAACCATGAGACTTCCCCCTAGAGGCGAGATGAGGCCCCATTGCCCTGCAGTGTATGCAGAGCTATTCCGTGATCCCATTCAAACAAGTCAGGAGCTTCGACTTGCTTAATGGATCTCGAGACAGTCCCCAAGAACACTGTCACCAGTCTAGACGGACCTGAGGTCACCCCACCAACGCAAAGCAGCTCCATGTGCCCCAAATCAACTCGAGATGAGGCCCGATTCCCCTGCATTGACTCCAGAGCCATTCCCCGTTCCCCATTCAACACGACCGATGGCTCGACTTCCTTCAAGCAACTCCAGAGATGCCTCGAGCACACTCTCCCAAGTCTAGAGGAACACCAACTTCAGCACAGCAACTCGAGGAATGCTCCGTGTACCCCAAATCGTCTCAAGATGAGAGCTGATTCCCTGGCTTAGGCTCAAGACGTATGCCAACTTTCCAGAAGCACCTCAGGAGGAGGCTTCTCTCAGCAATAGGTATGTGGGAGGGACCCCGAGTTTGCTGCCTCAAGGGGAATATACAGCGAGAAGCCCTAACTTGAAAGGAGGCCGGATTTCCTTGCAGTGGCTTGAATACAGGCTCGTCTTTCATCTCACAACATGAAGGAATGTCTGAATACCCTGTGAGGACCTTAGAGAAAGCCCTAGGTCCCTGCCTCATTTTGACGGAATGCCTCACATCCCGCTGACACCTCGAGAGGCACGCGGAGTTCATTGCTTCAAAAGGTGACGATTCCTGACTCCTCATGAATACTGATAGGAATCCCAAAATCCCGGTGGCTACTGGAAATGGTCCTTGGGTGCCCTGCCTCACCTCGAGAAGCGTCCCTTTTGCCCTGCCAAGCCTCGAAGAGATTCCTGAGGTGTCCCTCGTTACCAGACAGGAGTCCTGACGTCACTGAAGAAACTCGTGTTTTGAAGGGCCATCCCCGCAGTAAGTCGGAAACATACCCCAGGTCCCCGCCGCAACTCGAGAAAAACCATGAGACTTCCCCCTAGAGGCGAGATGAGGCCCCATTCCCCTGCAGTGCATGCAGAGCTATTCCGTGATCCCATTCAAACAAGTCAGGAGCTTCGACTTGCTTAATGGATCTCGAGACAGTCCCCAGGAACACTGTCACCAGTCTAGACGGACCCTGAGGTCACCCCAGCAACGCAAAGCAGCTCCATGTGCCCCAAATCAACTCGAGATGAGGCCCGATTCCCCTGCATTGACTCCAGAGCCATTCCCCGTTCCCCATTCAACACGACCGGTGGCTCGACTTCCTTCAGGCAACTCCAGAGATGCCCCGAGAACACTGTCCCAAGTCTAGAGGAACACCAACTTCAGCACAGCAACTCGAGGAATGCTCCGTGTACCCCAAATCGTCTCGAGATGAGAGCTGATTCCCTGGCTTAGGCTCAAGACGTATGCCAACTTTCCAGAAGCACCTCAGGAGGAGGCTTCTCTCAGCAATAGGTATGTGGGAGGGACCCCGAGTTTGCTGCCTCAAGGGGAATATACAGCGAGAAGCCCTAACTTGAAAGGAGGCCGGATTTCCTTGCAGTGGCTTGAATACAGGCTCGTCTTTCATCTCACAACATGAAGGGATGTCTGAATCCCCTATGTAGACCTTAGAGAAAGCCCTAGGTCCCTGCCTCATTTTGACGGAATGCCTCACATCCCTCTGACACCTCGAGAGGCACGCGGAGTTCATTGCTTCAAAAGGTGACGCTGCCTGACTCCTCTTGAATACTGATAGGAATTCCAAAATCCCTGTGGCTACTGGAAAGTGTCCTTGGGTGCCCTGGCTCACCTCGAGAAGCGTCCCTTTTGGCCTGCCAAGCCTCGAAAACTTTCCTGAGGTGTCCCTCGTTACTAGACAGGAGTCCTGACGTCACTGAAGAAACTCGTGTTTTGAAGGGCCTTCCCCGCCGTAAGTCGAGAACATACCCCAGGTCCCCGCCGCAACTCGAGAAAAACCATGAGACTTCCCCCTAGAGGCGAGATGAGGCCCCATTGCCCTGCAGTGTATGCAGAGCTATTCCGTGATCCCATTCAAACAAGTCAGGAGCTTCGACTTGCTTAATGGATCTCGAGACAGTCCCCAAGAACACTGTCACCAGTCTAGACGGACCTGAGGTCACCCCACCAACGCAAAGCAGCTCCATGTGCCCCAAATCAACTCGAGATGAGGCCCGATTCCCCTGCATTGACTCCAGAGCCATTCCCCGTTCCCCATTCAACACGACCGATGGCTCGACTTCCTTCAAGCAACTCCAGAGATGCCTCGAGCACACTCTCCCAAGTCTAGAGGAACACCAACTTCAGCACAGCAACTCGAGGAATGCTCCGTGTACCCCAAATCGTCTCAAGATGAGAGCTGATTCCCTGGCTTAGGCTCAAGACGTATGCAAACTTTCCGGAAGCACCTCAGGATGAGGCTTCTCTCAGCAATAGGTATGTGGGAGGGACCCCGAGTTTGCTGCCTCAAGGGGAATATACAGCGAGAAGCCCTAACTTGAAAGGAGGCCGGATTTCCTTGCAGTGGCTTGAATACAGGCTCGTCTTTCATCTCACAACATGAAGGAATGTCTGAATACCCTGTGAGGACCTTAGAGAAAGCCCTAGGTCCCTGCCTCATTTTGACGGAATGCCTCACATCCCGCTGACACCTCGAGAGGCACGCGGAGTTCATTGCTTCAAAAGGTGACGATTCCTGACTCCTCATGAATACTGATAGGAATCCCAAAATCCCGGTGGCTACTGGAAATGGTCCTTGGGTGCCCTGCCTCACCTCGAGAAGCGTCCCTTTTGCCCTGCCAAGCCTCGAAGAGATTCCTGAGGTGTCCCTCGTTACCAGACATGAGTCCTGACTTCACTGAAGAAACTCGTGTTTTGAAGGGCCATCCCCGCAGTAAGTCGGAAACATACCCCAGGTCCCCGCCGCAACTCGAGAAAAACCATGAGACTTCCCCCTAGAGGCGAGATGAGGCCCCATTCCCCTGCAGTGCATGCAGAGCTATTCCATGATCCCATTCAAACAAGTCAGGAGCTTCGACTTGCTTAATGGATCTCGAGACAGTCCCCAGGAACACTGTCACCAGTCTAGACGGACCCTGAGGTCACCCCAGCAACGCAAAGCAGCTCCATGTGCCCCAAATCAACTCGAGATGAGGCCCGATTCCCCTGCATTGACTCCAGAGCCATTCCCCGTTCCCCATTCAACACGAACGGTGACTCGACTTCCTTCAGGCAACTCCAGAGATGCCCCGAGAACACTGTCCCAAGTCTAGAGGAACACCAACTTCAGCACAGCAACTCGAGGAATGCTCCGTGTACCCCAAATCGTCTCGAGATGAGAGCTGATTGCCTAGCTTAGGCTCAAGACGTATGCCAACTTTCCAGAAGCACCTCAGGAGGAGGCTTCTCTCAGCAATAGGTATGTGGGAGGGACCCCGTGTTTGCTGCCTCAAGGGGAATATACAGCGAGAAGCCCTAACATGAAAGGAGGCCGGATATCCTTGCAGTGGCTTGAATACAGGCTCGTCTTTCATCTCACAACATGAAGGGATGTCTCAATCCCCTGTGGAGACCTTAGAGAAAGCCCTAGATCCCTGCCTCATTTTGACGGAACGCCTCACATCCCGCTGAGACCGCGAGAGGCACGCGGAGTTCATTGCTTCAAAAGGTGACGATGCCTGACTCCTCTTGAATACTGATAGGAATCCCAAAATCGCTGTGGCTACTGGAAAGGGTCCTTGGGTGCCCTGCCTCACCTCGAGAAGCGTCCCTTTTGCCCTGCCAAGCCTCGAAGAGATTCCTGAAGTGTCCCTCGTTACTAGACAGGAGTCCTGACGTACTGAAGAAACTCGTGTTTTGAAGGGCCATCCCCGCCGTAAGTCGAGAACATACCACAGGTCCCCGCCGCAACTCGAGAAAAACCATGAGACTTCCCCCTAGAGGCGAGATGAGGCCCCATTCCCCTGCAGTGCATGCAGAGCTATTCCGTGATCCCATTCAAACAAGTCAGGAGCTTCGACTTGCTTAATGGATCTCGAGACAGTGCCCAAGAACACTGTCACCAGTCTAGACGGACCCTGAGGTCACCCCAGAAATGCAAAGCAGCTCCATGTGCCCCAAATCAACTCGAGATGAGGCCCGATTCCCCTGTATTGACTCCAGAGCCATTCCCCGTTCCCCATTCAACACGACCGGTGGCTCGACTTCCTTCAGGCAACTCCAGAGATGCCCCGAGAACACTGTCCCAATTCTAGAGGAACACCAACTTCAGCACAGCAACTCGAGGAATGCTCCGTGTACCCCAAATCGTCTCGAGATGAGAGCTGATTCCTGGCTTAACCTCAAGACGTATGCCAACTTCCCAGAAGCACCTCAGGAGGAGGCTTCTCTCAGCAATAGGTATGTGGGAGGGACCCCGAGTGTGCTGCCTCAAGGGGAATATACAGCGAGAAGCCCTAACTTGAAAGGAGGCCGGATTTCCTTGCAGTGGCTTGAATACAGGCTCGTCTTTCATCTCACAACATGAAGGGATGTCTGAATCCCCTGTGGAGAACTTAGAGAAAGCCCAAGTCCCTGCCTCATTTTGACGGAATGCCTCACATCCCGCTGACACCTCGAGAGGCACGCGGAGTTCATTGCTTCAAAAGGTGACGCTGCCTGACTCCTCTTGAATACTGATAGGAATTCCAAAATCCCTGTGGCTACTGGAAAGTGTCCTTGGGTGCCCTGGCTCACCTCGAGAAGCGTCCCTTTTGGCCTGCCAAGCCTCGAAAACTTTCCTGAGGTGTCCCTCGTTACTAGACAGGAGTCCTGACGTCACTGAAGAAACTCGTGTTTTGAAGGGCCTTCCCCGCCGTAAGTCGAGAACATACCCCAGGTCCCCGCCGCAACTCGAGAAAAACCATGAGACTTCCCCCTAGAGGCGAGATGAGGCCCCATTGCCCTGCAGTGTATGCAGAGCTATTCCGTGATCCCATTCAAACAAGTCAGGAGCTTCGACTTGCTTAATGGATCTCGAGACAGTCCCCAAGAACACTGTCACCAGTCTAGACGGACCTGAGGTCACCCCACCAACGCAAAGCAGCTCCATGTGCCCCAAATCAACTCGAGATGAGGCCCGATTCCCCTGCATTGACTCCAGAGCCATTCCCCGTTCCCCATTCAACACGACCGATGGCTCGACTTCCTTCAAGCAACTCCAGAGATGCCTCGAGCACACTCTCCCAAGTCTAGAGGAACACCAACTTCAGCACAGCAACTCGAGGAATGCTCCGTGTACCCCAAATCGTCTCAAGATGAGAGCTGATTCCCTGGCTTAGGCTCAAGACGTATGCCAACTTTCCAGAAGCACCTCAGGAGGAGGCTTCTCTCAGCAATAGGTATGTGGGAGGGACCCCGAGTTTGCTGCCTCAAGTGGAATATACAGCGAGAAGCCCTAACTTGAAAGGAGGCCGGATTTCCTTGCAGTGGCTTGAATACAGGCTCGTCTTTCATCTCACAACATGAAGGAATGTCTGAATACCCTGTGAGGACCTTAGAGAAAGCCCTAGGTCCCTGCCTCATTTTGACGGAATGCCTCACATCCCGCTGACACCTCGAGAGGCACGCGGAGTTCATTGCTTCAAAAGGTGACGATTCCTGACTCCTCATGAATACTGATAGGAATCCCAAAATCCCGGTGGCTACTGGAAATGGTCCTTGGGTGCCCTGCCTCACCTCGAGAAGCGTCCCTTTTGCCCTGCCAAGCCTCGAAGAGATTCCTGAGGTGTCCCTCGTTACCAGACAGGAGTCCTGACGTCACTGAAGAAACTCGTGTTTTGAAGGGCCATCCCCGCAGTAAGTCGGAAACATACCCCAGGTCCCCGCCGCAACTCGAGAAAAACCATGAGACTTCCCCCTAGAGGCGAGATGAGGCCCCATTCCCCTGCAGTGCATGCAGAGCTATTCCGTGATCCCATTCAAACAAGTCAGGAGCTTCGACTTGCTTAATGGATCTCGAGACAGTCCCCAGGAACACTGTCACCAGTCTAGACGGACCCTGAGGTCACCCCAGCAACGCAAAGCAGCTCCATGTGCCCCAAATCAACTCGAGATGAGGCCCGATTCCCCTGCATTGACTCCAGAGCCATTCCCCGTTCCCCATTCAACACGAACGGTGACTCGACTTCCTTCAGGCAACTCCAGAGATGCCCCGAGAACACTGTCCCAAGTCTAGAGGAACACCAATGTCAGCACAGCAACTCGAGGAATGCTCTGTGTACCCCAAATCGTCTCGAGATGAGAGCTGATTGCCTAGCTTAGGCTCAAGACGTATGCCAACTTTCCAGAAGCACCTCAGGAGGAGGCTTCTCTCAGCAATAGGTATGTGGGAGGGACCCCGTGTTTGCTGCCTCAAGGGGAATATACAGCGAGAAGCCCTAACATGAAAGGAGGCCGGATATCCTTGCAGTGGCTTGAATACAGGCTCGTCTTTCATCTCACAACATGAAGGGATGTCTCAATCCCCTGTGGAGACCTTAGAGAAAGCCCTAGATCCCTGCCTCATTTTGACGGAACGCCTCACATCCCGCTGAGACCGCGAGAGGCACGCGGAGTTCATTGCTTCAAAAGGTGACGATGCCTGACTCCTCTTGAATTCTGATAGGAATCCCAAAATCCCTGTGGCTACTGGAAAGGGTCCTTGGGTGCCCTGCCTCACCTCTAGAAGGGTCCCTTTTGCCCTGCCAAGCCTGGAAGAGATTCCTGACGTGTCCCTCGTTACTAGACAAGAGTCCTGACGTCACTGAAGAAACTCGTGTTTTGAAGGGCCATCCCCGCCGTAAGTCGAGAACATACCCCAGGTCCCCGCCGCAACTCGAGAAAAACCATGAGACTTCCCCCTAGAGGCGAGATGAGGCCCCATTCCCCTGCAGTGCATGCAGAGCTATTCCGTGATCCCATTCAAACAAGTCATGAGCTTCGACTTGCTTAAAGGATCTCGAGACAGTCCCCAGGAACACTGTCACCAGTCTAGACGGACCCTGAGGTCACCCCAGCAACACAAAGCAGCTCCATGTGCCCCAAATCAACTCGAGATGAGGCCCGATTCCCCTGCATTGACTCCAGAGCCATTCCCCGTTCCCCATTCAACACGACCGGTGGCTCGACTTCCTTCAGGCAACTCCAGAGATGCCCCGAGAACACTGTCCCAAGTCTAGAGGAACACCAACTTCAGCACAGCAACTCGAGGAATGCTCCGTGTACCCCAAATCGTCTCGAGATGAGAGATGATTCCCTGGCTTAGGCTCAAGACGTATGCCAACTTTCCAGAAGCACCTCAGGAGGAGGCTTCTCTCAGCAATAGGTATGTGGGAGGGACCCCGAGTTTGCTGCCTCAAGGGGAATATACAGCGAGAAGCCCTAACTTGAAAGGAGGCCGGATTTCCTTGCAGTGGCTTGAATACAGGCTCGTCTTTCATCTCACAACATGAAGGGATGTCTGAATCCCCTATGGAGACCTTACAGAAAGCCCTAGGTCCCTGCCTCATTTTGACGGAATGCCTCACATCCCGCTGACACGTCAAGAGGCACGCGGAGTTCATTGCTTCAAAAGGTGACGCTGCCTGACTCCTCTTGAATACTGATAGGAATTCCAAAATCCCTGTGGCTACTAGAAAGTGTCCTTGGGTGCCCTGGCTCACCTCGAGAAGCGTCCCTTTTGGCCTGCCAAGCCTCGAAAACTTTCCTGAGGTGTCCCTCGTTCCTAGACAGGAGTCCTGACGTCACTGAAGAAACTCTTGTTTTGAAGGGCCTTCCCCGCCCTAAGTCGAGAACATACCCCAGGTCCCCGCCGCAACTCTAGAAAAACCATGAGACTTCCCCCTAGAGGCGAGATGAGGCCGCATTCCCCTGCAGTGCATGCAGAGCTATTCCGTGATCCCATTCAAACAAGTCAGGAGCTTCGACTTGCTTAATGGATCTCGAGACAGTCCCCAAGAACACTGTCACCAGTCTAGACGGACCTGAGGTCACCCCATCAACGCAAAGCAGCTCCATGTGCCCCAAATCAACTCGAGATGAGGCCCGATTCCCCTGCATTGACTCCAGAGCCATTCCCCGTTCCCCATTCAACACGACCGATGGCTCGACTTCCTTCAAGCAACTCCAGAGATGCCTCGAGCACACTCTCCCAAGTCTAGAGGAACACCAACTTCAGCACAGCAACTCGAGGAATGCTCCGTGTACCCCAAATCGTCTCAAGATGAGGGCTGATTCCCTGGCTTAGGCTCAAGACGTATGCAAACTTTCCAGAAGCACCTCAGGAGGAGGCTTCTCTCAGCAATAGGTATGTGGGAGGGACCCCGAGTTTGCTGCCTCAAGGGGAATATACAGCGAGAAGCCCTAACTTGAAAGGAGGCCGGATTTCCTTGCAGTGGCTTGAATACAGGCTCGTCTTTCATCTCACAACATGAAGGAATGTCTGAATCCCCTGTGAGGACCTTAGATAAAGCCCTAGGTCCCTGCCTCATTTTGACGGAATGCCTCACATCCCGCTGACACCTCGAGAGGCAAGCGGAGTTCATTGCTTCAAAAGGTGACGATTCCTGACTCCTCTTGAATACTGATAGGAATCCCAAAATCCCTGTGGCTACTGGAAAGGGTCCTTGGGTGCCCTGCCTCACCTCGAGAAGCGTCCCTTTTGCCCTGCCAAGCCTCGAAGAGATTCCTGAGGTGTCCCTCGTTACCAGACAGGAGTCCTGACGTCACTGAATAAACTCGTGTTTTGAAGGGCCATCCCCGCAGTAAGTCGGAAACATACCCCAGGTCCCCGCCGCAACTCGAGAAAAACCATGAGACTTCCCCCTAGAGGAGAGATGAGGCCCCATTCCCCTGCAGTGCATGCAGAGCTATTCCATGATCCCATTCAAACAAGTCAGGAGCTTCGACTTGCTTAATGGATCTCGAGACAGTCCCCAGGAACACTGTCACCAGTCTAGACGGACCCTGAGGTCACCCCAGCAACGCAAAGCAGCTCCATGTGCCCCAAATCAACTCGAGATGAGGCCCGATTCCCCTGCATTGACTCCAGAGCCATTCCCCGTTCCCCATTCAACACGAACGGTGGCTCGACTTCCTTCAGGCAACTCCAGAGATGCCCCGAGAACACTGTCCCAAGTCTAGAGGAACACCAACTTCAGCACAGCCACTCGAGGAATTCTCCGTGTACCCCAAATCGTCTCGAGAGGAGAGCTGATTGCCTAGCTTAGGCTCAAGACGTATGCCAACTTTCCAGAAGCACCTCAGGAGGAGGCTTCTCTCAGCAATAGGTATGTGGGAGGGACCCCGTGTTTGCTGCCTCAAGGGGAATATACAGCGAGAAGCCCTAACATGAAAGGAGGCCGGATATCCTTGCAGTGGCTTGAATACCGGCTCGTCTTTCATCTCACAACATGAAGGGATGTCTCAATCCCCTGTGGAAACCTTAGAGAAAGCCCTAGATCCCTGCCTCATTTTGACGGAACGCCTCACATCCCGCTGAGACCGCGAGAGGCACGCGGAGTTCATTGCTTCAAAAGGTGACGATGCCTGACTCTTCTTGAATACTGATAGGAATCTCAAAACCCCTGTGGCTACTGGAAATGGTCCTTGGGTGCCCTGCCTCACCTCGAGAAGCGTCCCTTTTGCCCTGCCAAGCCTCAAAGCGATTCCTGAGTTTTCCCTCGTTACTAGACAGGAGTCCTGACGTCACTGAAGAAACTCGTGTTTTGAAGGGCCATCCCCGCCGTAAGTCGAGAACATACCCCAGGTCCCCGCCGTAACTCGAGAAAAACCATGAGACTTCCCCTTAGAGGCGAGATGAGGCCCCATTCCCCTGCAGTGCATGCAGAGCTATTCCGTGATCCCATTCAAACAAGTCAGGAGCTTCGACTTGGTTAGTGGATCTCGAGACAGTGCCCAAGAACACTGTCACCAGTCTAGACGGACCCTGAGGTCACCCCAGAAATGCAAAGCAGCTCCATGTGCCCCAAATCAACTCGAGATGAGGCCCGATTCCCCAGCATTGACTCCAGAGCCATTCCCCGTTCCCCATTCAACACGACCGGTGGCTCGACTTCCTTCAGGCAACTCCAGAGATGCCCCGAGAACACTGTCCCAATTCTAGAGGAACACCAACTTCAGCACAGCAACTCGAGGAATGCTCCGTGTACCCCAAATCGTCTCGAGATGAGAGCTGATTCCTGGCTTAACCTCAAGACGTATGCCAACTTCCCAGAAGCACCTCAGGAGGAGGCTTCTCTCAGCAATAGGTATGTGGGAGGGACCCCGAGTGTGCTGCCTCAAGGGGAATATACAGCGAGAAGCCCTAACTTGAAAGGAGGCCGGATTTCCTTGCAGTGGCTTGAATTCAGGCTCGTCTTTCATCTCACAACATGAAGGGATGTCTGAATCCCCTGTGGAGAACTTAGAGAAAGCCCAAGTCCCTGCCTCATTTTGACGGAATGCCTCACATCCCGCTGACACCTCGAGAGGCACGCGGAGTTCATTGCTTCAAAAGGTGACGCTGCCTGACTCCTCTTGAATACTGATAGGAATTCCAAAATCCCTGTGGCTACTGGAAAGTGTCCTTGGGTGCCCTGGCTCACCTCGAGAAGCGTCCCTTTTGGCCTGCCAAGCCTCGAAAACTTTCCTGAGGTGTCCCTCGTTACTAGACAGGAGTCCTGACGTCACTGAAGAAACTCGTGTTTTGAAGGGCCTTCCCCGCCGTAAGTCGAGAACATACCCCAGGTCCCCGCCGCAACTCGAGAAAAACCATGAGACTTCCCCCTAGAGGCGAGATAAGGCCCCATTGCCCTGCAGTGTATGCAGAGCTATTCCGTGATCCCATTCAAACAAGTCAGGAGCTTCGACTTGCTTAATGGATCTCGAGACAGTCCCCAAGAACACTGTCACCAGTCTAGACGGACCTGAGGTCACCCCACCAACGCAAAGCAGCTCCATGTGCCCCAAATCAACTCGAGATGAGGCCCGATTCCCCTGCATTGACTCCAGAGCCATTCCCCGTTCCCCATTCAACACGACCAATGGCTCGACTTCCTTCAAGCAACTCCAGAGATGCCTCGAGCACACTCTCCCAAGTCTAGAGGAACACCAACTTCAGCACAGCAACTCGAGGAATGCTCCGTGTACCCCAAATCGTCTCAAGATGAGAGCTGATTCCCTGGCTTAGGCTCAAGACGTATGCAAACTTTCCGGAAGCACCTCAGGAGGAGGCTTCTCTCAGCAATAGGTATGTGGGAGGGACCCCGAGTTTGCTGCCTCAAGGGGAATATACAGCGAGAAGCCCTAACTTGAAAGGAGGCCGGATTTCCTTGCAGTGGCTTGAATACAGGCTCGTCTTTCATCTCACATCATGAAGGAATGTCTGAATACCCTGTGAGGACCTTAGAGAAAGCCCTAGGTCCCTGCCTCATTTTGACGGAATGCCTCACATCCCGCTGACACCTCGAGAGGCACGCGGAGTTCATTGCTTCAAAAGGTGACGATTCCTGACTCCTCATGAATACTGATAGGAATCCCAAAATCCCGGTGGCTACTGGAAATGGTCCTTGGGTGCCCTGCCTCACCTCGAGAAGCGTCCCTTTTGCCCTGCCAAGCCTCGAAGAGATTCCTGAGGTGTCCCTCGTTACCAGACAGGAGTCCTGACGTCACTGAAGAAACTCGTGTTTTGAAGGGCCATCCCCGCAGTAAGTCGGAAACATACCCCAGGTCCCCGCCGCAACTCGAGAAAAACCATGAGACTTCCCTCTAGAGGCGAGATGAGGCCCCATTCCCCTGCAGTGCATGCAGAGCTATTCCGTGATCCCATTCAAACAAGTCAGGAGCTTCGACTTGCTTAATGGATCTCGAGACAGTCCCCAGGAACACTGTCACCAGTCTAGACGGACCCTGAGGTCACCCCAGCAACGCAAAGCAGCTCCATGTGCCCCAAATCAACTCGAGATGAGGCCCGATTCCCCTGCATTGACTCCAGAGCCATTCCCCGTTCCCCATTCAACACGAACGGTGACTCGACTTCCTTCAGGCAACTCCAGAGATGCCCCGAGAACACTGTCCCAAGTCTAGAGGAACACCAACTTCAGCACAGCAACTCGAGGAATGCTCCGTGTACCCCAAATCGTCTCGAGATGAGAGCTGATTGCCTAGCTTAGGCTCAAGACGTATGCCAACTTTCCAGAAGCACCTCAGGAGGAGGCTTCTCTCAGCAATAGGTATGTGGGAGGGACCCCGTGTTTGCTGCCTCAAGGGGAATATACAGCGAGAAGCCCTAACATGAAAGGAGGCCGGATATCCTTGCAGTGGCTTGAATACAGGCTCGTCTTTCATCTCACAACATGAAGGGATGTCTCAATCCCCTGTGGAGACCTTAGAGAAAGCCCTAGATCCCTGCCTCATTTTGACGGAACGCCTCACATCCCGCTGAGACCGCGAGAGGCACGCGGAGTTCATTGCTTCAAAAGGTGACGATGCCTGACTCCTCTTGAATACTGATAGGAATCCCAAAATCGCTGTGGCTACTGGAAAGGGTCCTTGGGTGCCCTGCCTCACCTCGAGAAGCGTCCCTTTTGCCCTGCCAAGCCTCGAAGAGATTCCTGAAGTGTCCCTCGTTACTAGACAGGAGTCCTGACGTACTGAAGAAACTCGTGTTTTGAAGGGCCATCCCCGCCGTAAGTCGAGAACATACCACAGGTCCCCGCCGCAACTCGAGAAAAACCATGAGACTTCCCCCTAGAGGCGAGATGAGGCCCCATTCCCCTGCAGTGCATGCAGAGCTATTCTGTGATCCCATTCAAACAAGTCAGGAGCTTCGACTTGCTTAATGGATCTCGAGACAGTGCCCAAGAACACTGTCACCAGTCTAGACGGACCCTGAGGTCACCCCAGAAATGCAAAGCAGCTCCATGTGCCCCAAATCAACTCGAGATGAGGCCCGATTCCCCTGCATTGACTCCAGAGCCATTCCCCGTTCCCCATTCAACGCGACCGGTGGCTCGACTTCCTTCAGGCAACTCCAGAGATGCCCCGAGAACACTGTCCCAATTCTAGAGGAACACCAACTTCAGCACAGCAACTCGAGGAATGCTCCGTGTACCCCAAATCGTCTCGAGATGAGAGCTGATTCCTGGCTTAACCTCAAGACGTATGCCAACTTCCCAGAAGCACCTCAGGAGGAGGCTTCTCTCAGCAATAGGTATGTGGGAGGGACCCCGAGTGTGCTGCCTCAAGGGGAATATACAGCGAGAAGCCCTAACTTGAAAGGAGGCCGGATTTCCTTGCAGTGGCTTGAATACAGGCTCGTCTTTCATCTCACAACATGAAGGGATGTCTGAATCCCCTGTGGAGAACTTAGAGAAAGCCCAAGTCCCTGCCTCATTTTGACGGAATGCCTCACATCCCGCTGACACCTCGAGAGGCACGCGGAGTTCATTGCTTCAAAAGGTGACGCTGCCTGACTCCTCTTGAATACTGATAGGAATTCCAAAATCCCTGTGGCTACTGGAAAGTGTCCTTGGGTGCCCTGGCTCACCTCGAGAAGCGTCCCTTTTGGCCTGCCAAGCCTCGAAAACTTTCCTGAGGTGTCCCTCGTTACTAGACAGGAGTCCTGACGTCACTGAAGAAACTCGTGTTTTGAAGGGCCTTCCCCGCCGTAAGTCGAGAACATACCCCAGGTCCCCGCCGCAACTCGAGAAAAACCATGAGACTTCCCCCTAGAGGCGAGATGAGGCCCCATTGCCCTGCAGTGTATGCAGAGCTATTCCGTGATCCCATTCAAACAAGTCAGGAGCTTCGACTTGCTTAATGGATCTCGAGACAGTCCCCAAGAACACTGTCACCAGTCTAGACGGACCTGAGGTCACCCCACCAACGCAAAGCAGCTCCATGTGCCCCAAATCAACTCGAGATGAGGCCCGATTCCCCTGCATTGACTCCAGAGCCATTCCCCGTTCCCCATTCAACACGACCGATGGCTCGACTTCCTTCAAGCAACTCCAGAGATGCCTCGAGCACACTCTCCCAAGTCTAGAGGAACACCAACTTCAGCACAGCAACTCGAGGAATGCTCCGTGTACCCCAAATCGTCTCAAGATGAGAGCTGATTCCCTGGCTTAGGCTCAAGACGTATGCCAACTTTCCAGAAGCACCTCAGGAGGAGGCTTCTCTCAGCAATAGGTATGTGGGAGGGACCCCGAGTTTGCTGCCTCAAGGGGAATATACAGCGAGAAGCCCTAACTTGAAAGGAGGCCGGATTTCCTTGCAGTGGCTTGAATACAGGCTCGTCTTTCATCTCACAACATGAAGGAATGTCTGAATACCCTGTGAGGACCTTAGAGAAAGCCCTAGGTCCCTGCCTCATTTTGACGGAATGCCTCACATCCCGCTGACACCTCGAGAGGCACGCGGAGTTCATTGCTTCAAAAGGTGACGATTCCTGACTCCTCATGAATACTGATAGGAATCCCAAAATCCCGGTGGCTACTGGAAATGGTCCTTGGGTGCCCTGCCTCACCTCGAGAAGCGTCCCTTTTGCCCTGCCAAGCCTCGAAGAGATTCCTGAGGTGTCCCTCGTTACCAGACAGGAGTCCTGACGTCACTGAAGAAACTCGTGTTTTGAAGGGCCATCCCCGCAGTAAGTCGGAAACATACCCCAGGTCCCCGCCGCAACTCGAGAAAAACCATGAGACTTCCCCCTAGAGGCGAGATGAGGCCCCATTCCCCTGCAGTGCATGCAGAGCTATTCCGTGATCCCATTCAAACAAGTCAGGAGCTTCGACTTGCTTAATGGATCTCGAGACAGTCCCCAGGAACACTGTCACCAGTCTAGACGGACCCTGAGGTCACCCCAGCAACGCAAAGCAGCTCCATGTGCCCCAAATCAACTCGAGATGAGGCCCGATTCCCCTGCATTGACTCCAGAGCCATTCCCCGTTCCCCATTCAACACGAACGGTGACTCGACTTCCTTCAGGCAACTCCAGAGATGCCCCGAGAACACTGTCCCAAGTCTAGAGGAACACCAATGTCAGCACAGCAACTCGAGGAATGCTCCGTGTACCCCAAATCGTCTCGAGATGAGAGCTGATTGCCTAGCTTAGGCTCAAGACGTATGCCAACTTTCCAGAAGCACCTCAGGAGGAGGCTTCTCTCAGCAATAGGTATGTGGGAGGGACCCCGTGTTTGCTGCCTCAAGGGGAATATACAGCGAGAAGCCCTAACATGAAAGGAGGCCGGATATCCTTGCAGTGGCTTGAATACAGGCTCGTCTTTCATCTCACAACATGAAGGGATGTCTCAATCCCCTGTGGAGACCTTAGAGAAAGCCCTAGATCCCTGCCTCATTTTGACGGAACGCCACACATCCCGCTGAGACCGCGAGAGGCACGCGGAGTTCATTGCTTCAAAAGGTGACGATGCCTGACTCCTCTTGAATTCTGATAGGAATCCCAAAATCCCTGTGGCTACTGGAAAGGGTCCTTGGGTGCCCTGCCTCACCTCTAGAAGGGTCCCTTTTGCCCTGCCAAGCCTGGAAGAGATTCCTGACGTGTCCCTCGTTACTAGACAAGAGTCCTGACATCACTGAAGAAACTCGTGTTTTGAAGGGCCATCCCCGCCGTAAGTCGAGAACATACCCCAGGTCCCCGCCGCAACTCGAGAAAAACCATGAGACTTCCCCCTAGAGGCGAGATGAGGCCCCATTCCCCTGCAGTGCATGCAGAGCTATTCCGTGATCCCATTCAAACAAGTCAGGAGCTTCGACTTGCTTAAAGGATCTCGAGACAGTCCCCAGGAACACTGTCACCAGTCTAGACGGACCCTGAGGTCACCCCAGAAATGCAAAGCAGCTCCATGTGCCCCAAATCAACTCGAGATGAGGCCCGATTCCCCAGCATTGACTCCAGAGCCATTCCCCGTTCCCCATTCAACACGACCGGTGGCTCGACTTCCTTCAGGCAACTCCAGAGATGCCCCGAGAACACTGTCCCAATTCTAGAGGAACACCAACTTCAGCACAGCAACTCGAGGAATGCTCCGTGTACCCCAAATCGTCTCGAGATGAGAGCTGATTCCTGGCTTAACCTCAAGACGTATGCCAACTTCCCAGAAGCACCTCAGGAGGAGGCTTCTCTCAGCAATAGGTATGTGGGAGGGACCCCGAGTGTGCTGCCTCAAGGGGAATATACAGCGAGAAGCCCTAACTTGAAAGGAGGCCGGATTTCCTTGCAGTGGCTTGAATACAGGCTCGTCTTTCATCTCACAACATGAAGGGATGTCTGAATCCCCTGTGGAGAACTTAGAGAAAGCCCAAGTCCCTGCCTCATTTTGACGGAATGCCTCACATCCCGCTGACACCTCGAGAGGCACGCGGAGTTCATTGCTTCAAAAGGTGACGCTGCCTGACTCCTCTTGAATACTGATAGGAATTCCAAAATCCCTGTGGCTACTGGAAAGTGTCCTTGGGTGCCCTGGCTCACCTCGAGAAGCGTCCCTTTTGGCCTGCCAAGCCTCGAAAACTTTCCTGAGGTGTCCCTCGTTACTAGACAGGAGTCCTGACGTCACTGAAGAAACTCGTGTTTTGAAGGGCCTTCCCCGCCGTAAGTCGAGAACATACCCCAGGTCCCCGCCGCAACTCGAGAAAAACCATGAGACTTCCCCCTAGAGGCGAGATGAGGCCCCATTGCCCTGCAGTGTATGCAGAGCTATTCCGTGATCCCATTCAAACAAGTCAGGAGCTTCGACTTGCTTAATGGATCTCGAGACAGTCCCCAAGAACACTGTCACCAGTCTAGACGGACCTGAGGTCACCCCACCAACGCAAAGCAGCTCCATGTGCCCCAAATCAACTCGAGATGAGGCCCGATTCCCCTGCATTGACTCCAGAGCCATTCCCCGTTCCCCATTCAACACGACCGATGGCTCGACTTCCTTCAAGCAACTCCAGAGATGCCTCGAGCACACTCTCCCAAGTCTAGAGGAACACCAACTTCAGCACAGCAACTCGAGGAATGCTCCGTGTACCCCAAATCGTCTCAAGATGAGAGCTGATTCCCTGGCTTAGGCTCAAGACGTATGCCAACTTTCCAGAAGCACCTCAGGAGGAGGCTTCTCTCAGCAATAGGTATGTGGGAGGGACCCCGAGTTTGCTGCCTCAAGGGGAATATACAGCGAGAAGCCCTAACTTGAAAGGAGGCCGGATTTCCTTGCAGTGGCTTGAATACAGGCTCGTCTTTCATCTCACAACATGAAGGAATGTCTGAATACCCTGTGAGGACCTTAGAGAAAGCCCTAGGTCCCTGCCTCATTTTGACGGAATGCCTCACATCCCGCTGACACCTCGAGAGGCACGCGGAGTTCATTGCTTCAAAAGGTGACGATTCCTGACTCCTCATGAATACTGATAGGAATCCCAAAATCCCGGTGGCTACTGGAAATGGTCCTTGGGTGCCCTGCCTCACCTCGAGAAGCGTCCCTTTTGCCCTGCCAAGCCTCGAAGAGATTCCTGAGGTGTCCCTCGTTACCAGACAGGAGTCCTGACGTCACTGAAGAAACTCGTGTTTTGAAGGGCCATCCCCGCAGTAAGTCGGAAACATACCCCAGGTCCCCGCCGCAACTCGAGAAAAACCATGAGACTTCCCCCTAGAGGCGAGATGAGGCCCCATTCCCCTGCAGTGCATGCAGAGCTATTCCGTGATCCCATTCAAACAAGTCAGGAGCTTCGACTTGCTTAATGGATCTCGAGACAGTCCCCAGGAACACTGTCACCAGTCTAGACGGACCCTGAGGTCACCCCAGCAACGCAAAGCAGCTCCATGTGCCCCAAATCAACTCGAGATGAGGCCCGATTCCCCTGCATTGACTCCAGAGCCATTCCCCGTTCCCCATTCAACACGACCGGTGGCTCGACTTCCTTCAGGCAACTCCAGAGATGCCCCGAGAACACTGTCCCAAGTCTAGAGGAACACCAACTTCAGCACAGCAACTCGAGGAATGCTCCGTGTACCCCAAATCGTCTCGAGATGAGAGCTGATTCCCTGGCTTAGGCTCAAGACGTATGCCAACTTTCCAGAAGCACCTCAGGAGGAGGCTTCTCTCAGCAATAGGTATGTGGGAGGGACCCCGAGTTTGCTGCCTCAAGGGGAATATACAGCGAGAAGCCCTAACATGAAAGGAGGCCGGATATCCTTGCAGTGGCTTGAATACAGGCTCGTCTTTCATCTCACAACATGAAGGGATGTCTCAATCCCCTGTGGAGACCTTAGAGAAAGCCCTAGATCCCTGCCTCATTTTGACGGAACGCCTCACATCCCGCTGAGACCGCGAGAGGCACGCGGAGTTCATTGCTTCAAAAGGTGACGATGCCTGACTCCTCTTGAATACTGATAGGAATCCCAAAATCGCTGTGGCTACTGGAAAGGGTCCTTGGGTGCCCTGCCTCACCTCGAGAAGCGTCCCTTTTGCCCTGCCAAGCCTCGAAGAGATTCCTGAAGTGTCCCTCGTTACTAGACAGGAGTCCTGACGTACTGAAGAAACTCGTGTTTTGAAGGGCCATCCCCGCCGTAAGTCGAGAACATACCACAGGTCCCCGCCGCAACTCGAGAAAAACCATGAGACTTCCCCCTAGAGGCGAGATGAGGCCCCATTCCCCTGCAGTGCATGCAGAGCTATTCCGTGATCCCATTCAAACAAGTCAGGAGCTTCGACTTGCTTAATGGATCTCGAGACAGTGCCCAAGAACACTGTCACCAGTCTAGACGGACCCTGAGGTCACCCCAGAAATGCAAAGCAGCTCCATGTGCCCCAAATCAACTCGAGATGAGGCCCGATTCCCCTGTATTGACTCCAGAGCCATTCCCCGTTCCCCATTCAACACGACCGGTGGCTCGACTTCCTTCAGGCAACTCCAGAGATGCCCCGAGAACACTGTCCCAATTCTAGAGGAACACCAACTTCAGCACAGCAACTCGAGGAATGCTCCGTGTACCCCAAATCGTCTCGAGATGAGAGCTGATTCCTGGCTTAACCTCAAGACGTATGCCAACTTCCCAGAAGCACCTCAGGAGGAGGCTTCTCTCAGCAATAGGTATGTGGGAGGGACCCCGAGTGTGCTGCCTCAAGGGGAATATACAGCGAGAAGCCCTAACTTGAAAGGAGGCCGGATTTCCTTGCAGTGGCTTGAATACAGGCTCGTCTTTCATCTCACAACATGAAGGGATGTCTGAATCCCCTGTGGAGAACTTAGAGAAAGCCCAAGTCCCTGCCTCATTTTGACGGAATGCCTCACATCCCGCTGACACCTCGAGAGGCACGCGGAGTTCATTGCTTCAAAACGTGACGCTGCCTGACTCCTCTTGAATACTGATAGGAATTCCAAAATCCCTGTGGCTACTGGAAAGTGTCCTTGGGTGCCCTGGCTCACCTCGAGAAGCGTCCCTTTTGGCCTGCCAAGCCTCGAAAACTTTCCTGAGGTGTCCCTCGTTACTAGACAGGAGTCCTGACGTCACTGAAGAAACTCGTGTTTTGAAGGGCCTTCCCCGCCGTAAGTCGAGAACATACCCCAGGTCCCCGCCGCAACTCGAGAAAAACCATGAGACTTCCCCCTAGAGGCGAGATGAGGCCCCATTGCCCTGCAGTGTATGCAGAGCTATTCCGTGATCCCATTCAAACAAGTCAGGAGCTTCGACTTGCTTAATGGATCTCGAGACAGTCCCCAAGAACACTGTCACCAGTCTAGACGGACCTGAGGTCACCCCACCAACGCAAAGCAGCTCCATGTGCCCCAAATCAACTCGAGATGAGGCCCGATTCCCCTGCATTGACTCCAGAGCCATTCCCCGTTCCCCATTCAACACGACCGATGGCTCGACTTCCTTCAAGCAACTCCAGAGATGCCTCGAGCACACTCTCCCAAGTCTAGAGGAACACCAACTTCAGCACAGCAACTCGAGGAATGCTCCGTGTACCACAAATCGTCTCAAGATGAGAGCTGATTCCCTGGCTTAGGCTCAAGACGTATGCCAACTTTCCAGAAGCACCTCAGGAGGAGGCTTCTCTCAGCAATAGGTATGTGGGAGGGACCCCGAGTTTGCTGCCTCAAGGGGAATATACAGCGAGAAGCCCTAACTTGAAAGGAGGCCGGATTTCCTTGCAGTGGCTTGAATACAGGCTCGTCTTTCATCTCACAACATGAAGGAATGTCTGAATACCCTGTGAGGACCTTAGAGAAAGCCCTAGGTCCCTGCCTCATTTTGACGGAATGCCTCACATCCCGCTGACACCTCGAGAGGCACGCGGAGTTCATTGCTTCAAAAGGTGACGATTCCTGACTCCTCATGAATACTGATAGGAATCCCAAAATCCCGGTGGCTACTGGAAATGGTCCTTGGGTGCCCTGCCTCACCTCGAGAAGCGTCCCTTTTGCCCTGCCAAGCCTCGAAGAGATTCCTGAGGTGTCCCTCGTTACCAGACAGGAGTCCTGACGTCACTGAAGAAACTCGTGTTTTGAAGGGCCATCCCCGCCGTAAGTCGAGAACATACCCCAGGTCCCCGCCGCAACTCGAGAAAAACCATGAGACTTCCCCCTAGAGGCGAGATGAGGCCCCATTCCCCTGCAGTGCATGCAGAGCTATTCCGTGATCCCATTCAAACAAGTCAGGAGCTTCGACTTGCTTAAAGGATCTCGAGACAGTCCCCAGGAACACTGTCACCAGTCTAGACGGACCCTGAGGTCACCCCAGCAACACAAAGCAGCTCCATGTGCCCCAAATCAACTCGAGATGAGGCCCGATTCCCCTGCATTGACTCCAGAGCCATTCCTCGTTCCCCATTCAACACGAACGGTGGCTCGACTTCCTTCAGGCAACTCCAGAGATGCCCCGAGAACACTGTCCCAAGTCTAGAGGAACACCAACTTCAGCACAGCAACTCGAGGAATTCTCCGTGTACCCCAAATCGTCTCGAGATGAGAGCTGATTCCCTGGCTTAGGCTCAAGACGTATGCCAACTTTCCAGAAGCACCTCAGGAGGAGGCTTCTCTCAGCAATAGGTATGTGGGAGGGACCCCGAGTTTGCTGCCTCAAGGGGAATATACAGCGAGAAGCCCTAACTTGAAAGGAGGCCGGATTTCCTTGCAGTGGCTTGAATACAGGCTCGTCTTTCATCTCACAACATGAAGGGATGTCTGAATCCCCTATGGAGACCTTACAGAAAGCCCTAGGTCCCTGCCTCATTTTGACGGAATGCCTCACATCCCGCTGACACGTCAAGAGGCACGCGGAGTTCATTGCTTCAAAAGGTGACGCTGCCTGACTCCTCTTGAATACTGATAGGAATTCCAAAATCCCTGTGGCTACTGGAAAGTGTCCTTGGGTGCCCTGGCTCACCTCGAGAAGCTTCCCTTTTGGCCTGCCAAGCCTCGAAAACTTTCCTGAGGTGTCCCTCGTTCCTAGACAGGAGTCCTGACGTCACTGAAGAAACTCGTGTTTTGAAGGGCCTTCCCCGCCGTAAGTCGAGAACATACCCCAGGTCGCCGCCGCAACTCTAGAAAACCCATGAGACTTCCCCCTAGAGTCGAGATGAGGCCGCATTCCCCTGCAGTGCATGCAGAGCTATTCCGTGATCCCATTCAAACAAGTCAGGAGCTTCGACTTGCTTAATGGATCTCGAGACAGTCCCCAAGAACACTGTCACCAGTCTAGACGGACCTGAGGTCACCCCAGGAACGCAAAGCAGCTCCATGTGCCCCAAATCAACTCGAGATGAGGCCCGATTCCCCTGCATTGACTCCAGAGCCATTCCCCGTTCCCCATTCAACAAGAACGGTGGCTCGACTTCCTTCAGGCAACTCCAGAGATGCCCCGAGAACACTGTCCCAAGTATAGAGGAACACCAACTTCAGCACAGCAACTCGAGGAATGCTCCGTGTACCCCAAATCGTCTCGAGAGGAGAGCTGATTGCCTAGCTTAGGCTCAAGACGTATGCCAACTTTCCAGAAGCACCTCAGGAGGAGGCTTCTCTCAGCAATAGGTATGTGGGAGGGACCCCGTGTTTGCTGCCTCAAGGGGAATATACAGCGAGAAGCCCTAACATGAAAGGATGCCGGATATCCTTGCAGTGGCTTGAATACAGGCTCGTCTTTCATCTCACAACATGAAGGGATGTCTCAATCCCCTGGGGAGACCTTAGAGAAAGCCCTAGATCCCTGCCTCATTTTGACGGAACGCCTCACATCCCGCTGAGACCACGAGAGGCACGCGGAGTTCATTGCTTCAAAAGGTGACGATGCCTGACTCCTCTTGAATACTGATAGGAATCCCAAAATCGCTGTGGCTACTGGAAAGGGTTCTTGGGTGCCCTGCCTCACCTCGAGAAGCGTCCCTTTTGCCCTGCCAAGCCTCGAAGAGATTCCTGACGTGTCCCTCGTTACTAGACAGGAGTCCTGACGTACTGAAGTAACTCGTGTTTTGAAGGGCCATCCCCGCCGTAAGTCGAGAACATACCCCAGGTCCCCGCCGCAACTCGAGAAACACCATGAGACTTCCCCCTAGAGGCGAGATGAGGCCCCATTCCCCTGCAGTGCATGCAGAGCTATTCCGTGATCCCATTCAAACAAGTCAGGAGCTTCGACTTGCTTAATGGATCTCGAGACAGTCCCTAGGAACACTGTCACCAGTCTAGACGGACCCTGAGGTCACCCCAGCAACGCAAATCAGCTCCATGTGCCCCAAATCAACTCGAGATGAGGCCCGATTCCCCTGAATTGACTCCAGAACCATTCCCCGTTCCCCATTCAACACGACCGGTGGCTCGACTTCCTTCAGGCAACTCCAGAGATGCCCCGAGAACACTGTCCCAATTCTAGAGGAACACCAACTTCAGCACAGCAACTCGAGGGATGCTCCGTGTACCCCAAATCGTCTCAAGATGAGAGCTGATTCCTGGCTTAACCACAAGACGTATGCCAACTTCCCAGAAGCACCTCAGGAGGAGGATTCTCTCAGCAATAGGTATGTGGGAGGGACCCCGAGTGTGCTGCCTGAAGGGGAATATACAGCGAGAAGCCCTAACTTGAAAGGAGGCCGGATTTCCTTGCAGTGGCTTGAATACAGGCTCGTCTTTCATCTCACAACATGAAGGGATGTCTGAATCCCCTGTGGAAACCTTAGAGAAAGCCCTAGGTCCCTGCCTCATTTTGACGGAATGCCTCACATCCCGCTGACACGTCGAGAGGCACGCGGAGTTCATTGCTTCAAAAGGGGACGATGCCTGACTCCTCTTATATACTGATAGGAATCCCAAAATCCCTGTGGCTACTGGAAAGGGTCCTTGGGTGCCCTGCCTCACATCGAGAAGCGTCCCTTTTGCCCTGCCAAGCCTCGAAGAGATTCCTGAGGTGTCCCTCGTTCCTAGACAGGAGTCCTGACGTCACTGAAGAAACTCGTGTTTTGAAGGGGCATCCCCGCCGTAAGTCGAGAACATACCCCAGGTCCCCGCCACAACTCGAGAAAAACCATGAGACTTCCCCCTAGAGGCGAGATGAGGCCCCATTCCCCTGCAGTGCATGCAGAGCTATTCTGTGATCCCATTCAAACAAGTCAGGAGCTTCGACTTGCTTAATGGATCTCGAGACAGTCCCCAGGAACACTGTCACCAGTCTAGACGGACCCTGATGTCATCCCAGCAACGCAAAGCAGCTCCATGTGCCCCAAATCAACTCGAGATGAGGCCCGATTCCCCTGCATTGACTCCAGAGCCATTCCCCGTTCCCCATTCAACACGACCGGTTGCTCGACTTCCTTCAGGCAACTCCAGAGATGCCCCGAGAACACTGTCCCAAGTCTAGAGGTACACCAACTTCAGCACAGCAACTCGAGGAATGCTCCGTGTACCCCAAATCGTCTCGAGATGAGAGCTGATTCCCTGGCTTAGGCTCAAGACGTATGCCAACTTTCCAGAAGCACCTCAGGAGGAGGCTTCTCTCAGCAATAGGTATGTGGGAGGGACCCCGAGTTTGCTGCCTCAAGGGGAATATACAGCGAGAAGCCCTAACTTGAAAGGAGGCCGGATTTCCTTGCAGTGGCTTGAATACAGGCTTGTCTTTCATCTCACAACATGAAGGGATGTCTCAATCCCCTGTGGAGACCTTAGAGAAAGCCCTAGATCCCTGCCTCATTTTGACGGAATGCCTCACATCCCGCTGAGACCGCGAGAGGCACGCGGAGTTCATTGCTTCAAAAGGTGACGATGCCTGACTCCTCTTGAATACTGATAGGAATCCCAAAATCGCTGTGGCTACTGGAAAGGGTCCTTGGATGCCCTGCCTCACCTCGAGAAGCGTCCCTTTTGCCCTGCCAAGCCTCGAAGAGATTCCTGAAGTGTCCCTCGTTACTAGACAGGAGTCCTGACGTACTGAAGAAACTCGTGTTTTGAAGGGCCATCCCCGCCGTAAGTCGAGAACATACCCCAGGTCCCCGCCGCAACTCGAGAAAAACCATGAGACTTCCCCCTAGAGGCGAGATGAGGCCCCATTCCCCTGCAGTGCATGCAGAGCTATTCCGTGATCCCATTCAAACAAGTCAGGAGCTTCGACTTGCTTAATGGATCTCGAGACAGTCCCCAGGAACACTGTCACCAGTCTAGACGGACCCTGAGGTCACCCCAGCAACGCAAATCAGCTCCATGTGCCCCAAATCAACTCGAGATGAGGCCCGATTCCCCTGAATTGACTCCAGAACCATTCCCCGTTCCCCATTCAACACGACCGGTGGCTCGACTTCCTTCAGGCAAGTCCAGAGATGCCCCGAGAACACTGTCCCAAGTCTAGAGGAACACGAAATTCAGCACAGCAACTCGAGGAATGCTCCGTGTACTCCAAATCGTCTCGAGATGAGAGCTGATTCCCTGGCTTAGGCTCAAGACGTATGCCAACTTTCCAGAAGCACCTCAGGAGGAGGCTTCTCTCAGCAATAGGTATGTGGGAGGGACCCCGAGTTTGCTGCCTCAAGGGGAATATAGAGCGAGAACCCCTAACTTGAAAGGAGGCCGGATTTCCTTGCAGTGGCTTGAATATAGGCTCGTCTTTCATCTCACAACATGAATGGATGTCTGAATCCCCTGTGGAGACTTTAGAGAAAGCCCTAGGTCCCTGCCTCATTTTGACGGAATGCCTCACATCCCGCTGACACCTCGAGAGGCACGCGGAGTTCATTGCTTCAAAATGTGACGATGCCTGACTCCTCTTGAATTCTGATAGGAATCCCAAAATCCCTGTGGCTACTGGAAAGGGTCCTTGGGTGCCCTGCCTCACCTCGAGAAGGGTCCCTTTTGCCCTGCCAAGCCTGGAAGAGATTCCTGACGTGTCCCTCGGTACTGGACAAGAGTCCTGACGTCACTGAAGAAACTCGTTTTTTGAAGGGCCATCCCCGCCGTAAGTCGAGAACATACCCCAGGTCCCCGCCGCAACTCGAGAAAAACCATGAGACTTCCCCCTAGAGGCGAGATGAGGCCCCATTCCCCTGCAGTGCATGCAGAGCTATTCTGTGATCCCATTCAAACAAGTCAGGAGCTTCGACTTGCTTAATGGATCTCGAGACAGTCCCCAGGAACACTGTCACCAGTCTAGACGGACCCTGAGGTCACCCCAGCAACACAAAGCAGCTCCATGTGCCCCAAATCAACTCGAGATGAGGCCCGATTCCCCTGCATTGACTCCAGAGCCATTCCCCGTTCCCCATTCAACACGACCGTGGCTCGACTTCCTTCAGGCAACTCCAGAGATGCCCCGAGAACACTGTCCCAAGTCTAGAGGAACACCAACTTCAGCACAGCAACTCGAGGAATGCTCCGTGTACCCCAAATCGTCTCGAGATGAGAGCTGATTCCCTGGCTTAGGCTCAAGACGTATGCCAACTTTCCAGAAGCACCTCAGGAGGAGGCTTCTCTCAGCAATAGGTATGTGGGAGGGACCCCGAGTGTGCTGCCTCAAGGGGAATATACAGCGAGAAGCCCTAACTTGAAAGGAGGCCGGATTTCCTTGCAGTGGCTTGAATACAGGCTCGTCTTTCATCTCACAACATGAAGGGATGTCTGAATCCCCTGTGGAGAACTTAGAGAAAGCCCAAGTCCCTGCCTCATTTTGACGGAATGCCTCACATCCCGCTGACACCTCGAGAGGCACGCGGAGTTCATTGCTTCAAAAGGTGACGCTGCCTGACTCCTCTTGAATACTAATAGGAATTCCAAAATCCCTGTGGCTACTGGAAAGTGTCCTTGGGTGCCCTGGCTCACCTCGAGAAGCGTCCCTTTTGGCCTGCCAAGCCTCGAAAACTTTCCTGAGCTGTCCCTCGTTACTAGACAGGAGTCCTGACGTCACTGAAGAAACTCGTGTTTTGAAGGGCCTTCCCCGCCGTAAGTCGAGAACATACCCCAGGTCCCCGCCGCAACTCGAGAAAAACCATGAGACTTCCCCCTAGAGGCGAGATGAGGCCCCATTGCCCTGCAGTGTATGCAGAGCTATTCCGTGATCCCATTCAAACAAGTCAGGAGCTTCGACTTGCTTAATGGATCTCGAGACAGTCCCCAAGAACACTGTCACCAGTCTAGACGGACCTGAGGTCACCCCACCAACTCAAAGCAGCTCCATGTGCCCCAAATCAACTCGAGATGAGGCCCGATTCCCCTGCATTGACTCCAGAGCCATTCCCCGTTCCCCATTCAACACGACCGATGGCTCGACTTCCTTCAAGCAACTCCAGAGATGCCTCGAGCACACTCTCCCAAGTCTAGAGGAACACCAGCTTCAGCACAGCAACTCGAGGAATGCTCCGTGTACCCCAAATCGTCTCAAGATGAGAGCTGATTCCCTGGCTTAGGCTCAAGACGTATGCCAACTTTCCAGAAGCACCTCAGGAGGAGGCTTCTCTCAGCAATAGGTATGTGGGAGGGACCCCGAGTTTGCTGCCTCAGGGGGAATATACAGCGAGAAGCCCTAACTTGAAAGGAGGCCGGATTTCCTTGCAGTGGCTTGAATACAGGCTCGTCTTTCATCTCACAACATGAAGGAATGTCTGAATACCCTGTGAGGACCTTAGAGAAAGCCCTAGGTCCCTGCCTCATTTTGACGGAATGCCTCACATCCCGCTGACACCTCGAAGGGCACGCGGAGTTCATTGCTTCAAAAGGTGACGATTCCTGACTCCTCATGAATACTGATAGGAATCCCAAAATCCCGGTGGCTACTGGAAATGGTCCTTGGGTGCCCTGCCTCACCTCGAGAAGCGTCCCTTTTGCCCTGCCAAGCCTCGAAGAGATTCCTGAGGTGTCCCTCGTTACCAGACAGGAGTCCTGACGTCACTGAAGAAACTCGTGTTTTGAAGGGCCATCCCCGCAGTAAGTCGGAAACATACCCCAGGTCCCCGCCGCAACTCGAGAAAAACCATGAGACTTCCCCCTAGAGGCGAAATGAGGCCCCATTCCCCTGCAGTGCATGCAGAGCTATTCCGTGATCCCATTCAAACAAGTCAGGAGCTTCGACTTGCTTAATGGATCTCGAGACAGTCCCCAGGAACACTGTCACCAGTCTAGACGGACCCTGAGGTCACCCCAGCAACGGAAAGCAGCTCCATGTGCCCCAAATCAACTCGAGATGAGGCCCGATTCCCCTGCATTGACTCCAGAGCCATTCCCCGTTCCCCATTCAACAAGAACGGTGGCTCGACTTCCTTCAGGCAACTCCAGAGATGCCCCGAGAACACTGTCCCAAGTCTAGAGGAACACCAACTTCAGCACAGCAACTCGAGGAATTCTCCGTGTACCCCAAATCGTCTCGAGATGAGAGCTGATTGCCTAGCTTAGGCTCAAGACGTATGCCAACTTTCCAGAAGCACCTCAGGAGGAGGCTTCTCTCAGCAATAGGTATGTGGGAGGGACCCCGTGTTTGCTGCCTCAAGGGGAATATACAGCGAGAAGCCCTAACATGAAAGGAGGCCGGATATCCTTGCAGTGGCTTGAATACAGGCTCGTCTTTCATCTCACAACATGAAGGGATGTCTCAATCCCCTGTGGAGACCTTAGAGAAAGCCCTAGATCCCTGCCTCATTTTGACGGAACGCCTCACATCCCGCTGAGACCGCGAGAGGCACGCGGAGTTCATTGCTTCAAAAGGTGACGATGCCTGACTCCTCTTGAATTCTGATAGGAATCCCAAAATCCCTGTGGCTACTGGAAAGGGTCCTTGGGTGCCCTGCCTCACATCTAGAAGGGTCCCTTTTGCCCTGCCAAGCCTGGAAGAGATTCCTGACATGTCCCTCGTTACTAGACAAGAGTCCTGACGTCACTGAAGAAACTCGTGTTTTGAAGGGCCATCCCCGCCGTAAGTCGAGAACATACCCCAGGTCCCCGCCGCAACTCGAGAAAAACCATGAGACTTCCCCCTAGAGGCGAGATGCGGCCCCATTCCCCTGCAGTGCATGCAGAGCTATTCCGTGATCCCATTCAAACAAGTCAGGAGCTTCGACTTGCTTAAAGGATCTCGAGACAGTCCCCAGGAACACTGTCACCAGTCTAGACGGACCCTGAGGTCACCCCAGCAACAGAAAGCAGCTCCATGTGCCCCAAATCAACTCGAGATGAGGCCCGATTCCCCTGCATTGACTCCAGAGCCATTCCCCGTTCACCATTCAACACGACCGGTGGCTCGACTTCCTTCAGGCAACTCCAGAGATGCCCCGAGAACACTGTCCCAAGTCTAGAGGAACACCAACTTCAGCACAGCAACTCGAGGAATGCTCCGTGTACCCCAAATCGTCTCGAGATGAGAGCTGATTCCCTGGCTTAGGCTCAAGACATATGCCAACTTTCCAGAAGCACCTCAGGAGGAGGCTTCTCTCAGCAATAGGTATGTGGGAGGGACCCCGAGTTTGCTGCCTCAAGGGGAATATACAGCGAGAAGCCCTAACTTGAAAGGAGGCCGGATTTCCTTGCAGTGGCTTGAATACAGGCTCGTCTTTCATCTCACAACATGAAGGGATGTCTGAATCCCCTATGGAGACCTTAGAGAAAGCCCTAGGTCCCTGCCTCATTTTGACGGAATGCCTCACATCCCGCTGACACGTCAAGAGGCACGCGGAGTTCATTGCTTCAAAAGGTGACGCTGCCTGACTCCTCTTGAATACTGATAGGAATTCCAAAATCCCTGTGGCTACTGGAAAGTGTCCTTGGGTGCCCTGGCTCACCTCGAGAAGCGTCCCTTTTGGCCTGCCAAGCCTCGAAAACTTTCCTGAGGTGTCCCTCGTTCCTAGACAGGAGTCCTGACGTCACTGAAGAAACTCGTGTTTTGAAGGGCCTTCCCCGCCGTAAGTCGAGAACATACCCCAGGTCCCCGCCGCAACTCTAGAAAAACCATGAGACTTCCCCCTAGAGGCGAGATGAGGCCGCATTCCCCTGCAGTGCATGCAGAGCTATTCCGTGATCCCATTCAAACAAGTCAGGAGCTTCGACTTGCTTAATGGATCTCGAGACAGTCCCCAAGAACACTGTCACCAGTCTAGACGGACCTGAGGTCACCCCACCAACGCAAAGCAGCTCCATGTGCCCCAAATCAACTCGAGATGAGGCCCGATTCCCCTGCATTGACTCCAGAGCCATTCCCCGTTCCCCATTCAACACGAACGGTGGCTCAACTTCCTTCAAGCAACTCCAGAGATGCCTCGAGCACACTCTCCCAAGTCTAGAGGAACACCAACTTCAGCACAGCAACTCGAGGAATGCTCCGTGTACCCCAAATCGTCTCAAGATGAGAGCTGATTCCCTGGCTTAGGCTCAAGACGTATGCAAACTTTCCAGAAGCACCTCAGGAGGAGGCTTCTCTCAGCAATAGGTATGTGGGAGGGACCCCGAGTTTGCTGCCTCAAGGGGAATATACAGCGAGAAGCCCTAACTTGAAAGGAGGCCGGATTTCCTTGCAGTGGCTTGAATACAGGCTCGTCTTTCATCTCACAACATGAAGGGATGTCTCAATCCCCTGGGGAGACCTTAGAGAAAGCCCTAGATCCCTGCCTCATTTTGACGGAACGCCTCACATCCCGCTGAGACCGCGAGAGGCACGCGGAGTTCATTGCTTCAAAAGGTGACGATGCCTGACTCCTCTTGAATACTGATAGGAATCCCAAATTCGCTGTGGCTACTGGAAAGGGTTCTTGGGTGCCCTGCCTCACCTCGAGAAGCGTCCCTTTTGCCCTGCCAAGCCTCGAAGAGATTCCTGACGTGTCCCTCGTTACTAGACAGGAGTCCTGACGTACTGAAGTAACTCGTGTTTTGAAGGGCCATCCCCGCCGTAAGTCGAGAACATACCCCAGGTCCCCGCCGCAACTCGAGAAACACCATGAGACTTCCCCCTAGAGGCGAGATGAGGCCCCATTCCCCTGCAGTGCATGCAGAGCTATTCCGTGATCCCATTCAAACAAGTCAGGAGCTTCGACTTGCTTAATGGATCTCGATACAGTCCCTAGGAACACTGTCACCAGTCTAGACGGACCCTGAGGTCACCCCAGCAACGCAAATCAGCTCCATGTGCCCCAAATCAACTCGAGATGAGGCCCGATTCCCCTGAATTGACTCCAGAACCATTCCTCGTTCCCCATTCAACACGACCGGTGGCTCGACTTCCTTCAGGCAAGTCCAGAGATGCCCCGAGAACACTGTCCCAAGTCAAGAGGAACACGAAATTCAGCACAGCAACTCGAGGAATGCTCCGTGTACTCCAAATCGTCTCGAGATGAGAGCTGATTCCCTGGCTTAGGCTCAAGACGTATGCCAACTTTCCAGAAGCACCTCAGGAGGAGGCTTCTCTCAGCAATAGGTATGTGGGAGGGACCCCGAGTTTGCTGCCTCAAGGGGAATATAGAGCGAGAACCCCTAACTTGAAAGGAGGCGGGATTTCCTTGCAGTGGCTTGAATATAGGCTCGTCTTTCATCTCACAACATGAATGGATGTCTGAATCCCCTGTGGAGACTTTAGAGAAAGCCCTAGGTCCCTGCCTCATTTTGACGGAATGCCTCACATCCCGCTGACACCTCGAGAGGCACGCGGAGTTCATTGCTTCAAAAGGTGACGATGCCTGACTCCTCTTGAATTCTGATAGGAATCCCAAAATCCCTGTGGCTACTGGAAAGGGTCCTTGGGTGCCCTGCCTCACCTCGAGAAGGGTCCCTTTTGCCCTGCCAAGCCTGGAAGAGATTCCTGACGTGTCCCTCGTTACTGGACAAGAGTCCTGACGTCACTGAAGAAACTCGTTTTTTGAAGGGCCATCCCCGCCGTAAGTCGAGAACATACCCCAGGTCCCCGCCGCAACTCGAGAAAAACCATGAGACTTCCCCCTAGAGGCGAGATGAGGCCCCATTCCCCTGCAGTGCATGCAGAGCTATTCTGTGATCCCATTCAAACAAGTCAGGAGCTTCGACTTGCTTAATGGATCTCGAGACAGTCCCCAGGAACACTGTCACCAGTATAGACGGACCCTGAGGTCACCCCAGCAACACAAAGCAGCTCCATGTGCCCCAAATCAACTCGAGATGAGGCCCGATTCCCCTGCATTGACTCCAGAGCCATTCCCCGTTCCCCATTCAACACGACCGTGGCTCGACTTCCTTCAGGCAACTCCAGAGATGCCCCGAGAACACTGTCCCAAGTCTAGAGGAACACCAACTTCAGCACAGCAACTCGAGGAATGCTCCGTGTACCCCAAATCGTCTCGAGATGAGAGCTGATTCCCTGGCTTAGGCTCAAGACGTATGCCAACTTTCCAGAAGCACCTCAGGAGGAGGCTTCTCTCAGCAATAGGTATGTGGGAGGGACCCCGAGTGTGCTGCCTCAAGGGGAATATACAGCGAGAAGCCCTAACTTGAAAGGAGGCCGGATTTCCTTGCAGTGGCTTGAATACAGGCTCGTCTTTCATCTCACAACATGAAGGAATGTCTGAATACCCTGTGAGGACCTTAGAGAAAGCCCTAGGTCCCTGCCTCCTTTTGACGGAATGCCTCACATCCCGCTGACACCTCGAGAGGCACGCGGAGTTCATTGCTTCAAAAGGTGACGATTCCTGACTCCTCTTGAATACTGATAGGAATCCCAAAATCCCTGTGGCTACTGGAAAGGGTCCTTGGGTGCCCTGCCTCACCTCGAGAAGCGTCCCTTTTGCCCTGCCAAGCCTCAAAGCGATTCCTGAGTTTTCCCTCGTTACTAGACAGGAGTCCTGACGTCACTGAAGAAACTCGTGTTTTGAAGGGCCATCCCCGCCGTAAGTCGAGAACATACCCCAGGTCCCCGCCGTAACTCGAGAAAAACCATGAGACTGCCCCTTAGAGGCGAGATTAGGCCCCATTCCCCTGCAGTGCATGCAGAGCTATTCCGTGATCCCATTCAAACAAGTCAGGAGCTTCGACTTGCTTAATGGATCTCGAGAGAGTGCCCAAGAACACTGTCACCAGTCTAGACGGACCCTGAGGTCACCCCAGAAATGCAAAGCAGCTCCATGTGCCCCAAATCAACTCGAGATGAGGCCCGATTCCCCTGCATTGACTCCAGAGCCATTCCCCGTTCCCCATTCAACACGACCGGTGGCTCGACTTCCTTCAGGCAACTCCAGAGATGCCCCGAGAACACTGTCCCAATTCTAGAGGAACACCAACTTCAGCACAGCAACTCGAGGAATGCTCCGTGTACCCCAAATCGTCTCGAGATGAGAGCTGATTCCCTGGCTTAGGCTCAAGACATATGCCAACTTTCCAGAAGCACCTCAGGAGGAGGCTTCTCTCAGCAATAGGTATGTGGGAGGGACCCCGAGTTTGCTGCCTCAAGGGGAATATACAGCGAGAAGCCCTAACTTGAAAGGAGGCCGGATTTCCTTGCAGTGGCTTGAATACAGGCTCGTCTTTCATCTCACAACATGAAGGGATGTCTGAATACCCTGTGAGGACCTTTGAGAAAGCCCTAGTTCCCTGCCTCATTTTGACGGAATGCCTCACATCCCGCTGACACCTCGAGAGGCACGCGGAGTTCATTGCTTCAAAAGGTGACGATTCCTGACTCCTCTTGAATACTGATAGGAATCCCAAAATCCCGGTGGCTACTGGATAGGGTCCTTGGGTGCCCTGCCTCACCTCGAGAAGCGTCCCTTTTGCCCTGCCAAGCCTCGAAGAGATTCCTGAGGTGTCCCTCGTTACCAGAGAGGAGTCCTGACGTCACTGAAGAAACTCGTGTTTTGAAGGGCCATCCCCGCAGTAAGTCGGAAACATACCCCAGGTCCCCGCCGCAACTCGAGAAAAACCATGAGACTTCCCCCTAGAGGCGAGATGAGGCCCCATTCCCCTGCAGTGCATGCAGAGCTATTCCGTGATCCCATTCAAACAAGTCAGGAGCTTCGACTTGCTTAATGGATCTCGAGACAGTCCCCAGGAACACTGTCACCAGTCTAGACGGAACCTGAGGTCACCCCAGCAACGCAAAGCAGCTCCATGTGCCCCAAATCAACTCGAGATGATCCCCGATTCCCCTGCATTGACTCCAGAGCCATTCCCCGTTCCCCATTCAACACGACCGGTGGCTCGACTTCCTTCAGGCAACTCCAGAGATGCCCCGAGAACACTGTCCCAAGTCTAGAGGAACACCAACTTCAGCACAGCAACTCGAGGAATGCTCCGTGTACCCCAAATCGTCTCGAGATGAGAGCAGATTGCCTAGCTTAGGCTCAAGACGTATGCCAACTTTCCAGAAGCACCTCAGGAGGAGGCTTCTCTCAGCAATAGGTATGTGGGAGGGACCCCGTGTTTGCTGCCTCAAGGGGAATATACAGCGAGAAGCCCTAACATGAAAGGAGGCCGGATATCTTTGCAGTGGCTTGAATACAGGCTCGTCTTTCATCTCACAACATGAAGGGATGTCTCAATCCCCTGTGGAGACCTTAGAGAAAGCCCTAGATCCCTGCCTCATTTTGACGGAACGCCTCACATCCCGCTGAGACCGTGAGAGGCACGCGGAGTTCATTGCTTCAAAAGGTGACGATGCCTGACTCCTCTTGAATACTGATAGGAATCCCAAAATCCCTGTGGCTACTGGAAAGGGTCCTTGGGTGCCCTGCCTCACCTCGAGAAGCGTCCCTTTTGCCCTGCCAAGCCTCAAAGCGATTCCTGAGTTTTCCCTCGTTACTAGACAGGAGTTCTGACGTCACTGAAGAAACTCGTGTTTTGAAGGGCCATCCCCGCCGTAAGTCGAGAACATACCCCAGGTCCCCGCCGTAACTCGAGAAAAACCATGAGACTTCCCCTTAGAGGCGAGATGAGGCCCCATTCCCCTGCAGTGCATGCAGAGCTATTCCGTGATCCCATTCAAACAAGTCAGGAGCTTCGACTTGCTTAATGGATCTCGAGAGAGTGCCCAAGAACACTGTCACCAGTCTAGACGGACCCTGAGGTCACCCCAGAAATGCAAAGCAGCTCCATGTGCCCCAAATCAACTCGAGATGAGGCCCGATTCCCCTGCATTGACTCCAGAGCCATTCCCCGTTCCCCATTCAACACGACCGGTGGCTCGACTTCCTTCAGGCAACTCCAGAGATGCCCCGAGAACACTGTCCCAATTCTAGAGGAACACCAACTTCAGCACAGCAACTCGAGGAATGCTCCGTGTACCCCAAATCGTCTCGAGATGAGAGCTGATTCCTGGCTTAACCTCAAGACGTATGCCAACTTCCCAGAAGCACCTCAGGAGGAGGCTTCTCTCAGCAATAGGTATGTGGGAGGGACCCCGAGTGTGCTGCCTCAAGGGGAATATACAGCGAGAAGCCCTAACTTGAAAGGAGGCCGGATTTCCTTGCAGTGGCTTGAATACAGGCTCGTCTTTCATCTCACAACATGAAGGGATGTCTGAATCCCCTGTGGAGAACTTAGAGAAAGCCCAAGTCCCTGCCTCATTTTAACGGAATGCCTCACATCCTGCTGACACCTCGAGAGGCACGCGTAGTTCATTGCTTCAAAAGGTGACGCTGCCTGACTCCTCTTGAATACTGATAGGAATTCCAAAATCCCTGTGGCTACTGGAAAGTGTCCTTGGGTGCCCTGGCTCACCTCGAGAAGCGTCCCTTTTGGCCTGCCAAGCCTCGAAGAGATTCCTGAAGTGTCCCTCGTTACTAGACAGGAGTCCTGACGTACTGAAGAAACTCGTGTTTTGAAGGGCCATCCCCGCCGTAAGTCGAGAACATACCCCAGGTCCCCGCCGCAACTCGAGAAAAACCATGAGACTTCCCCCTAGAGGCGAGATAAGGCCCCATTCCCCTGCAGTGCATGCAGAGCTATTCCGTGATCCCATTCAAACAAGTCAGGAGCTTCGACTTGCTTAATGGATCTCGAGACAGTCCCCAGGAACACTGTCACCAGTCTAGACGGACCCTGAGGTCACCCCAGCAACGCAAAGCAGCCCCATGTGCCCCAAATCAACTCGAGATGAGGCCCGATTCCCCTGAATTGACTCCAGAACCATTCCCCGTTCCCCATTCAACTCGACCGGTGGCTCGACTTCCTTCAGGCAAGTCCAGAGATGCCCCGAGAACACTGTCCCAAGTCTAGAGGAACACGAAATTCAGCACAGCAACTCGAGGAATGCTCCGTGTACTCCAAATCGTCTCGAGATGAGAGCTGATTCCCTGGCTTAGGATCAAGACCTATGCCAACTTCCCAGAAGCACCTCAGGAGGAGGCTTCTCTCAGCAATAGGTATGTGGGAGGGACCCCGAGTTTGCTGCCTCAAGGGGAATATACAGCGAGAACCCCTAACTTGAAAGGAGGCCGGATTTCCTTGCAGTGGCTTGAATACAGGTTCGTCTTTCATCTCACAACATGAATGGATGTCTGAATCCCCTGTGGAGACTTTAGAGAAAGCCCTAGGTCCCTGCCTCATTTTGACGAAATGCCTCACATCCCGCTGACACCTCGAGAGGCACGCGGAGTTCATTGCTTCAAAAGGTGACGATGACTGACTCCTCTTGAATTCTGATAGGAATCCCAAAATCTCTGTGGCTACTGGAAAGGGTCCTTGGGTGCCCTGCCTCACCTCTAGAAGGGTCCCTTTTGCGCTGCCAAGCCTGGAAGAGATTCCTGACGTGTCCCTCGTTACTAGACAAGAGTCCTGACGTCACTGAAGAAACTCGTGTTTTGAAGGGCCATCCCCGCCGTAAGTCGAGAACATACCCCAGCTCCCAGCCGCAACTCGAGAAAAACCATGAGACTTCCCCCTAGAGGCTAGAAGAGGCCCCATTCCCCTGCAGTGCATGCAGAGCTATTCTGTGATCCCATTCAAACAAGTCAGGAGCTTCGACTTGCTTAATGGATCTCGAGACAGTCCCCAGGAACACTGTCACCAGTCTAGACGGACCCTGAGGTCACCCCAGCAACACAAAGCAGCTCCATGTGCCCCAAATCAACTCGAGATGAGGCCCGATTCCCCTGCATTGACTCCAGAGCCATTCCCCGTTCCCCATTCAACACGACCGGTGGCTCGACTTCCTTCAGGCAACTTCAGAGATGCCCGGAGAACACTGTCCCAAGTCTAGAGGAACACCAACTTCAGCACAGCAACTCGAGGAATGCTCCGTGTACCCCAAATCGTCTCGAGATGAGAGCTGATTCCCTGGCTTAGGCTCAAGACGTATGCCAACTTTCCAGAAGCACCTCAGGAGGAGGCTTCTCCCAGCAATAGGTATGTGGGAGGGACCCCGAGATCGCTGCCTCAAGTGGAGTATACAGCGAGAAGCCCTAACTTGAAAGGAGGCCGGATTTCCTTGCAATGGCTTGAATACAGGCTCGTCTTTCATCTCACAACATGAAGGGAAGTCTGAATCCCCTGTGGAGACCTTAGAGAAAGCCCTAGGTCCCTGCGTCATTTTGACGGAATGCCTCACATCCCCTTGACACCTCGAGAGGCACGCAGAGTTCATTGCTTCAAAAGGTGACGATGCCTGACTCCTCTTGAATACTGATAGGAATCCCAAAATCCCTGTGATACTGGAAAGGGTCCTTGGGTGCCCTGCCTCACCTCGAGAAGCGTCCCTTTTGCCCTGCCAAGCCTCGAAGAGTTTCCTGAGGTGTCCCTGGTTACTAGACAGGAGTCCTACGTCACTGAAGAAACTCGTGTTTTGAAGGGCCATCCCCGCCGTAAGTCGAGAACATACCCCATGTCCCCGCCGCAACTCGAGAAAAACCATGAGACTTACCGCTAGAGGCGAGATGAGGCCCCATTCCCCTGCAGTGCATGCAGAGCTATTCCGTGATCCCATTCAAACAAGTCAGGAGCTTCGACTTGCTTAATGGATCTCGAGACCGTCCCCAAGAACACTGTCACCAGTCTAGACGGAACCTGAGGTCACCCCAGCAATGCAAAGCAGCTCCATGTGCCCCAAATCAACTCGAGATGAGGCCCGATTCCCCTGCATTGACTCCAGAGCCATTCCACGTTCCCCATTCAACATGACCGGTGGCTCGACTTCCTTCAGGCAACTCCAGAGATGCCCCGAGAACACTGTCCTAAGGCTAGAGGAACACCAACTTCACCACAGCAACTCGAGGAATGCTCCGTGTACCCCAAATCGTCTCGAGATGAGAGCTGATTCCCTGGCTTAGGCTCAAGAAGTATGCCAACTATCCAGAAGCACCTCAGGAGGCGGCTTCTCTCAGCAATAGGTATGTGGGGGGGACCCCGAGATAGCTGCCTCAAGTGGAATATACAGCGAGAAGACCTAACTTGAAAGGAGGGCGGATTTCCTTGCAGTGGCTTGAATACAGGCTCGTCTTTCATCTAACAACATGAAGGGATGTCTGAATCCCCTGTGGAGACCTTAGAGAAAGCCCTAGGTCCCTGCGTCATTTTGACGGAATGCCTCACATCCCGTTGACACCTCGAGAGGCAGGCGGAGTTAATTGCTTCAAAAGGTGACGATGCCTGACTCCTCTTGAATACTGAAAGGAATCCCAAAATCCCTGTGGCTACTGGAAAGGGTGCTTTGGTGCCCTGCCTCACCTCGAGAAGCGTCCCTTTTGCCCTGCCAAGCCTCGAAGAGATTCCTGAGGTGTCCCTCGTTACTAGACAGGAGTCCTGACGTCACTGAATAAACACGTGTTTTGAAGGGCCATCCCCGCCATAAGTCGAGAACATACACCGGGTCCCCGCCGCAACTCGAGAAAAACCATGAGACTTCCCCCTAGAGTCGAGATGAGGCCCCATTCCCCTCCAGTGCATGCAGAGCTCTTCCGTGATCGCATTCAAACAAATCAGGAGCTTCGACTTGCTTAATGGATATCGAGACAGTCCCCAAGAACACTGTCACCAGTCTAGACGGACCCTGAGGTCACCCCAGCAACGCAAAGCAGCTCCATGTTCCCCAAATCAACTCGAGATGAGGCCCGATTCCCCTGCATTGAGTACAGAGCCATTCCCCGTTCCCCATTCAACACGACCAGTGGCTCGACTTCCTTCAGGCAACTCCAGAGATGCCCCGAGAACACTGTCCCAAGGCTAGAGGAACACCAACTTCAGCACAGCAACTTGAGGAATGCTGTGTGTACCACAAATCGTCTCGAGATGAGAGCTGATTCCCTGGCTTAGGCTCAAGACGTATGCCAACTTTCCAGAAGCACCTCAGGAGGAGGCCTCTCCCAGCAATAGGTATTTGTGAGGGACCCCGAGATCGCTGCCTCAAGTGGAATATACAGCGAGAAGCCCTAACTTGAAAGGAGGGCGGATTTCCTTGCTGTGGCTTGAATACAGGCTCCTCATTGATCTCAAAACATGAAGGGATGACTGAATCCCCTGTGGAGACCTTAGAGAAAGCCCTAGGTCCCTGCGTCATTTTGACGGAATGTCTCACATCCCGTTGACACCTCGAGAGGCACGCAGAATTCATTGCTTCAAAAGGTGACGATGCCTGACTCCTCTTGAATACTGATAGGAATCCCAAAATCACTGTGGCTACTGGAATGGGTCCTTGGGTGCCCTGCCTCACATCGAGAAGCGTCCCTTTTGCCCTGCCAAGCTTGGAAGAGATTCCTGAGGTGTCCCTCGTTACTAGACAGGAGTCCTGACGTCACTGAAGAAACTCGTGTTTTGAAGGGCCATCCCCGTCGTAAGTCGAGAACATACCCCTGGTCCCCGCTGCAACTCGTAAAAAACCATGAGACTTCCCCCTAGAGGCGAGATGAGGCCCCATTCCCCTGCAGTGCATGCAGAGCTATTCCGTGATCCCATTCAAACCAGGCAGGACCTTCGACTTGCTTAATGGATCTCGAGACAGTCCCCAAGAACACTGTCACAAGTCTAGACGTATCCTGAGGTCACCCCAGCAACGCAAAGCAGCTCCATGTGCCCCAAATCAACTCGAGATGAGGCCCGATTCCCCTGCATTGACTCCAGAGCCATTCCCCGTTCCCCATTCAACACGACCGGTGGCTCGACTTCCTTCAGGCAACTCCAGACATGCCCCGAGAACACTGTCCCAAGGCTAGAGGAACACCAACTTCAGCACAGCAACTCGAGGAATGCTCCGTGTACACCAAATCGTCTCGAGATGAGAGCTGATTCCCTGGCTTAGGCTCAAGACGTATGCCAACTTTCCAGAAGCACCTCAGGAGGAGGCTTCTCCCAGCAATAGGTATGAGGGAGGGACCCCGAGATCGCTGCCTCAAGTGGAGTATACAGCGAGAAGCCCTAACTTGAAAGGAGGCCGGATTTCCTTGCAATGGCTTGAATACAGGCTCGTCTTTCATCTCACAACATGAAGGGAAGTCTGAATCCCCTGTGGAGACCTTAGAGAAAGCCCTAGGTCCCTGCCTCATTTTGACGGAATGCCTCACATCCCGTTGACACCTCGAGAGGCACGCAGAGTTCATTGCTTCAAAAGGTGACGATGCCTGACTCCTCTTGTATACTGATAGTAATCCCAAAATCCCTGTGGCTACTGGAAAGGGTCCTTGGGTGCCCTGCCTCACATCGAGAAGCGTCCCTTTTGCCCTGCTAAGCCTCGAAGAGATTCCTGAGGTGTCCCTCGTTACTAGACAGGTGTCCTGACGTCACTGAATAAACACGTGTTTTGAAGGGCCATCCCCGCCGTAAGTCGAGAACATACCCCAGGTTCCCGCCGCAACGCGAGAAAAACCATGAGACTTCCCCCTAGAGTCGAGATGAGGCCCAATTCCTCTCCAGTGCATGCAGAGCTATTCCGTGATGCATTCAAACAGGTCAGCAGCTTCGACTTGCTTAATGGATCTCGAGACAGTCCCGAAGAACACTGTCACCAGTCTAGACGGACCCTCTGGTCACCACAGCAGGCAAAGCAGCTCCATGTGCCCCAAATCAACTCGAGATGAGGCCCGATTCCCCTGCATTGACTCCAGAGCCATTCCACGTTCCACATTCAACACGACCGGTGGCACGACTTCCTTCAGGCAACTCTAGAGATGCCCCGAGAACACTGTCCCAAGTCTAGAGGAACACCAACTTCAGCCCAGCAACTCGAGGAACGCTCTGTGTACCCCAAATCATCTCGAGATGAGAGCTGATTCCCTGTTTAGGCTCAAGACGTCTGCCAACTTTCCAGAAGCACCTCAGGAGGAGGCCTCTCCCAGCAATAGGTATGTGGGAGGGAACCCGAGATCGCTGCCTCAAGTGGAATATACAGCGAGAAGCCCTAACTTGAAAGGAGGCCGGATTTCCTTGCAGTGGCTTGAATACAGGCTCCTCTTTGAACTCAAAACATGAAGGGATGACTGAATCCCCTGTGGAGACCTTAGAGAAAGCCCTAGATCCCTGCCTCATTTTGACGGAATGCCTCACATCCCGTTGACACCTCGAGAGGCACGCAGAGTTCATTGCTTCAAAAGGTGACGATGCCTGACTCCTCTTGAATACTGATAGGAATCCCAAAATCCCTGTGACTACTGGAAAGGGTCCTTGGGTGCCCTGCCTCACCTCGAGAAGCGTCCCTTTTGCCCTGCCAGGCCTCGAAGAGTTTCCTGAGGTGTCCCTGGTTACTAGACAGGAGTCCTACGTCACTGAAGAAACTCGTGTTTTGAAGGGCCATCCCCGCCGTAAGTCGAGAACATACCCCATGTCCCCGCCGCAACTCGAGAAAAACCATGAGACTTACCCCTAGAGGCGAGATGAGGCCCCATTCCCCTGCAGTGCATGCAGAGCTATTCCGTGATCCCATTCAAACAAGTCAGGAGCTTCGACTTGCCTAATGGATCTCGAGACCGTCCCCAAGAACACTGTCACCAGTCTAGACGGAACCTGAGGTCACCCCAGCAATGCAAAGCAGCTCCATGTGCCCCAAATCAACTCGAGATGAGGCCCGATTCCCCTGCATTGACTCCAGAGCCATTCCACGTTCCCCATTCAACATGACCGGTGGCTCGACTTCCTTCAGGCAACTCCAGAGATGCCCCGAGAACACTGTCCCAAGGCTAGAGGAACACCAACTTCAGCACAGCAACTCGAGGAATGCTCCGTGTACCCCAAATCGTCTCGAGATGAGAGCTGATTCCCTGGCTTAGGCTCAAGACGTATGCCAACTATCCAGAAGCACCTCAGGAGGCGGCTTCTCTCAGCAATAGGTATGTGGGGGGACCCCGAGATAGCTGCCTCAAGTGGAATATACAGCGAGAAGCCCTAACTTGAAAGGAGGCCGGATTTCCTTGCAGTGGCTTGAATACAGGCTCGTCTTTCATCTAACAACATGAAGGGATGTCTGAATTCCCTATGGAGACCTTAGAGAAAGACCTAGGTCCCTGCGTCATTTTGACGGAATGCCTCACATCCCGTTGACACCTCGAGAGGCAGGCGGAGTTCATTGCTTCAAAAGGTGACGATGCCTGACTCCTCTTGAATACTGAAAGGAATCCCAAAATCCCTGTGGCTACTGGAAAGGGTGCTGGGGTGCCCTGCCTCACCTCGAGAAGCGTCCCTTTTGCCCTGCCAAGCCTCGAAGAGATTCCTGAGTTATCCCTCGTTACTAGACAGGATTCCTGACGTCACTGAATAAACACGTGTTTTGAAGTGCCATGCCCGCCGTAAGTCGAGAACATACCCCAGGTCCCCGCCGCAACTCGAGAAAAACCATGAGACTTCCCCTAGAGTCGAGATGAGGCCCCATTCCCCTCCAGTGCATGCAGAGCTCTTCCGTGATCGCATTCAAACAAATCAGGAGCTTCGACTTGCTTAATGGATCTCGAGACAGTCCCCAAGAACACTGTCACCAGTCTAGACGGACCCTGAGGTCACCCCAGCAAAGCAAAGCAGCTCCATGTGCCCCAAATCAACTCGAGATGAGGCCCGATTCCCCTGCATTGACTCCAGAGCCATTCCCGTTCCCCATTCAACATGACCGGTGGCTCGACTTCCTTCAGGCAACTCCAGAGATGCCCCGAGAACACTGTCCCAAGGCTAGAGGAACACCAACTTCAGCACAGCAACTCGAGGAATGCTGTGTGTACCACAAATCATCTCGAGATGAGAGTTGATTCCCTCCCTTAGGCTCAAGACGTATGCCAACTTTCCAGAAGCACCTCAGGAGGAGGCCTCTCCCAGCAATAGGTATTTGGGAGGGACCCCGAGATCGCTGCCTCAAGTGGAATATACAGCGAGAAGCCCTAACTTGAAAGGAGGCTGGATTTCCTTGCTGTGGGTTGAATACAGGCTCCTCTTTGATCTCAAAACATGAAGGGATGACTGAATCCCCTGTGGAGACCTTAGAGAAAGCCCTAGATCCCTGCCTCATTTTGACGGAATGCCTCACATCCCGTTGACACCTCGAGAGGCACGCAGAGTTCATTGCTTCAAAAGGTGACGATGCCTGACTCCTCTTGAATACTGATAGGAATCCCAAAATCCCTGTGGCTAATGGAAAGGGTCCTTGGGTGCCCTGCCTCACCTCGAGAAGCGTCCCTTTTGCCCTGCCAAGCCTCGAAGAGTTTCCTGAGGTGTCCCTGGTTACTAGACAGGAGTCCTACGTCACTGAAGAAACTCGTGTTTTGAAGGGCCATCCCCGCCGTAAGTCGAGAACATACCCCATGTCCCCGCCGCAACTCGAGAAAAACCATGAGACTTACCCCTAGAGGCGAGATGAGGCCCCATTCCCCTGCAGTGCATGCAGAGCTATTCCGTGATCCCATTCAAACAAGTCAGGAGCTTCGACTTGCTTAATGGATCTCGAGACAATCCCCAAGAACACTGTCACCAGTCTAGACGGACCCTGAGGTCACCCCAGCAACGCAAAGCAGCTCCATGTGCCCCAAATCAACTCGAGATGAGGCCCGATTCCCATCCATTGACTCCAGAGCCATTCCCAGTTCCCCATTCAACACGACCGGTGGCTCGACTTCCTTCAGGCAACTCCAGAGATGCCCCGAGAACACTGTCCCAAGGCTAGAGTAACACCAACTTCAGCACAGCAACTCGAGGAATGCTGTGTGTACCACAAATCATCTCGAGATGAGAGCTGATTCCCTGGCTTAGGCTCAAGACGTATGCCAACTTTCCAGATGCACCTCAGGAGGAGGCCTCTCCCAGCAATAGGTATTTGTGAGGGACCCCGAGATCGATGCCTCAAGTGGAATATACAGCGAGAAGCCCTAACTTGAAAGGAGGGCGGATTTCCTTGATGTGGCTTGAATACAGGCTCCTCTTTGATCTCAAAACATGAAGGGATGACTGAATCCCCTGTGGAGACCTTAGAGTAAGCCCTAGGTCCCTGCGTCATTTTGACGGAATGCCTCACATCCCGTTGACAACTCGAGAGGCACGCAGAATTCATTGCTTCAAAAGGTGACGATGCCTGACTCCTCTTGAATACTGATAGGAATCCCAAAATCACTGTGGCTACTGGAATGGGTCCTTGGGTGCCCTGCCTCACATCGAGAAGCGTCCCTTTTGCCCTGCCAAGCCTCGAAGGGTTTCCTGAGCTGTCCCTCGTTACTAGACTGCAGTCCTGACGTCACTGAAGAAACTCGTCTTTTGAAGGGCCATCCCCGCCGTAAGTCGAGAACATACCCCTGGTCCCCGCTGCAACTCGTGAAAAACCATGAGACTTCCCCCTAGAGGCGAGATGAGGCCCCATTCCCCTGCAGTGCATGCAGAGCTATTCCGTGATCCCATTCAAACCAGGCAGGACCTTCGACTTGCTTAATGGATCTCGAGACAGTCCCCAAGAACACTGTCACAAGTCTAGACGTATCCTGAGGTCACCCCAGCAACGCAAAGTAGCTCCATGTGCCCCAAATCAACTCGAGATGAGGCCCGATTCCCCTGCATTGACTCCAGAGCCATTCCCCGTTCCCCATTCAACACGACCGGTGGCTCGACTTCCTTCAGGCAACTCCAGAGATGCCCCGAGAACACTGTCCCAAGGCTAGAGGAACACCAACTTCAGCACAGCAACTTGAGGAATGCTCCGTGTACCCCAAATCGTCTCGAGATGAGAGCTGATTCCCTGGCTTAGGCTCAAGACGTATGCCAACTTTCCAGAAGCACCTCAGGAGGAGGCTTCACCCAGCAATAGGTATGTGGGAGGGACCCCGAGATCGCTGCCTCAAGTGGAGTATACAGCGAGAAGCCCTAACTTGAAAGGAGGCCGGATTTCCTTGCTGTGGCTTGAATACAGGCTCATCTTTCATCTCACAACATGAAGGGAAGTCTGAATCCCCTGTGGAGACCTTAGAGAAAGCCCTATGTCCCTGCCTCATTTTGACGGAATGCCTCACATCCCGTTGACACCTCGAGAGGCACGCAGAATTCATTGCTTCAAAAGGTGACGATGCCTGACTCCTCTTGAATACTGATAGGAATCCCAAAATCCCTGTGACTACTGGAAAGGGTCCTTGGGTGCCCTGCCTCACCTCGAGAAGCGTCCCTTTTGCCCTGCCAGGCCTCGAAGAGTTTCCTGAGGTGTCCCTGGTTACTAGACAGGAGTCCTACGTCACTGAAGAAACTCGTGTTTTGAAGGGCCATCCCCGCCGTAAGTCGAGAACATACCCCATGTCCCCGCCGCAACTCGAGAAAAACCATGAGACTTACCGCTAGAGGCGAGATGAGGCCCCATTCCCCTGCAGTGCATGCAGAGCTATTCCGTGATCCCATTCAAACAAGTCAGGAGCTTCGACTTGCTTAATGGATCTCGAGACCGTCCCCAAGAACACTGTCACCAGTCTAGACGGACCCTGAGGTCACCCCAGCAAAGCAAAGCAGCTCCATGTGCCCCAAGTCAACTCGAGATGAGGCCCGATTCCCCTGCCTTGAGTACAGAGCCATTCCCCGTTCCCCATTCAACACGACCGGTGGCTCGACTTCCTTCAGGCAACTCCAGAGATGCCCCGAGAACACTGTCCCAAGTCTAGAGGAACACCAACTTCAGCACAGCAACTCGAGGAATGCTGTGTGTACCACAAATCATCTCGAGATGAGAGTTGATTCCCTGCCTTAGGCTCAAGACGTATGCCAACTTTCCAGAAGCACCTCAGGAGGAGGCCTCTCCCAGCAATAGTTATTTGGGAGGGACCACGAGATCGCTGCCTCAAGTGGAATATACAGCGAGAAGCCCTAACTTGAAAGGAGGCCGGATTTCCTTGCTGTGGGTTGAATACAGGCTCCTGTTTGATCTCAAAACATGAAGGGATGACTGAAACCCCTGTGGAGACCTTAGAGAAAGCCCTAGATCCCTGCCTCATTTTGACGGAATGCCTCACATCCCGTTGACACCTCGAGAGGCACGCAGAGTTCATTGCTTCAAAAGGTGACGATGCCTGACTCCTCTTGAATACTGATAGGAATCCCAAAATCCCTGTGGCTAATGGAAAGGGTCCTTGGGTGCCCTGCCTCACCTCGAGAAGCGTCCCTTTTGCCCTGCCAAGCCTCGAAGAGTTTCCTGAGGTGTCCCTGTTTACTAGACAGGAGTCCTACGTCCCTGAAGAAACTCGTGTTTTGAAGGGCCATCCCCGCCGTAAGTCGAGAACATACCCCATGTCCCCGCCGCAACTCGAGAAAAACCATGAGACTTACCCCTAGAGGCGAGATGAGGCCCCATTCCCTGCAGTGCATGCAGAGCTATTCCGTGATCCCATTCAAACAAGTCAGGAGCTTCGACTTGCCTAATGGATCTCGAGACCGTCCCCAAGAACACTGTCACCAGTCTAGACGGAACCTGAGGTCACCCCAGCAATGCAAAGCAGCTCCATGTGCCCCAAATCAACTGGAGATGAGGCCCGATTCCCCTGCATTGACTCCAGAGCCATTCCACGTTCCCCATTCAACATGACCGGTGGCTCGACTTCCTTCAGGCAACTCCAGAGATGCCCCGAGAACACTGTCCCAAGGCTAGAGGAACACCAACTTCAGCACAGCAACTCGAGGAATGCTCCGTGTACCCCAAATCGTCTCGAGATGAGAGCTGATTCCCTGGCTTAGGGTCAAGTAGTATGCCAACTATCCAGAAGCACCTCAGGAGGCGGCTTCTCTCAGCAATAGGTATGTGGGGGGACCCCGAGATAGCTGCCTCAAGTGGAATATACAGCGAGAAGCCCTAACTTGAAAGGAGGCCGGATTTCCTTGCAGTGGCTTGAATACAGGCTCGTCTTTCATCTAACAACATGAAGGGATGTCTGAATCCCCTGTGGAGACCTTAGAGAAAGCCCTAGGTCCCTGCGTCATTTTGACGGAATGCCTCACATCCCGTTGACACCTCGAGAGGCAGGCGGAGTTCATTGCTTCAAAAGGTGACGATGCCTGACTCCTCTTGAATACTGAAAGGAATCCCAAAATCCCTGTGGCTACTGGAAAGGGTGCTGGGGTGCCCTGCCTCACCTCGAGAAGCGTCCCTTTTGCCCTGCCAAGCCTCGAAGAGATTCCTGAGTTATCCCTCGTTACTAGACAGGATTCCTGACGTCACTGAATAAACACGTGTTTTGAAGTGCCATCCCCGCCGTAAGTCGAGAACATACCCCAGGTCCCCGCCGCAACTCGAGAAAAACCATGAGACTTCCCCTAGAGTCGAGATGAGGCCCCATTCCCCTCCAGTGCATGCAGAGCTCTTCCGTGATCGCATTCAAACAAATCAGGAGCTTCGACTTGCTTAATGGATCTCGAGACAGTCCCCAAGAACACTGTCACCAGTCTAGACGGACCTGAGGTCACCCCACCAACGCAAAGCAGCTCCATGTGCCCCAAATCAACTCGAGATGAGGCCCGATTCCCCTGCATTGACTCCAGAGCCATTCCCCGTTCCCCATTCAACACGACCGGTGGCTCGACTTCCTTCAGGCAACTCCAGAGATGCCCCGAGAACACTGTCCCAAGGCTAGAGGAACACCAACTTCAGCACAGCAACTTGAGGAATGCTCCGTGTACCCCAAATCGTCTCGAGATGAGAGCTGATTCCCTGGCTTAGGCTCAAGACGTATGCCAACTTTCCAGAAGCACCTCAGGAGGAGGCTTCACCCAGCAATAGGTATGTGGGAGGGACCCCGAGATCGCTGAATCAAGTGGAGTATACAGCGAGAAGCCCTAACTTGAAAGGAGGCCGGATTTCCTTGCTGTGGCTTGAATACAGGCTCGTCTTTCATCTCACAACATGAAGGGAAGTCTGAATCCCCTGTGGAGACCTTAGAGAAAGCCCTAGGTCCCTGCCTCATTTTGACGGAATGCCTCACATCCCGTTGACACCTCGAGAGGCACGCAGAATTCATTGCTTCAAAAGGTGACGATGCCTGACTCCTCTTGAATACTGATAGGAATCCCAAAATCCCTGTGACTACTGGAAAGGGTCCTTGGGTGCCCTGCCTCACCTCGAGAAGCGTCCCTTTTGCCCTGCCAGGCCTCGAAGAGTTTCCTGAGGTGTCCCTGGTTACTAGACAGGAGTCCTACGTCACTGAAGAAACTCGTGTTTTGAAGGGCCATCCCCGCCGTAAGTCGAGAACATACCCCATGTCCCCGCCGCAACTCGAGAAAAACCATGAGACTTACCGCTAGAGGCGAGATGAGGCCCCATTCCCCTGCAGTGCATGCAGAGCTATTCCGTGATCCCATTCAAACAAGTCAGGAGCTTCGACTTGCTTAATGGATCTCGAGACCGTCCCCAAGAACACTGTCACCAGTCTAGACGGACCCTGAGGTCACCCCAGCAAAGCAAAGCAGCTCCATGTGCCCCAAGTCAACTCGAGATGAGGCCCGATTCCCCTGCCTTGAGTACAGAGCCATTCCCCGTTCCCCATTCAACACGACCGGTGGCTCGACTTCCTTCAGGCAACTCCAGAGATGCCCCGAGAACACTGTCCCAAGTCTAGAGGAACACCAACTTCAGCACAGCAACTCGAGGAATGCTGTGTGTACCACAAATCATCTCGAGATGAGAGTTGATTCCCTGCCTTAGGCTCAAGACGTATGCCAACTTTCCAGAAGCACCTCAGGAGGAGGCCTCTCCCAGCAATAGTTATTTGGGAGGGACCACGAGATCGCTGCCTCAAGTGGAATATACAGCGAGAAGCCCTAACTTGAAAGGAGGCCGGATTTCCTTGCTGTGGGTTGAATACAGGCTCCTGTTTGATCTCAAAACATGAAGGGATGACTGAAACCCCTGTGGAGACCTTAGAGAAAGCCCTAGATCCCTGCCTCATTTTGACGGAATGCCTCACATCCCGTTGACACCTCGAGAGGCACGCAGAGTTCATTGCTTCAAAAGGTGACGATGCCTGACTCCTCTTGAATACTGATAGGAATCCCAAAATCCCTGTGGCTAATGGAAAGGGTCCTTGGGTGCCCTGCCTCACCTCGAGAAGCGTCCCTTTTGCCCTGCCAAGCCTCGAAGAGTTTCCTGAGGTGTCCCTGTTTACTAGACAGGAGTCCTACGTCCCTGAAGAAACTCGTGTTTTGAAGGGCCATCCCCGCCGTAAGTCGAGAACATACCCCATGTCCCCGCCGCAACTCGAGAAAAACCATGAGACTTACCCCTAGAGGCGAGATGAGGCCCCATTCCCTGCAGTGCATGCAGAGCTATTCCGTGATCCCATTCAAACAAGTCAGGAGCTTCGACTTGCCTAATGGATCTCGAGACCGTCCCCAAGAACACTGTCACCAGTCTAGACGGAACCTGAGGTCACCCCAGCAATGCAAAGCAGCTCCATGTGCCCCAAATCAACTGGAGATGAGGCCCGATTCCCCTGCATTGACTCCAGAGCCATTCCACGTTCCCCATTCAACATGACCGGTGGCTCGACTTCCTTCAGGCAACTCCAGAGATGCCCCGAGAACACTGTCCCAAGGCTAGAGGAACACCAACTTCAGCACAGCAACTCGAGGAATGCTCCGTGTACCCCAAATCGTCTCGAGATGAGAGCTGATTCCCTGGCTTAGGGTCAAGTAGTATGCCAACTATCCAGAAGCACCTCAGGAGGCGGCTTCTCTCAGCAATAGGTATGTGGGGGGACCCCGAGATAGCTGCCTCAAGTGGAATATACAGCGAGAAGCCCTAACTTGAAAGGAGGCCGGATTTCCTTGCAGTGGCTTGAATACAGGCTCGTCTTTCATCTAACAACATGAAGGGATGTCTGAATCCCCTGTGGAGACCTTAGAGAAAGCCCTAGGTCCCTGCGTCATTTTGACGGAATGCCTCACATCCCGTTGACACCTCGAGAGGCAGGCGGAGTTCATTGCTTCAAAAGGTGACGATGCCTGACTCCTCTTGAATACTGAAAGGAATCCCAAAATCCCTGTGGCTACTGGAAAGGGTGCTGGGGTGCCCTGCCTCACCTCGAGAAGCGTCCCTTTTGCCCTGCCAAGCCTCGAAGAGATTCCTCAGGTGTCCCTCGTTACTAGACAGGATTCCTGACGTCACTGAATAAACACGTGTTTTGACGTGCCATCCCCGCCGTAAGTCGAGAACATACCCCAGGTCCCCGCCGCAACTCGAGAAAAACCATGAGACTTCCCCTAGAGTCTAGATGAGGCCCCATTCCCCTCCAGTGCATGCAGAGCTCTTCCGTGATCGCATTCAAACAAATCAGGAGCTTCGACTTGCTTAATGGATCTCGAGACAGTCCCCAAGAACACTGTCACCAGTCTAGACGGACCCTGAGGTCACCCCAGCAAAGCAAAGCAGCTCCATGTGCCCCAAATCAACTCGAGATGAGGCCCGATTCCCCTGCATTGACTCCAGAGCCATTCCCGTTCCCCATTCAACACGACCGGTGGCTCGACTTCCTTCAGGCAACTCCAGAGATGCCCCGAGAACACTGTCCCAAGGCTAGAGGAACACCAACTTCAGCACAGCAACTCGAGGAATGCTGTGTGTACCACAAATCATCTCGAGATGAGAGTTGATTCCCTCCCTTAGGCTCAAGACGTATGCCAACTTTCCAGAAGCACCTCAGGAGGAGGCCTCTCCCAGCAATAGGTATTTGTGAGGGACCCCGAGATCGCTGCCTCAAGTGGAATATACAGCGAGAAGCCCTAACTTGAAAGGAGGCTGGATTTCCTTGCTGTGGGTTGAATACAGGCTCCTCTTTGATTTCAAAACATGAAGGGATGACTGAATCCCCTGTGGAGACCTTAGAGAAAGCCCTAGATCCCTGCCTCATTTTGACGGAATGCCTCACATCCCGTTGACACCTCGAGAGGCACGCAGAGTTCATTGCTTCAAAAGGTGACGATGCCTGACTCCTCTTGAATACTGATAGGAATCCCAAAATCCCTGTGGCTAATGGAAAGGGTCCTTGGGTGCCCTGCCTCACCTCGAGAAGCGTCCCTTTTGCCCTGCCAAGCCTCGAAGAGTTTCCTGAGGTGTCCCTGGTTACTAGACAGGAGTCCTACGTCACTGAAGAAACTCGTGTTTTGAAGGGCCATCCCCGCCGTAAGTCGAGAACATACCCCATGTCCCCGCCGCAACTCGAGAAAAACCATGAGACTTACCCCTAGAGGCGAGATGAGGCCCCATTCCCCTGCAGTGCATGCAGAGCTATTCCGTGATCCCATTCAAACAAGTCAGGAGCTTCGACTTGCTTAATGGATCTCGAGACCGTCCCCAAGAACACTGTCACCAGTCTAGACGGAACCTGAGGTCACCCCAGCAATGCAAAGCAGATCCATGTGCCCCAAATCAACTCGAGATGAGGCCCGATTCCCCTGCATTGACTCCAGAGCCATTCCACGTTCCCCATTCAACATGACCGGTGGCTCGACTTCCTTCAGGCAACTCCAGAGATGCCCGGAGAACACTGTCCCAAGGCTAGAGGAACACCAACTTCAGCACAGCAACTTGAGTAATGTTGTGTGTACCACAAATCATCTCGAGATGAGAGCTGATTCCCTGGCTTAGGCTCAAGACGTATGCCAACTTTCCAGAAGCACCTCAGGAGGAGGCCTCTCCCAGCAATAGGTATTTGTGAGGGACCCCGAGATCGCTGCCTCAAGTGGAATATACAGCGAGAAGCCCTAACTTGAAAGGAGGCCGGATTTCCTTGCTGTGGCTTGAATACAGGCTCCTCTTTGATCTCAAAACATGAAGGGATGACTGAATCCCCTGTGGAGACCTTAGAGAAAGCCCTAGGTCCCTGCGTCATTTTGACGGAATGCCTCACATCCCGTTGACACCTCGAGAGGCACGCAGAATTCATTGCTTCAAAAGGTGACGATGCCTGACTCCTCTTGAATACTGATAGGAATCCCAAAATCACTGTGGCTACTGGAATGGGTCCTTGGGTGCCCTGCCTCACATCGAGAAGCGTCCCTTTTGCCCTGCCAAGCCTCGAAGAGTTTCCTGAGCTGTCCCTCGTTACTAGACTGGAGTCCTGACGTCACTGAAGAAACTCGTCTTTTGAAGGGCCATCCCCGCCGTAAGTCGAGAACATACCCCATGTCCCCGCTGCAACTCGTGAAAAACCATGAGACTTCCCCCTAGAGGCGAGATGAGGCCCCATTCCCCTGCAGTGCATGCAGAGCTATTCCGTGATCCCATTCAAACCAGGCAGGACCTTCGACTTGCTTAATGGATCTCGAGACAGTCCACAAGAACACTGTCACAAGTCTAGACGTATCCTGAGGTCACCCCAGCAACGCAAAGCAGCTCCATGTGCCCCAAATCAACTCGAGATGAGGCCTGATTCCCCTGCATTGACTCCAGAGCCATTCCCCATTCCCCATTCAACACGACCGGTGGCTCGACTTCCTTCAGGCAACTCCAGAGATGCCCCGAGAACACTGTCCCAAGGCTAGAGGAACACCAACTTCAGCACAGCAACTCGAGGAATGCTCCGTGTACCCCAAATCGTCTCGAGATGAGAGCTGATTCCCTGGCTTAGGCTCAAGACGTATGCCAACTTTCCTGAAGCACCTCAGGAGGAGGCTTCTCCCAGCAATAGGTATGTGGGAGGGACCACGAGATCGCTGCCTCAAGTGGAGTATACAGCGAGAAGCCTTAACTTGAAAGGAGGCCGGATTTCCTTGCAATGGCTTGAATACAGGCTCGTCTTTCATCTCACAACATGAAGGGAAGTCTGAATCCCCTGTGGAGACCTTAGAGAAAGCCCTAGGTCCCTGCCTCATTTTGACGGAATGCCTCACATCCCGTTGACACCTCGAGAGGCACGCAGAGTTCATTGCTTCAAAAGGTGACGATGCCTGATTCCTCTTGAATACTGATAGGAATCCCAAAATCCCTGTGGCTAATGGAAAGGGTCCTTGGGTGCCCTGCCTCACCTCGAGAAGCGTCCCTTTTGCCCTGCCAAGCCTCGAAGAGTTTCCTGAGGTGTCCCTGGTTACTAGACAGGAGTCCTACGTCACTGAAGAAACTCGTGTTTTGAAGGGCCATCCCCGCCGTAAGTCGAGAACATACCCCATGTCCCCGCCGCAACTCGAGAAAAACCATGAGACTTACCCCTAGAGGCGAGATGAGGCCTTATTCCCCTGCAGTGCATGCAGAGCTATTCCGTGATCCCATTCAAACAAGTCAGGAGCTTCGACTTGCTTAATGGATCTCGAGACCGTCCCCAAGAACACTGTCACCAGTCTAGACGGAACCTGAGGTCACCCCAGCAATGCAAAGCAGCTCCATGTGCCCCAAATCAGCTCGAGATGAGGCCCGATTCCCCTGCATTGACTCCAGAGCCATTCCACGTTCCCCATTCAACATGACCGGTGGCTCGACTTCCTTCAGGCAACTCCAGAGATGCCCAGAGAACACTGTCCCAAGGCTAGAGGAACACCAACTTCAGCACAGCAACTCGAGGAATGCTCCGTGTACCCCAAATCGTCTCGAGATGAGAGCTGATTCCCTGGCTTAGGCTCAAGACGTATGCCAACTATCCAGAAGCACCTCAGGAGGCGGCTTCTCTCAGCAATAGGTATGTGGGAGGGACCCCGAGATAGCTGCCTCAAGTGGAATATACAGCGAGAAGCCCTAACTTGAAAGGAGGACGGATTTCCTTGCAGTGGCTTGAATACAGGCTCGTCTTTCATCTAACAACATGAAGGGATGTCTGAATCCCCTGTGGAGTCCTTAGAGAAAGCCCTAGTTCCCTGCCTCATTTTGACGGAATGCCTCACATCCCGTTGACACCTCGAGAGGCAGGCGGAGTTCATTGCTTCAAAAGGTGACGATGCCTGACTCCTCTTGAATAGTGAAAGGAATCCCAAAATCCCTGTGGCTACTGGAAAGGGTGCTTGGGTGCCCTGCCTCACCTCGAGAAGCGTTCCTTTTGCCCTGCCAAGCCTCGAAGAGATTCCTGAGGTGTCCCTCGTTACTAGACAGGAGTCCTGACGTCACTGAATAAACACGTGTTTTGAAGGGCCATCCCCACCGTAAGTCGAGAACATACCCCAGGTCCCCGCCGCAACTCGAGAAAAACCATGAGACTTCCCCCTAGAGTCGAGATGAGGCCCCATTCCCCTCCAGTGCATGCAGAGCTCTTCCGTGATCGCATTCAAACAAATCAGGAGCTTCGACTTGCTTAATGGATATCGAGACAGTCCCCAAGAACACTTTCACCAGTCTAGACGGACCCTGAGGTCACCCGAGCAACGCAAAGCAGCTCCATGTGCCCCAAATCAACTCGAGATGAGGCCCGATTCCCCTGCATTGACTCCAGAGCCATTCCCCGTTCCCGATTCAACACGACCGGTGGATCGACTTCCTTCAGGCAACTCCAGAGATGCCCGGAGAACACTGTCCCAAGGCTAGAGGAACACCAACTTCAGCACAGCAACTTGAGTAATGTTTTGTGTACCACAAATCATCTCGAGATGAGAGCAGATTCCCTGGCTTGGGCTCAAGACGTATGCCAACTTTCCAGAAGCACCTCAGGAGGAGGCCTCTCCCAGCAATAGGTATTTGTGAGGGACCCCGAGATCACTGCCTCAAGTGGAATATACAGCGAGAAGCCCTAACTTGAAAGGAGGCCGGATTTCCTTGCTGTGGCTTGAATACAGGCTCCTCTTTGATCTCAAAACATGAAGGGATGACTGAATCCCCTGTGGAGACCTTAGAGAAAGCCCTAGGTCCCTGCGTCATTTTGACGGAATGCCTCACATCCCGTTGACATCTCGAGAGGCACGCAGAGTTCATTGCTTCAAAAGGTGACGATGCCTGACTCCTCTTGAATACTGATAGGAATCCCAAAAGCCCTGTGGCTACTGGAAAGTGTCCTTGGGTGCCCTGCATCACCTCGAGAAGCGTCCCTTTTGCCCTGCCAAGCCTCGAAGAGTTTCCTGAGATGTCACTGGTTACTAGACAGGAGTCCTAGGTCACTGAAGAAACCCGTGTTTTGAAGGGCCATCCCCGCCGTAAGTCGAGAACATACCCCAGGTCCCCGCCGCAACTCGAGAAAAACCATGAGACTTCCCCCTAGAGGCGAGATGAGGCCGCATTCCCCTGCAGTGCATGCAGAGCAATTCCGTGATCCCATTCAAACAAGTCAGGAGCTTCGACTTGCTTAATGGATCTCGAGATAGTCCACAAGAACACTGTCACCAGTCTAGACGGACCCTGAGGTCACCCCAGCAACGCAAAGCAGGTGCATGTGCCCCAAATCAACTCGAGATGAGGCCCGATTCCCCTGAATTGACTCCAGAGCCATTACCCTTTCCCCATTCAACACGACTGGTGGCTCGACTTCCTTCAGGCAACTCCAGAGATGCCCCGAGAACACTGTCCCAAGGCTAGAGGAACACCAACTTCACCACAGAAACTCGAGGAATGCTCCGTGTACCCCAAATCGTCTCGAGATGGGAGCTGATTCCCTGGCTTAGGCTAAAGAAGTATGCCAACTATATAGAAGCACCTCAGGAGGCGGCTTCTCTCAGCAATAGGTATGTGGGGGGGACCCCGAGATAGCTGCCTCAAGTAGAATATACAGCGAGAAGACCTAACTTGAAAGGAGGCCGGATTTCCTTGCAGTGGCTTGAATACAGGCTCGTCTTTCATCTAACAGCATGAAGGGATGTCTGAATCCCCTGTGGAGACCTTAGAGAAAGCCCTAGGTCCCTGCGTCATTTTGACGGAATGCCTCACATCCCGTTGACACCTCGAGAGGCAGGCGGAGTTCATTGCTTCAAAAGGTGACGATGCCTGACTCCTCTTGAATACTGAAAGGAATCCCAAAATCCCTGTGGCTACTGGAAAGGGTGCTTGGGTGCCCTGCCTCACCTCGAGAAGCGTCCCTTTTGCCCTGCCAAGCCTCAAAGAGATTCCTGAGGTGTCCCTCGTTACTAGACAGGAGTCCTGACGTCACTGAATAAACACGTGTTTTGAAGGGCCATCCCCGCCATAAGTCGAGAACATACCCCAGGTCCCCGCCGCAACTCGAGAAAAACCATGAGACTTCCCCCTAGAGTCGAGATGAGGCCCCATTCCCCTCCAGTGCATGCAGAGCTCTTCCGTGATCGCATTCAAACAAATCAGGAGCTTCGACTTGCTTAATGGATATCGAGACAGTCCACAAGAACACTGTCACCAGTCTAGACGGACCCTGAGGTCACCCCAGCAACGCAAAGCAGCTCCATGTGCCCCAAATCAACTCGAGATGAGGCCCGATTCCCCTGCATTGACTCCAGAGCCATTCCCCGTTCCCCATTCAACACGACCGGTGGCTCGACTTCCTTCAGGCAACTCCAGAGATGCCCCGAGAACACTGTCCCAAGGCTAGAGGAACACCAACTTCAGCACAGCAACTTGAGGAATGCTGTGTGTACCACAAATCATCTCGAGATGAGAGCTGATTCCCCGGCTTAGGCTCAAGACGTATGCCAACTTTCCAGAAGCACCTCAGGAGGAGGCCTCTCCCAGCAATAGGTATTTGTGAGGCACCCCGAGATCGCTGCCTCAAGTGGAATATACAGCGAGAAGCCCTAACTTGAAAGGAGGCCGGATTTCCTTGCTGTGGCTTGAATACAGGCTCCTCTTTGATCTCAAAACATGAAGGGATGACTGAATCCCCTGTGGAGACCTTAGAGAAAGCCCTAGGTCCCTGCGTCATTTTGACGGAATGTCTCACATCCCGTTGACACATCGAGAGGCACGCAGAATTCATTGCTTCAAAAGGTGACGATGCCTGTCTCCTCTTGAATACTGATAGGAATCCCAAAATCACTGTGGCTACTGGAATGGGTCCTTGGGTGCCCTGCCTCACATCGAGAAGCGTCCCTTTTGCCCTGCCAAGCCTAGAAGAGTTTCCTGAGCTGTCCCTCGTTACTAGACTGGAGTCCTGACGTCACTGGAGAAACTCGTCTTTTGAAGGGCCATCCACGCCGTAAGTCGAGAACATACCCCTGGTCCCCGCTGCAACTCGTGAAAAACCATGAGACTTCCCCCTAGAGGCGAGATGAGGCCCCATTCCCCTGCAGTGCATGCAGAGCTATTCCGTGATCCCATTTAAACCAGGCAGGACCTTCGACTTGCTTAATGGATCTCGAGACAGTCCGCAAGAACACTGTCACAAGTCTAGACGTATCCTGAGATCACACCAGCAAAGCAAAGCAGCTCGATGTGCCCCAAATCAACTCGAGATGAGGCCCGATTCCCCTGCATTGACTCCAGAGCCATTCCCCGTTCCCCATTCAACACGACCGGTGGCTCGACTTCCTTCAGGCAACTCCAGAGATGCCCCGAGAACACTGTCCCAAGGCTAGAGGAACACCAACTTCAGCACAGCAACTTGAGGAATGCTGTGTGTACCACAGATCATCTCGAGATGAGAGCTGATTCCCTGGCTTAGGCTCAAGACGTATGCCAACTTTCCAGAAGCACCTCAGGAAGAGGCCTCTCCCAGCAATAGGTATTTGTGAGGGACCCCGAGATCGCTGCCTCCAGTGGAATATACAGCGAGAAGCCCTAACTTGAAAGGAGGCCGGATTTCCTTGCTGTGGCTTGAATACAGGCTCCTCTTTGATCTCAAAACATGAAGGGATGACTGAATCCCTTGTGGAGACCTTAGAGAAAGCCCTAGGTCCCTGCGTCATTTTGACGGAATGCCTCACATCCCGTTGACACCTCGAGAGGCACGCAGAATTCATTGCTTCAAAAGTTGACGATGCCTGACTCCTCTTGAATACTGATAGGAATCCCAAAATCACTGTGGCTACTGGAAAGGGTCCTTGGGTGCCCTGCTTCTCCTTGAGAAGCGTCCCTTTTGCCCTGCCAAGCCTCGAAGAGTTTCCTGAGGTGTCCCTGGTTACTAGACAGGAGTCCTACGTCACTGAAGAAACTCGTGTTTTGAAGGGCCATCCCCGCCGTAAGTCGAGAACATACCCCTGGTCCCCGCTGCAACTCGTGAAAAACCATGAGACTTCCCCCTAGAGGCGAGATGAGGCCCCATTCCCCTGCAGTGCATGCAGAGCTATTCCGTGATCCCATTCAAACCAGGCAGGACCTTCGACTTGCTTAATGGATCTCGAGACAGTCCACAAGAACACTGTCACAAGTCTAGACGTATCCTGAGGTCACCCCAGCAACGCAAAGCTGCTCCATGTGCCCCAAATCAACTCGAGATGAGGTCTGATTCCCCTGCATTGACTCCAGAGCCATTCCCCGTTCCCCATTCAACACGACCGGTGGCTCGACTTCCTTCAGGCAACTCCAGAGATGCCCCGAGAACACTGTCCCAAGGCTAGAGGAACACCAACTTCAGCACAGCAACTCGAGGAATGCTCCGTGTACCCCAAATCGTCTCGAGATGAGAGCTGATTCCCTGGCTTAGGCTCAAGACGTATGCCAACTTTCCAGAAGCACCTCAGGAGGAGGCTTCTCCCAGCAATAGGTATGTGGGAGGGACCCCGAGATGGCTGCCTCAAGTGGAGTATACAGCGAGAAGCCCTAACTTGAAAGGAGGCCGGATTTCCTTGCAATGGCTTGAATACAGGCTCGTCTTTCATCTCACAACATGAAGGGAAGTCTGAATCCCCTGTGGAGACCTTAGAGAAAGCCCTAGGTCCCTGCCTCATTTTGACGGAATGCCTCACATCCCGTTGACACCTCGAGAGGCACGCAGAGTTCATTGCTTCAAAAGGTGACGATGCCTGACTCCTCTTGAATACTGATAGGAATCCCAAAATCCCTGTGACTTCTGGAAAGGGTCCTTGGGTGCCCTGCCTCACCTCGAGAAGCGTCCCTTTTGCCCTGCCAAGCCTCGAAGACTTTCCTGAGGTGTCCCTGGTTACTAGACAGGAGTCCTACGTCACTGAAGAAACTCGTGTTTTGAAGGGCCATCCCCGCCGTAAGTCGAGAACATACCCCATGTCCCCGCCGCAACTCGAGAAAAACCATGAGACTTACCGCTAGAGGCGAGATGACGCCCCATTCCCCTGCAGTGCATGCAGAGCTATTCCGTGATCCCATTCAAACAAGTCAGGAGCTTCGACTTGCTTAATGGATCTCGAGACCGTCCCCAAGAACACTGTCACCAGTCTAGACGGAACCTGAGGTCACCCCAGCAATGCAAAGCAGCTCCATGTGCCCCAAATCAACTCGAGATGAGGCCCGATTCCCCTGCATTGACTCCAGAGCCATTCCACGTTCCCCATTCAACATGACCGGTGGCTCGACTTCCTTCAGGCAACTCCAGAGATGCCCCGAGAACACTGTCCCAAGGCTAGAGGAACACCAACTTCAGCACAGCAACTCGAGGAATGCTCCGTGTACCCCAAATCGTCTCGAGATGAGAGCTGATTCCCTGGCTTAGGCTCAAGACGTATGCCAACTATCCAGAAGCACCTCAGGAGGCGGCTTCTCTCAGCAATAGTTATGTGGGGGGGACCCCGAGATAGCTGCCTCAAGTGGAATATACAGCAAGAAGCCCTAACTTGAAAGGAGGCCGGATTTCCTTGCAGTGGCTTGAATACAGGCTCGTCTTTCATCTCACAACATGAAGGGATGTCTGAATCCCCTGTGGAGACCTTAGAGAAAGCCCTAGGTCCCTGCGTCATTTTGACGGAATGCCTCACATCACGTTGACACCTCGAGAGGCAGGCGGAGTTCATTGCTTCAAAAGGTGACGATGCCTGACTCCTCTTGAATACTGAAAGGAATCCCAAAATCCCTGTGGCTACTGGAAAGGGTGCTGGGGTGCCCTGCCTCACCTCGAGAAGCGTCCCTTTTGCCCTGCCAAGCCTCGAAGAGATTCCTGAGTTATCCCTCGTTACTAGACAGGATTCCTGACGTCACTGAATAAACACGTGTTTTGAAGTGCCATCCCCGCCGTAAGTCGAGAACATACCCCAGGTCCCCGCCGCAACTCGAGAAAAACCATGAGACTTCCCCTAGAGTCGAGATGAGGCCCCATTCCCCTCCAGTGCATGCAGAGCTCTTCCGTGATCGCATTCAAACAAATCAGGAGCTTCAACTTGCTTAATGGATCTCGAGACAGTCCCCAAGAACACTGTCACCAGTCTAGACGGACCCTGAGGTCACCCCAGCAAAGCAAAGCAGCTCCATGTGCCCCTAATCAACTCGAGATGAGGCCCGATTCCCCTGCATTGACTCCAGAGCCATTCCCCGTTCCCCATTCAACACGACCGGTATCTCGACTTCCTTCAGGCAACTCCAGAGATGCCCCGAGAACACTGTCCCAAGGCTAGAGGAACACCAACTTCAGCACAGCAACTCGAGGAATGCTGTGTGTACCACAAATCATCTCGAGATGAGAGTTGATTCCCTGGCTTAGGCTCAAGACGTATGCCAACTTTCCAGAAGCACCTCAGGAGGAGGCCTCTCCCAGCAATAGGTATTTGGGAGGGACCCCGAGATCGCTGCCTCAAGTGGAATATACAGCGAGAATCCCTAACTTGAAAGGAGGCTGGATTTCCTTGCTGTGGGTTGAATACAGGCTCCTCTTTGATCTCAAAACATGAAGGGATGACTGAATCCCCTGTGGAGACCTTAGAGAAAGCCCTAGATCCCTGCCTCATTTTGACGGAATGCCTCACATCCCGTTGACACATCGAGAGGCACGCAGAGTTCATTGCTTCAAAAGGTGACGATGCCTGACTCCTCTTGAATACTGATAGGAATCCCAAAATCCCTGTGGCTAATGGAAAGGGTCCTTGGGTGCCCTGCCTCACCTCGAGAAGCGTCCCTTTTGCCCTGCCAAGCCTCGAAGAGTTTCCTGAGGTGTCCCTGGTTACTAGACAGGAGTCCTACGTCACTGAAGAAACTCGTGTTTTGAAGGGCCATCCCCGCCGTAAGTCGAGAACATACCCCATGTCCCCGCCGCAACTCGAGAAAAACCATGAGACTTACCCCTAGAGGCGAGATGAGGCCCCATTCCCCTGCAGTGCATGCAGAGCTATTCCGTGATCCCATTCAAACAAGTCAGGAGCTTCGACTTGCTTAATGGATCTCGAGACCGTCCCCAAGAACACTGTCACCAGTCTAGACGGAACCTGAGGTCACCCCAGCAATGCAAAGCAGCTCCATGTGCCCCAAATCAACTCGAGATGAGGCCCGATTCCCCTGCATTGACTCCAGAGCCATTCCACGTTCCCCATTCAACATGACCGGTGGCTCGACTTCCTTCAGGCAACTCCAGAGATGCCCAGAGAACACTGTCCCAAGGCTAGAGGAACACCAACTTCAGCACAGCAACTCGAGGAATGCTCCGTGTACCCCAAATCGTCTCGAGATGAGAGCTGATTCCCTGGCTTAGGCTCAAGACGTATGCCAACTATCCAGAAGCACCTCAGGAGGCGGCTTCTCTCAGCAATAGGTATGTGGGAGGGACCCCGAGATAGCTGCCTCAAGTGGAATATACAGCGAGAAGCCCTAACTTGAAAGGAGGACGGATTTCCTTGCAGTGGCTTGAATACAGGCTCGTCTTTCATCTAACAACATGAAGGGATGTCTGAATCCCCTGTGGAGTCCTTAGAGAAAGCCCTAGGTCCCTGCCTCATTTTGACGGAATGCCTCACATCCCGTTGACACCTCGAGAGGCAGGCGGAGTTCATTGCTTCAAAAGGTGACGATGCCTGACTCCTCTTGAATAGTGAAAGGAATCCCAAAATCCCTGTGGCTACTGGAAAGGGTGCTTGGGTGCCCTGCCTCACCTCGAGAAGCGTCCCTTTTGCCCTGCCAAGCCTCGAAGAGATTCCTGAGGTGTCCCTCGTTACTAGACAGGATTCCTGACGTCACTGAATAAACACGTGTTTTGAAGTGCCATCCCCGCCGTAAGTCGAGAACATACCCCAGGTCCCCGCCGCAACTCGAGAAAAACCATGAGACTTCCCCTAGAGTCGAGATGAGGCCCCATTCCCCTCCAGTGCATGCAGAGCTCTTCCGTGATCGCATTCAAACAAATCAGGAGCTTCGACTTGCTTAATGGATCTCGAGACAGTCCCCAAGAACACTGTCACCAGTCTAGACGGACCCTGAGGTCACCCCAGCAAAGCAAAGCAGCTCCATGTGCCCCAAATCAACTCGAGATGAGGCCCGATTCCCCTGCATTGACTCCAGAGCCATTCCCCGTTCCCCTTTCAACACGACCGGTGGCTCGACTTCCTTCAGGCAACTCCAGAGATGCCCCGAGAACACTGTCCCAAGGCTAGAGGAACACCAACTTCAGCACAGCAACTCGAGGAATGCTGTGTGTACGACAAATCATCTCGAGATGAGAGTTGATTCCCTCCCTTAGGCTCAAGACGTATGCCAACTTTCCAGAAGCACCTCAGGAGGAGGCCTCTCCCAGCAATAGGTATTTGGGAGGGACCCCGAGATCGCTGCCTCAAGTGGAATATACAGCGAGAAGCCCTAACTTGAAAGGAGGCTGGATTTCCTTGCTGTGGGTTGAATACAGGCTCCTCTTTGATCTCAAAACATGAAGGGATGACTGAATCCCCTGTGGAGACCTTAGAGAAAGCCCTAGATCCCTGCCTCATTTTGACGGAATGCCTCACATCCCGTTGACACATCGAGAGACACGCAGAGTTCATTGCTTCAAAAGGTGACGATGCCTGACTCCTCTTGAATACTGATAGGAATCCCAAAATCCCTGTGGCTAATGGAAAGGGTCCTTGGGTGCCCTGCCTCACCTCGAGAAGCGTCCCTTTTGCCCTGCCAAGCCTCGAAGAGTTTCCTGAGGTGTCCCTGGTTACTAGACAGGAGTCCTACGTCACTGAAGAAACTCGTGTTTTGAAGGGCCATCCCCGCCTTAAGTCGAGAACATACCCCATGTCCCCGCCGCAACTCGAGAAAAACCATGAGACTTACCCCTAGAGGCGAGATGAGGCCCCATTCCCCTGCAGTGCATGCAGAGCTATTCCGTGATCCCATTCAAACAAGTCAGGAGCTTCGAATTGCTTAATGGATCTCGAGACCGTCCCCAAGAACACTGTCACCAGTCTAGACGGAACCTGAGGTCACCCCAGCAATGCAAAGCAGCTCCATGTGCCCCAAATCAACTCGAGATGAGGCCCGATTCCCCTGCATTGACTCCAGAGCCATTCCACGTTCCCCATTCAACATGACCGGTGGCTCGACTTCCTTCAGGCAACTCCAGAGATGCCCAGAGAACACTGTCCCAAGGCTAGAGGAACACCAACTTCAGCACAGCAACTCGAGGAATGCTCCGTGTACCCCAAATCGTCTCGAGATGAGAGCTGATTCCCTGGCTTAGGCTCAAGACGTATGCCAACTATCCAGAAGCACCTCAGGAGGCGGCTTCTCTCAGCAATAGGTATGTGGGAGGGACCCCGAGATAGCTGCCTCAAGTGGAATATACAGCGAGAAGCCCTAACTTGAAAGGAGGACGGATTTCCTTGCAGTGGCTTGAATACAGGCTCGTCTTTCATCTAACAACATGAAGGGATGTCTGAATCCCCTGTGGAGTCCTTAGAGAAAGCCCTAGGTCCCTGCCTCATTTTGACGGAATGCCTCACATCCCGTTGACACCTCGAAAGGCAGGCGGAGTTCATTGCTTCAAAAGGTGACGATGCCTGACTCCTCTTGAATAGTGAAAGGAATCCCAAAATCCCTGTGGCTACTGGAAAGGGTGCTTGGGTGCCCTGCCTCACCTCGAGAAGCGTCCGTTTTGCCCTGCCAAGCCTCGAAGAGATTCCTGAGGTGTCCCTCGTTACTAGACAGGAGTCCTGACGTCACTGAATAAACACGTGTTTTGAAGGGCCATCCCCACCGTAAGTTGAGAACATACCCCAGGTCCCCGCCGCAACTCGAGAAAAACCATGAGACTTCCCCCTAGAGTCGAGATGAGGCCCCTTCCCCTCCAGTGCATGCAGAGCTCTTCCGTGATCGCATTCAAACAAATCAGGAGCTTCGACTTGCTTAATGGATATCGAGACAGTCCCCAAGAACACTGTCACCAGTCTAGACGGACCCTGAGGTCACCCGAGCAACGCAAAGCAGCTCCATGTGCCCCAAATCAACTCGAGATGAGGCCCGATTCCCCTGCATTGACTCCAGAGCCATTCCCCGTTCCCGATTCAACACGACCGGTGGCTCGACTTCCTTCAGGCAACTCCAGAGATGCCCGGAGAACACTGTCCCAAGGCGAGAGGAACACCAACTTCAGCACAGCAACTTGAGTAATGTTTTGTGTACCACAAATCATCTCGAGATGAGAGCAGATTCCCTGGCTTAGGCTCAAGACGTATGCCAACTTTCCAGAAGCACCTAAGGAGGAGGCCTCTCCCAGCAATAGGTATTTGTGAGGTACCCCGAGATCACTGCCTCAAGTGGAATATACAGCGAGAAGCCCTAACTTGAAAGGAGGCCGGATTTCCTTGCTGTGGCTTGAATACAGGCTCCTCTTTGATCTCAAAACATGAAGGGATGACTGAATCCCCTGTGGAGACCTTAGAGAAAGCCCTAGGTCCCTGCGTCATTTTGACGGAATGCCTCACATCCCGTTGACACCTCGAGAGGCACGCAGAGTTCATTGCTTCAAAAGGTGACGATGCCTGACTCCTCTTGAATACTGATAGGAATCCCAAAAGCCCTGTGGCTACTGGAAAGGGTCCTTGGGTGCCCTGCATCACCTCGAGAAGCGTCCCTTTTGCCCTGCCAAGCCTCGAAGAGTTTCCTGAGATGTCACTGGGTACTAGACAGGAGTCCTAGGTCACTGAAGAAACCCGTGTTTTGAAGGGCCATCCCCGCCGTAAGTCGAGAACATACCCCAGGTCCCCGCCGCAACTCGAGAAAAACCATGAGACTTCCCCCTTGAGGCGAGATGAGGCCGCATTCCCCTGCAGTGCATGCAGAGCTATTCCGTGATCCCATTCAAACAAGTCAGGAGCTTCGACTTGCTTAATGGTCTCGAGATAGTCCACAAGAACACTGTCACCAGTCTAGACGGACCCTGAGGTCACCCCAGCAACGCAAAGCAGCTCCATGTGCCCCAAATCAACTCGAGATGAGGCACGATTCCCCTGCATTGACTCCAGAGCCATTACCCTTTCCCCATTCAACACGACTGGTGGCTCGACTTCCTTCAGGCAACTCCAGAGATGCCCCGAGAACACTGTTCCAAGTCTAGAGGAACACCAACTTCAGCACAGCAACTCGAGGATTGCTCCGTGTACACCAAATCATCTCGAGATGAGAGCTGATTCCCTGGCTTAGGCTCAAGACATATGCCAACTTTCCAGAAGCACCTCAGGAGGAGGCCTCTCCCAGCAATAGGTATGTGGGAGGGACCCCGAGATCGCTGCCTCAAGTGGAATATACAGCGAGAAGCCCTAACTTGAAAGGAGGCCGGATTTCCTTGCAGTGGCTTGAATACAGGCTCCTCTTTGATCTCAAAACATGAAGGGATGTCTGAATACCCTGTGGAGGCCTTAGAGAAAGTCCTAGGACCCTGCGTCATTTTGACGGAATGCCTCACATCCCGTTGACACCTCGAGAGGCACGCAGAGTTCCTTGCTTCAAAAGGTTGACGATGCCTGACTCCTCTTGACTACTGATAGGAATCCCAAAATCCCTGTGACTACTGGAAAGGGTACTTGGGTGCCCTGCCTCACCTCGAGAAGCATCCCTTTTGCCCTGCCAAGCCTCGAAGAGTTTCCTGAGGTGTCCCTGGTTACTAGACAGGAGTCCTACGTCACTGAAGAAACTCGTGTTTTGAAGGGCCATCCCCGCCGTAAGACGATAACATACCCCATGTCCCCGCCGCAACTCGAGAAAAACCATGATACTTACCGCTAGAGGCGAGATGAGGCCCCATTCACCTGCAGTGCATGCAGAGCTATTCCGTGATCCCATTCAAACAAGTCAGGAGCTTCGACTTGCTTAATGGATCTCGAGACCGTCCCCAAGAACACTGTCACCAGTCTAGACGGAACCTGAGGTCACCCCAGCAATGCAAAGCAGCTCCATGTGCCCCAAATCAACTCGAGATGAGGCCCGATTCCCCTGCATTGACTCCAGAGCCATTCCACGTTCCCCATTCAACATGACCGGTGGCTCGACTTCCTTCAGGCAACTCCAGAGATGCCCCGAGAACACTGTCCCAAGGCTAGAGGAACACCAACTTCAACACAGCAACTCGAGGAATGCTCCGTGTACCCCAAATCGTCTCGAGATGAGAGCTGATTCCCTGGCTTAGGGTCAAGAAGTATGCCAACTATACAGAAGCACCTGAGGAGGCGGCTTCTCTCAGCAATAGGTATGTGGGGGGGACCCCGAGATAGCTGCCTCAAGTGGAATATACAGCGAGAAGACCTAACTTGAAAGGAGGCCGGATTTCCTTGCAGTGGCTTGAATACAGGCTCGTCTTTCATCTAACAGCATGAAGGGATGTCTGAATCCCCTGTGGAGACCTTAGAGAAAGCCCTAGGTCCCTGCGTCATTTTGACGGAATGCCTCACATCCCGTTGACACCTCGAGAGGCAGGCGGAGTTCATTGCTTCAAAAGGTGACGATGCCTGACTCCTCTTGAATACTGAAAGGAATCCCAAAATCACTGTGGCTACTGGAAAGGGTGCTTGGGTGCCCTGCCTCACCTCGAGAAGCGTCCCTTTTGCCCTGCCAAGCCTCGAAGAGATTCCTGAGGTGTCCCTCGTTACTAGACAGGAGTCCTGACGTCACTGAATAAACACGTGTTTTGAAGGGCCATCCCCGCCATAAGTCGAGAACATACCCCAGGTCCCCGCCGCAACTCGAGAAAAACCATGAGACTTCCCCCTAGAGTCGAGATGACGCCCCATTCCCCTCCAGTGCATGCAGAGCTCTTCCGTGATCGCATTCAAACAAATCAGGAGCCTCGACTTGCTTAATGGATATCGAGACAGTCCCCAAGAACACTGTCACCAGTCTAGACGGACCCTGAGGTCACCCCAGCAACGCAAAGCAGCTCCATGTGCCCCAAATCAACTCGAGATGAGGCCCGATTCCCCTGCATTGAGTACAGAGCCATTCCCCGTTCCCCATTCAACACGACCGGTGGCTCGACTTCCTTCAGGCAACTCCAGAGATGCCCCGAGAACACTGTCCCAAGGCTAGAGGAACACCAACTTCAGCACAGCAACTTGAGGAATGCTGTGTGTACCACAAATCATCTCGAGATGAGAGCTGATTCCCCGGCTTAGGCTCAAGACGTATGCCAACTTTCCAGAAGCACCTCAGGAGGAGGCCTCTCCCAGCAATAGGTATATGTGAGGGACCCCGAGATCGCTGCCTCAAGTGGAATATACAGCGAGAAGCCCTAACTTGAAAGGAGGCCGGATTTCCTTGCTGTGGCTTGAATACAGGCTCCTCTTTGATCTCAAAACATGAAGGGATGACTGAATCCCCTGTGGAGACCTTAGAGAAAGCCCTAGGTCCCTGCGTCATTTTGACGGAATGCCTCACATCCCGTTGACACCTCGAGAGGCACGCAGAATTCATTGCTTCAAAAGGTGACGATGCCTGTCTCCTCTTGAATACTGATAGGAATACCAAAATCACTGTGGCTACTGGAATGGGTCCTTGGGTGCCCTGCCTCACATCGAGAAGCGTCCCTTTTGCCCTGCCAAGCCTCGAAGAGTTTCCTGAGCTGTCCTTCGTTACTAGACTGGAGTCCTGACGTCACTGGAGAAACTCGTCTTTTGAAGGGCCATCCACGCCGTAAGTCGAGAACATACCCCTGGTCCCCGCTGCAACTCGTGAAAAACCATGAGACTTCACCCTAGAGGCGAGATGAGGCCCCATTCCCCTGCAGTGTATGCAGAGCTATTCCGTGATCCCATTCAAACCAGGAAGGACCTTCGACTTGCTTAATGGATCTCGAGACAGTCCGCAAGAACACTGTCACAAGTCTAGACGTATCCTGAGGTCACCCCAGCAACGCAAAGCAGCTCGATGTGCCCCAAATCAACTCGAGATGAGGCCCGATTCCCCTGCATTGACTCCAGAGCCATTCCCCATTCCCCATTCAACACGACCGGTGGCTCGACTTCCTTCAGGCAACTCCAGAGATGCCCCGAGAACACTGTCCCAAGGCTAGAGGAACACCAACTTCAGCACAGCAACTCGAGGAATGCTCCGTGTACCCCAAATCGTCTCGAGATGAGAGCTGATTCCCTGGCTTAGGCTCAAGACGTATGCCAACTTTCCAGAAGCACCTCAAGAGGAGGCTTCTCCCAGCAATAGGTATGTGGGAGGGACCCCGAGATCGCTGCCTCAAGTGGAGTATACAGCGAGAAGCCCTAACTTGAAAGGAGGCCGGATTTCCTTGCAATGGCTTGAATACAGGCTCGTCTTTCATCTCACAACATGAAGGGAAGTCTGAATCCCCTGTGGAAACCTTAGAGAAAGCCCTAGGTCCCTGCCACATTTTGACGGAATGCCTCACATTCCGTTGACACCTCGAGAGGCACGCAGAGTTCATTGCTTCAAAAGGTGACGATGCCTGACTCCTCTTGAATACTGATAGGAATCCCAAAATCCCTGTGACTACTGGAAAGTGTCCTTGGGTGCCCTGCCTCACCTCGAGAAGCGTCCCTTTTGCCCTGCCAAGCCTCGAAGAGTTTCCTGAGGTGTCCCTGGTTACTAGACTGGAGTCCTACGTCACTGAAGAAACTCGTGTTTTGAAGGGCCATCCCCGCCGTAAGTCGAGAACATACCCCATGTCCCCGCCGCAACTCGTGAAAAACCATGAGACTTACCGCTAGAGGCGAGATGAGGCCCCATGCCCCTGCAGTGCATGCAGAGCTATTCCGTGATCCCATTCAAACAAGTCAGGAGCTTCGACTTGCTTAATGGATCTCGAGACCGTCCCCAAGAACACTGTCAGCAGTCTAGACGAAACCTGAGGTCACCCCAGCAATGCAAAGCAGCTCCATGTGCCCCAAATCAACTCGAGATGAGGCGCGATTCCCCTGCATTGACTCCAGAGCCATTCCCCGTTCCCCATTCAACACGACCAGTGGCTCGACTTCCTTCAGGCAACTCCAGAGATGCCCCGAGAACACTGTCCCAAGGCTAGAGGAACACCAACTTCAGCACAGCAACTTGAGGAATGCTGTGTGTACCACAAATCATCTCGAGATGAGAGCTGATTCCCTGGCTTAGGCTCAAGACGTATGCCAACTTTCCAGAAGCACCTCAGGAGGAGGCCTCTCATAGCAATAGGTATTTGTGAGGGACCCCGAGATCGCTGCCTCAAGTGGAATATACAGCGAGAAGCCGTAACTTGAAAGGAGGCCGGATTTCCTTGCTGTGGCTTGAATACAGGCTCCTCTTTGATCTCAAAACATGAAGGGATGACTGAATCCCCTGTGGAGATCTTAGAGAAAGCCCTAGGTCCCTGCGTCATTTTGACGGAGTGCCTCACATCCCGTTGACACCTCGAGAGGCACGCAGAATTCATTGCTTCAAAAGGTGACGATGCCTGACTCCTCTTGAATACTGATAGGAATCCCAAAATCACTGTGGCTACTGGAATGGGTCCTTGGGTGCCCTGCCTCACATCGAGAAGCGTCCCTTTTGCCCTGCCAAGCCTCGAAGTGTTTCCTGAGCTGTCCCTCGTTACTAGACTGGAGTCCTGACGTCACTGAAGAAACTCGTCTTTTGAAGGGCCATCCCCGCCGTAAGTCGAGAACATACCCCTGGTCCCCGCTGCAACTCGTGAAAAACCATGAGACTTCCCCCTAGAGGCGAGATGAGGCCCCATTCCCCTGCAGTGCATGCAGAGCTATTCCGTGATCCCATTCAAACCAGGCAGGACCTTCGACTTGCTTAATGGATCTCGAGACAGTCCCCAAGAACACTGTCACAAGTCTAGACGTATCCTGAGGTCACCCCAGCAACGCAAAGCAGCTCCATGTGCCCCAAATCAACTCGAGATGAGGCCCGATTCCCCTGCATTGACCCCAGAGCCATTCCCCGTTCCCCATTCAACACGACCGGTGGCTCGACTTCCTTCAGGCAACTCCAGAGATGCCCCGAGAACACTGTCCCAAGGCTAGAGGAACACCAACTTCAGCACAGCAACTCGAGGAATGCTGTGTGTACCACAAATCATCTCGAGATGAGAGCTGATTCCCTGGCTTAGGCTCAAGACGTATGCCAACTTTCCAGAAGCACCTCAGGAGGAGGGTTCTCCCAGCAATAGGTATGTGGGAGGGACCCCGAGATCGCTGCCTCAAGTGGAGTATACAGCGAGAAGCCCTAACTTGAAAGGAAGCCGGATTTCCTTGCAATGGCTTGAATACAGGCTCGTCTTTCATCTCACAACATGAAGGGAAGTCTGAATCCCCTGTGGAGACCTTAGAGAAAGCCCTAGGTCCCTGCCTCATTTTGACGGAATGCGTCACATCCCCTTGACACCTCGAGAGGCACGCAGAGTTCATTGCTTCAAAAGGTGACGATGCCTGACTCCTCTTGAATACTGATAGGAATCCCAAAATCCCTGTGACTACTGGAAAGGGTCCTTGGGTGCCCTGCCTCACCTCGAGAAGCTTCCCTTTTGCCCTGCCAAGCCTCGAAGAGTTTCCTGAGGTGTCCCTGGTTACTAGACAGGAGTCCTACGACACTGAAGAAACTCGTGTTTTGAAGGGCCATCCCCGCCGTAAGTCGAGAACATACCCCATGTCCCCGCCGCAACTCGAGAAAAAGCATGAGACTTACCGCTAGAGGCTAGATGAGGCCCCATTCCCCTGCAGTGCATGCAGAGCTATTCCGTGATCCCATTCAAACAAGTCAGGAGCTTCGACTTGCTTAATGGTTCTCGAGACCGTCCCCAAGAACACTGTCACCAGTCTAGACGGACCCTGAGGTCACCCCAGCAACGCAAAGCAGCTCCATGTGCCCCAAATCAACTCGAGATGAGGCCCGATTCCCCTGCATTGACTCCAGAGCCATTCCACGTTCCCCATTCAACATGACCGGTGGCTCGACTTCCTTCAGGCAACTCCAGAGATGCCCCGAGAACACTGTCCCAAGGCTAGAGGAACACCAACTTCACCACAGCAACTCGAGGAATGCTCCGTGTACACCAAATCGTCTCGAGATGAGAGCTGATTCCCTGGCTTAGGCTCAAGACGTATGCCAACTTTCCAGAAGCACCTCAGGAGGAGGCTTCTCCCAGCAATAGGTATGTGGGAGGGACCCCGAGATCGCTGCCTCAAGTGGAGTATACAGCGAGAAGCCCTAACTTGAAAGGATCCCGGATTTCCTTGCAATGGCTTGAATACAGGCTCGTCTTTCATCTCACAACATGAAGGGAAGTCTGAATCCCCTGTGGAGACCTTAGAGAAAGCCCTAGGTCCCTGCCTCATTTTGACGGAATGCCTCACATCCCGTTGACACCTCGAGAGGCAGGCAGAGTTCATTGCTTCAAAAGGTGACGATGCCTGACTCCTCTTGTATACTGATAGTAATCCCAAAATCACTGTGGCTACTGGAAAGGGTCCTTGGGTGCCCTGCCTCACATCGAGAAGCGTCCCTTTTGCCCTGCTAAGCCTCGAAGAGATTCCTGAGGTGTCCCTCGTTACTAGACAGGTGTCCTGACGTCACTGAATAAACACGTGTTTTGAAGGGCCATCCCCGCCGTAAGTCGAGAACATACCCCAGGTTCCCGCCGCAACGCGAGAAAAACCATGAGACTTCCGCCTAGAGTCGAGATGAGGCCCAATTCCTCTCCAGTGCATGCAGAGCTATTCCGTGATCCCATTCAAACAAGTCAGGAGCTTCGACTTGCTTAATGGATCTCGAGACCGTCCCCAAGAACACTGTCACCAGTCTAGACGGAACCTGAGGTCACCCCAGCAATGCAAAGCAGCTCCATGTGCCCCAAATCAACTCGAGATGAGGCCCGATTCCCCTGCATTGACTCCAGAGCCATTCCACGTTCCCCATTCAACATGACCGGTGGCTCGACTTCCTTCAGGCAACTCCAGAGATGCCCCGAGAACACTGTCCCAAGGCTAGAGGAACACCAACTTCACCACAGCAACTCGAGGAATGCTCCGTGTACCCCAAATCGTCTCGAGATGAGAGCTGATTCCCTGGCTTAGGCTCAAGAAGTATGCCAACTATCCAGAAGCACCTCAGGAGGCGGCTTCTCTCAGCAATAGTTATGTGGGGGGGACCCCGAGATAGCTGCCTCAAGTGGAATATACAGCGAGAAGACCTAACTTGAAAGGAGGGCGGATTTCCTTGCAGTGGCTTGAATACAGGCTCGTCTTTCATCTAACAACATGAAGGGATGTCTGAATCCCCTGTGGAGACCTTAGAGAAAGCCCTAGGACCCTGCGTCATTTTGACGGAATGCCTCACATCCCGTTGACACCTCGAGAGGCAGGCGGAGTTCATTGCTTCAAAAGGTGACGATGCCTGACTCCTCTTGAATACTGAAAGGAATCCCAAAATCCCTGTGGCTACTGGAAAGGGTGCTTGGGTGCCCTGCCTCACCTCGAGAAGCGTCCCTTTTGCCCTGCCAAGCCTCGAAGAGATTCCTGAGGTGTCCCTCGTTACTAGACAGGAGTCCTGACGTCACTGAATAAACACGTGTTTTGAAGGGCCATCCCCGCCATAAGTCGAGAACATACACCAGGTCCCCGCCGCAACTCGAGAAAAACCATGAGACTTCCCCCTAGAGTCGAGATGAGGCCCCATTCCCCTCCAGTGCATGCAGAGCTCTTCCGTGATCGCATTCAAACAAATCAGGAGCTTCGACTTGCTTAATGGATATCGAGACAGTCCCCAAGAACACTGTCACCAGTCTAGACGGACCCTGAGGTCACCCCAGCAACGCAAAGCAGCTCCATGTGCCCCAAATCAACTCGAGATGAGGCCCGATTCCCCTGCATTGAGTACAGAGCCATTCCCCGTTTCCCATTCAACACGACCGGTGGCTCGACTTCCTTCAGGCAACTCCAGAGATGCCCCGAGAACACTGTCCCAAGGCTATAGGAACAATAACTTCAGCACAGCAACTGGAGGAATGCTGTGTGTACCACAAATCATCTCGAGATGAGAGCTGATTCCCTGGCTTAGGCTCAAGACGTATGCCAACTTTCCAGAAGCACCTCAGGAGGAGGCCTCTCCCAGCAATAGGTATTTGTGAGGGACCCCGAGATCGCTGCCTCAAGTGGAATATACAGCAAGAAGCCCTAACTTGAAAGGAGGGCGGATTTCCTTGCTGTGGCTTGAATACAGGCTCCTCATTGATCTCAAAACATGAAGGGATGACTGAATCCCCTGTGGAGACCTTAGAGAAAGCCGTAGGTCCCTGCGTCATTTTGACGGAATGCCTCACATCCCGTTGACACCTCGAGAGGCACGCAGAATTCATTGCTTCAAAAGGTGACGATGCCTGACTCCTCTTGAATACTGATAGGAATCCCAAAATCACTGTGGCTACTGGAATGGGTCCTTGGGTGCCCTGCCTCACATCGAGAAGCGTCCCTTTTGCCCTGCCAAGCCTAGAAGAGTTTCCTGAGCTGTCCCTCGTTACTAGACTGGAGTCCTGACGTCACTGGAGAAACTCGTCTTTTGAAGGGCCATCCCCGCCGTAAGTCGAGAACATACCCCTGGTCCCCGCTGCAACTCGTGAAAAACCATGAGACTTCCCCCTAGAGGCGAGATGAGGCCCCATTCCCCTGCAGTGCATGCAGAGCTATTCCGTGATGCCATTCAAACCAGGCAGGACCTTCGACTTGCTTAATGGATCTCGAGACAGTCCCCAAGAACACTGTCACAAGTCTAGACGTATCCTGAGGTCACCCCAGCAACGCAAAGCAGCTCCATGTGCCCCAAATCAACTCGAGATGAGGCCCCATTCCCCTCCAGTGCATGCAGAGCTCTTCCGTGATCGCATTCAAACAAATCAGGAGCTTCGACTTGCTTAATGGTTCTCGAGACAGTCCCCAAGAACACTGTCACCAGTCTAGACGGACCCTGAGGTCACCCCAGCAACGCAAAGCAGCTCCATGTGCCCCAAATCAACTCGAGATGAGGCCCAATTCCCCTGCATTGACTCCAGAGCCATTCCCAGTTCCCCATTCAACACGACCGGTGGCTCGACTTCCTTCAGGCAACTCCAGAGATGCCCCGAGAACACTATCCCAAGGCTAGAGGAACACCAACTTCAGCACAGCAACTCGAGGAATGCTGTGTGTACCACAAATCATCTCGAGATGAGAGCTGATTCCCTGGCTTAGGCTCAAGACGTATGCCAACTTTCCAGAAGCACCTCAGGAGGAGGCCTCTCCCAGCAATAGGTATTTGTGAGGGACCCCGAGATCGCTGCCTCAAGTGGAATATACAGCGAGAAGCCCTAACTTGAAAGGAGGGCGGATTTCCTTGCTGTGGCTTGAATACAGGCTCCTCTTTGATCTCAAAACATGAAGGGATGACTGAATCCCCTGTGGAGACCTTAGAGTAAGCCCTAGGTCCCTGCGTCATTTTGACGGAATGCCTCACATCCCGTTGACAACTCGAGAGGCACGCAGAATTCATTGCTTCAAAAGGTGACGATGCCTGACTCCACTTGAATACTGATAGGAATCCCAAAATCACTGTGGCTACCGGAATGGGTCCTTGGGTGCCCTGCCTCACATCGAGAAGCGTCCCTTTTGCCCTGCCAAGCCTCGAAGGGTTTCCTGAGCTGTCCCTCGTTACTAGACTGGAGTCCTGACGTCACTGAAGAAACTCGTCTTTTGAAGGGCCATCCCCGCCGTAAGTCGAGAACATACCCCTGGTCCCCGCTGCAACTCGTGAAAAACCATGAGACTTCCCCCTAGAGGCGAGATGAGGCCCCATTCCCCTGCAGTGCATGCAGAGCTATTCCGTGATCCCATTCAAACCAGGCAGGACCTTCGACTTGCTTAATGGATCTCGAGACAGTCCCCAAGAACACTGTCACAAGTCTAGACGTATCCTGAGGTCACCCCAGCAACGCAAAGCAGCTCCATGTGCCCCAAATCAACTCGAGATGAGGCCCGATTCCCCTGCATTGACTCCAGAGCCATTCCCCGTTCCCCATTCAACACGACCGGTGGCTCGACTTCCTTCAGGCAACTCCAGAGATGCCCCGAGAAGACTGTCCCAAGGCTAGAGGAACACCAACTTCAGCACAGCAACTCGAGGAATGCTCCGTGTACACCAAATCGTCTCGAGATGAGAGCTGATTCCCTGGCTTAGGCTCAAGACGTATGCCAACTTTCCAGAAGCACCTCAGGAGGAGGCTTCACCCAGCAATAGGTATGTGGGAGGGACCCCGAGATCGCTGCCTCAAGTGGAGTATACAGCGAGAAGCCCTAACTTGAAAGGAGGCCGGATTTCCTTGCAGTGGCTTGAATACAGGCTCGTCTTTCATCTAACAACATGAAGGGATGTCTGAATCCCCTGTGGAGTCCTTAGAGAAAGCCCTAGGTCCCTGCCTCATTTTGACGGAATGCCTCACATCCCGTTGACACCTCGAGAGGCAGGCGGAGTTCATTGCTTCAAAAGGTGACGATGCCTGACTCCTCTTGAATACTGAAAGGAATCCCAAAATCCCTGTGGCTACTGGAAAGGGTGCTTGGGTGCCCTGCCTCACCTCGAGAAGCGTCCCTTTTGCCCTGCCAAGCCTCGAAGAGATTCCTCAGGTGTCCCTCGTTACTAGACAGGAGTCCTGACGTCACTGAATAAACACGTGTTTTGAAGGGCCATCCCCGCCGTAAGTCGAGAACATACCCCAGGTCCCCGCCGCAACTCGAGAAAAACCATGAGACTTCTCCCTAGAGTCGAGATGAGGCCCCATTCCCCTCCAGTGCATGCAGAGCTCTTCCATGATCGCATTCAAACAAATCAGGAGCTTCGACTTGCTTAATGGTTCTCGAGACAGTCGCCAAGAACACTGTCACCAGTCTAGACGGACCCTGAGGTCACCCCAGCAACGCAAAGCAGCTCCATGTGCCCCAAATCAACTCGAGATGAGGCCCGATTCCCCTGCATTGACTCCAGAGCCATTCCCAGTTCCCCATTCAACACGACCGGTGGCTCGACTTCCTTCAGGCAACTCCAGAGATGCCCCGAGAACACTGTCCCAAGGCTAGAGGAACACCAACTTCAGCACAGCAACTTGAGTAATGTTGTGTGTACCACAAATCATCTCGAGATGAGAGCTGATTCCCTGGCTAGGCTCAAGACGTATGCCAACTTTCCAGAAGCACCTCAGGAGGAGGCCTCTCCCAGCAATAGGTATGTGGGAGGGACCCCGAGATCGCTGCCTCAAGTGGAATATACAGCGAGAAGCCCTAACTTGAAAGGAGGCCGGATTTCCTTGCTGTGGCTTGAATACAGGCTCCTCTTTGATCTCAAAACATGAAGTGATGACTGAATCCCCTGTGGAGACCTTAGAGAAAGCCCTAGGTCCCTGCGTCATTTTGACGGAATGCCTCACATCCCGTTGACACCTCGAGAGGCACGCAGAGTTCATTGCTTCAAAAGGTGACGATGCCTGACTCCTCTTGAATACTGATAGGAATCCCAAAATCCCTGTGGCTACTGGAAAGGGTCCTTGGGTGCCCTGCATCACCTCGAGAAGCGTCCCTTTTGCCCTGCCAGGCCTCGAAGAGTTTCCTGAGGTGTCACTGGTTACTAGACAGGAGTCCTAGGTCACTGAAGAAACCCGTGTTTTGAAGGGCCATCCCCGCCGTAAGTCGAGAACATAGCCCAGGTCCCCGCCGCAACTCGAGAAAAACCATGAGACTTCCCCCTAGAGGCGAGATGAGGCCGCATTCCCCTGCAGTGCATGCAGAGCTATTCCGTGATCCCATTCAAACAAGTCAGGAGCTTCGACTTGCTTAATGGATCTCGAGACAGTTCCCAAGAACACTGTCACCAGTCTAGACGGACCCTGAGGTCACCCCAGCAATGCAAAGCTGCTCCATGTGCCCCAAATCAACTCGAGATGAGGCCCGATTCCCCTGCATTGACTCCAGAGCCATTCCCCGTTCCCCATTCAACACGACCGGTGGATCGACTTCCTTCAGGCAACTCCAGAGATGCCCCGAGAACACTGTCCCAAGGCTAGAGGAACACCAACTTCAGCACAGCAACTCGAGGAATGCTCTGTGTACCACAAATCATCTCGAGATGAGAGCTGATTCCCTGGCTTAGGCTCAAGACGTATGCAAACTTTCCAGAAGCACCTCAGGAGGAGGCCTCTCTCAGCAATAGGTATGTGGGGGGGACCCCGAGATCGCTGCCTCAAGTGGAATATACAGTGAGAAGCCCTAACTTGAAAGGAGGCCGGATTTCCTTGCTGTGGTTTGAATACAGGCTCCTCTTTGATCTCAAAACATGATGGGATGACTGAATCCCCTGTGGAGACCTTAGAGAAAGCCCTAGGTCCCTGCCTCATTTTGACGGAATGCCTCACATCCCGTTGACACCTCGAGAGGCACGCAGAGTTCATTGCTTCAAAAGGTGACGATGCCTGACTCCTCTTGAATACTGATAGGAATCCCAAAATCACTGTGGCTACTGGAATGGGTCCTTTGGTGCCCTGCCTCACATCGAGAAGCGTCCCTTTTGCCCTGCCAAGCCTCGAAGAGTTTCCTGAGCTGTCCCTCGTTACTAGACTGGAGTCCTGACGTCACTGAAGAAACTAGTCTTTTGAAGGGCCATCCCCGCCGTAAGTCGAGAACATACCCCTGGTCCCCGCTGCAACTCGTGAAAAACCATGAGACTTCCCCCTAGAGGCGAGATGAGGCCCCATTCCCCTGCAGTGCATGCAGAGCTATTCCGTGATCCCATTCAAACCAGGCAGGAGCTTCGACTTGCTTAATGGATCTCGAGACAGTCCCCAAGAACACTGTCACAAGTCTAGACGTATCCTGAGGTCACCCCAGCAACGCAAAGCAGCTCCATGTGCCCCAAATCAACTCGAGATGAGGCCCGATTCCCCTGCATTGACTCCAGAGCCATTCCCCGTTCCCCATTCAACACGACCGGTGGCTCGACTTCCTTCAGGCAACTCCAGAGATGCCCCGAGAACACTGTCCCGAGGCTAGAGGAACACCAACTTCAGCACAGCAACTCGAGGAATGCTCCGTGTACACCAAATCTTCTCGAGATGAGAGCTGATTCCCTGGCTTAGGCTCAAGACGTATGCCAACTTTCCAGAAGCACCTCAGGAGGAGGCTTCTCCCAGCAATAGGTATGTGGGAGGGACCCCGAGATCGCTGCCTCAAGTGGAGTATACAGCGAGAAGCCCTAACTTGAAAGGAGGCCGGATTTCCTTGCAATGGCTTGAATACAGGCTCGTCTTTCATCTCACAACATGAAGGGAAGTCTGAATCCCCTGTGGAGACCTTAGAGAAAGCCCTAGGTCCCTGCCTCATTTTGACGGAATGCCTCACATCCCGTTGACACCTCGAGAGGCACGCAGAGTTCATTGCTTCAAAAGGTGACGATGCCTGACTCCTCTTGTATACTGATAGTAATCCCAAAATCACTGTGGCTACTGGAAAGGGTCCTTGGGTGCCCTGCCTCACATCGAGAAGCGTCCCTTTTGCCCTGCTAAGCCTCGAAGAGATTCCTAAGGTGTCCCTCGTTACTAGACAGGTGTCCTGACGTCACTGAATAAACACGTGTTTTGAAGGGCCATCCCCGCCGTAAGTCGAGAACATACCCCAGGTTCCCGCCGCAACGCGAGAAAAACCATGAGACTTCCCCCTAGAGTCGAGATGAGGCCCAATTCCTCTCCAGTGCATGCAGAGCTATTCCGTGATGCATTCAAACAGGTCAGGAGCTTCGACTTGCTTAATGGATCTCGAGACAGTCCCGAAGAACAATGTCACCAGTCTAGACGGACCCTCTGGTCACCACAGCAGGCAAAGCAGCTCCATGTGCCCCAAATCAACTCGAGATGAGGCCCGATTCCCCTGCATTGACTCCAGAGCCATTCCACGTTCCACATTCAACACGACCGGTGGCACGACTTCCTTCAAGCAACTCCAGAGATGCCCCGAGAACACTGTCCCAAGTCTAGAGGAACACCAACTTCAGCCCAGCAACTCGAGGAACGCTCTGTGTACCCCAAATCATCTCGAGATGAGAGCTGATTCCCTGTTTAGGCTCAAGACGTATGCCAACTTTCCAGAAGCACCTCAGGAGGAGGCCTCTCCCAGCAATAGGTATGTGGGAGGGACCCCGAGATCGCTGCCTCAAGTGGAATATACAGCGAGAAGCCCTAACTTGAAAGGAGGCCGGATTTCCTTGCTGTGGCTTGAATACAGGCTCCTCTTTGATCTCAAAACATGAAGGGATGTCTGAATCCCCTGTGGAGGCCTTAGAGAAAGCCCTAGGACCCTGCGTCATTTTGACGGAATGCCTCACATCCCGTTGACACCTCGAGAGGCACGCAGAGTTCATTGCTTCAAAAGGTGATGATGCCTGACTCCTCTTGAATACTGATAGGAATACCAAAATCCCTGTGGCTACTGGAAAGGGTCCTTGGGTGCCCTGCTTCTCCTTGAGAAGCGTCCCTTTTGCCCTGCCAAGCCTCGAAGAGTTTCCTGAGGTGTCCCTGGTTACTAGACAGGAGTCCTACGTCACTGAAGAAACTCGTGTTTTGAAGGGCCATCCCCGCCGTAAGTCGAGAACATACCCCATGTCCCCGCCGCAACTCGAGAAAAGCCATGAGACTTACCGCTAGAGGCGAGATGAGGCCCCATTCCCCTGCAGTGCATGCAGAGCTATTCCGTGATCCCATTCAAACCAGGCAGGAGCTTCGACTTGCTTAATGGATCTCGAGACCGTCCCCAAGAACAATGTCACCAGTCTAGACGGAACCTGAGGTCACCCCAGCAATGCAAAGCAGCTCCATGTGCCCCAAATCAACTCGAGATGAGGCCCGATTCCCCTGCATTGACTCCAGAGCCATTCCACGTTCCCCATTCAACATGACCGGTGGCTCGACTTCCTTCAGGCAACTCCAGAGATGCCCCGAGAACACTGTCCCAAGGCTAGAGGAACACCAACTTCAGCACAGCAACTCGAGGAATGCTCCGTGTACCCCAAATCGTCTCGAGATGAGAGCTGATTCCCTGGCTTAGGCTCAAGACGTATGCCAACTATCCAGAAACACCTCAGGAGGCGGCTTCTCTCAGCAATAGGTATGTGGGGGGGACCCCGAGATAGCTGCCTCAAGTGGAATATACAGCGAGAAGCCCTAACTTGAAAGGAGGCCGGATTTCCTTGCAGTGGCTTGAATACAGGCTCGTCTTTCATCTAACAACATGAAGGGATGTCTGAATCCCCTGTGGAGACCTTAGAGAAAGCCCTAGGTCCCTGCGTCATTTTGACGGAATGCCTCACATCCCGCTGACACCTCGAGAGGCACGCGGAGTTCATTGCTTCAAAAGGTGACGATGCCTGACTCCTCTTGAATACTGAAAGGAATCCCAAAATCCCTGTGGCTACTGGAAAGGGTGCTTGGGTGCCCTGCCTCACCTCGAGAAGCGTCCCTTTTGCCCTGCCAAGCCTCGAAGAGATTCCTCAGGTGTCCCTCGTTACTAGACAGGAGTCCTGACGTCACTGAATAAACACGTGTTTTGAAGGGCCATCCCCGCCGTAAGTCGAGAACATACCCCAGGTCCCCGCCGCAACTCGAGAAAAACCATGAGACTTCTCCCTAGAGTCGAGATGAGGCCCCATTCCCCTCCAGTGCATGCAGAGCTCTTCCGTGATCGCATTCAAACAAATCAGGAGCTTCGACTTGCTTAATGGTTCTCGAGACAGTCCCCAAGAACACTGTCACCAGTCTAGACGGACCCTGAGGTCACCCCAGCAACGCAAAGCAGCTCCATGTGCCCCAAATCAACTCGAGATGAGTCCCGATTCCCATGCATTGACTCCAGAGCCATTCCCAGTTCCCCATTCAACACGACCGGTGGCTCGACTTCCTTCAGGCAACTCCAGAGATGCCCCGAGAACACTGTCCCAAGGCTAGAGGAACACCAACTTCAGCACAGCAACTCGAGGAATGCTGTGTGTACCACAAATCATCTCGAGATGAGAGCTGATTCCCTGGCTTAGGCTCAAGACGTATGCCAACTTTCCAGAAGCACCTCAGGAGGAGGCCTCTCCCAGCAATAGGTATTTGTGAGGGACCCCGAGATCGCTGCCTCAAGTGGAATATACAGCGAGAAGCCCTAACTTGAAAGGAGGCCGGATTTCCTTGCTGTGGCTTGAATACAGGCTCCTCTTTGATCTCAAAACATGAAGGGATGACTGAATCCCCTGTGGAGACCTTAGAGTAAGCCCTAGGTCCCTGCGTCATTTTGACGGAATGCCTCACATCCCGTTGACAACTCGAGAGGCACGCAGAATTCATTGCTTCAAAAGGTGACGATGCCTGACTCCTCTTGAATACTGATAGGAATCCCAAAATCACTGTGGCTACTGGAATGGGTCCTTGGGTGCCCTGCCTCACATCGAGAAGCGTCCCTTTTGCCCTGCCAAGCCTCGAAGGGTTTCCTGAGCTGTCCCTCGTTACTAGACTGGAGTCCTGACGTCACTGAAGAAACTCGTCTTTTGAAGGGCCATCCCCGCCGTAAGTCGAGAACATACCCCTGGTCCCCGCTGCAACTCGTGAAAAACCATGAGACTTCCCCCTAGAGGCGAGATGAGGCCCCATTCCCCTGCAGTGCATGCAGAGCTATTCCGTGATCCCATTCAAACCAGGCAGGACCTTCGACTTGCTTAATGGGTCTCGAGACAGTCCCCAAGAACACTGTCACAAGTCTAGACGTATCCTGAGGTCACCCCAGCAACGCAAAGCAGCTCCATGTGCCCCAAATCAACTCGAGATGAGGCCCGATTCCCCTGCATTGACTCCAGAGCCATTCCCCTTTCCCCATTCAACACGACCGGTGGCTCGACTTCCTTCAGGCAACTCCAGAGATGCCCCGAGAAGACTGTCCCAAGGCTAGAGGAACACCAACTTCAGCACAGCAACTCGAGGAATGCTCCGTGTACACCAAATCGTCTCGAGATGAGAGCTGATTCCCTGGCTTAGGCTCAAGACGTATGCCAACTTTCCAGAAGCACCTCAGGAGGAGGCTTCACCCAGCAATAGGTATGTGGGAGGGACCCCGAGATCGCTGCCTCAAGTGGAGTATACAGCGAGAAGCCCTAACTTGAAAGGAGGCCGGATTTCCTTGCAATGGCTTGAATACAGGCTAGTCTTTCATCTCACAACATGAAGGGAAGTCTGAATCCCCTGTGGAGACCTTAGAGAAAGCCCTAGGTCCCTGCCTCATTTTGACGGAATGCCTCACATCCCGTTGACACCTCGAGAGGCACGCAGAGTTCATTGCTTCAAAAGGTGACGATGCCTGACTCCTGTTGAATACTGATAGGAATCCCAAAATCCCTGTGACTACTGGAAAGGGTCCTTGGGTGCCCTGCCTCACCTCGAGAAGCGTCCCTTTTGCCCTGCCAAGCCTCGAAGAGTTTCCTGAGGTGTCCCTGGTTACTAGACAGGAGTCCTACGTCACTGAAGAAACTCGTGTTTTGAAGGGCCATCCCCGCCGTAAGTCGAGAACATAACCCATGTCCCCGCCGCAACTCGAGAAAAACCATGAGACTTACCGCTAGAGGCGAGATGAGGCCCCATTCCCCTGCAGTGCATGCAGAGCTATTCCGTGATCCCATTCAAACAAGTCAGGAGCTTCGACTTGCTTAATGGATCTCGAGACCGTCCCCAAGAACACTGTCACCAGTCTAGACGGAACCTGAGGTCAACCCAGCAATGCAAAGCAGCTCCATGTGCCCCAAATCAACTCGAGATGAGGCCCGATTCCCCTGCATTGACTCCAGAGCCATTCCACGTTCCCCATTCAACATGACCAGTGGCTCGACTTCCTTCAGGCAACTCCAGAGATGCCCCGAGAACACTGTCCCAAGGCTAGAGGAACACCAAATTCAGCACAGCAACTCGAGGAATGCTCCGTGTACCCCAAATCGTCTCGAGATGAGAGCTGATTCCCTGGCTTAGGCTCAAGACGGATGCCAACTATCCAGAAGCACCTCAGGAGGCGGCTTCTCTCAGCAATAGGTATGTGGGGGGGACCCCGAGATAGCTGCCTCAAGTGGAATATACAGCGAGAAGCCCTAACTTGAAAGGAGGACGGATTTCCTTGCAGTGGCTTGAATACAGGCTCGTCTTTCATCTAACAACATGAAGGGATGTCTGAATCCCCTGTGGAGTCCTTAGAGAAAGCCCTATGTCCCTGCCTCATTTTGACGGAATGCCTCACATCCCGTTGACACCTCGAGAGGCAGGCGGAGTTCATTGCTTCAAAAGGTGACGATGCCTGACTCCTCTTGAATACTGAAAGGAATCCCAAAATCCCTGTGGCTACTGGAAAGGGTGCTTGGGTGCCCTGCCTCACTTCGAGAAGCGTCCCTTTTGCCCTGCCAAGCCTCGAAGAGATTCCTCAGGTGTCCCTCGTTACTAGACAGGAGTCCTGACGTCACTGAATAAACACGTGTTTTGAAGGGCCATCCCCGCCGTAAGTCGAGAACATACCCCAGGTCCCCGCCGCAACTCGCGAAAAACCATGAGACTTCTCCCTAGAGTCGAGATGAGGCCCCATTCCCCTCCAGTGCATGCAGAGCTCTTCCATGATCGCATTCAAACAAATCAGGAGCTTCGACTTGCTTAATGGTTCTCGAGACAGTCCCCAAGAACACTGTCACCAGTCTAGACGGACCCTGAGGTCACCCCAGCAACGCAAAGCAGCTCCATGTGCCCCAAATCAACTCGAGATGAGGCCCGATTCCCCTGCATTGACTCCAGAGCCATTCCCAGTTCCCCATTCAACACGACCGGTGGCTCGACTACCTTCAGGCAACTCCAGAGATGCCCCGAGAACACTGTCCCAAGGCTAGAGGAACACCAACTTCAGCACAGCAACTCGAGGAATGCTCCGTGTACCCCAAATCGTCTCGAGATGAGAGCTGATTCCCTGGCTTAGGCTCAAGACGTATGCCAACTATCCAGAAGCACCTCAGGAGGCGGCTTCTCTCAGCAATAGTTATGTGGGGGGGACCCCGAGATAGCTGCCTCAAGTGGAATATACAGCGAGAAGCCCTAACTTGAAAGGAGGACGGATTTCCTTGCAGTGGCTTGAATACAGGCTCGTCTTTCATCTAACAACATGAAGGGATGTCTGAATCCCCTGTGGAGTCCTTAGAGAAAGCCCTAGGTCCCTGCCTCATTTTGACGGAATGCCTCACATCCCGTTGACACCTCGAGAGGCAGGCGGAGTTCATTGCTTCAAAAGGTGACGATGCCTGACTCCTCTTGAATACTGAAAGGAATCCCAAAATCCCTGTGGCTACTGGAAAGGGTGCTTGGGTGCCCTGCCTCACCTCGAGAAGCGTCCCTTTTGCCCTGCCAAGCCTCGAAGAGATTCCTCAGGTGTCCCTCGTTACTAGACAGGAGTCCTGACGTCACTGAATAAACACGTGTTTTGAAGGGCCATCCCTGCCGTAAGTCGAGAACATACCCCAGGTCCCCGCCGCAACTCGAGAAAAACCATGAGACTTCTCCCTAGAGTCGAGATGAGGCCCCATTCCCCTCCAGTGCATGCAGAGCTCTTCCATGATCGCATTCAAACAAATCAGGAGCTTCGACTTGCTTAATGGTTCTCGAGACAGTCGCCAAGAACACTGTCACCAGTCTAGACGGACCCTGAGGTCACCCCAGCAACGCAAAGCAGCTCCATGTGCCCCAAATCAACTCGAGATGAGTCCCGATTCCCATGCATTGACTCCAGAGCCATTCCCAGTTCCCCATTCAACACGACCGGTGGCTCGACTTCCTTCAGGCAACTCCAGAGATGCCCCGAGAACACTGTCCCAAGGCTAGAGGAACACCAACTTCAGCACAGCAACTCGAGGAATGCTGTGTGTACCACAAATCATCTCGAGATGAGAGCTGATTCCCTGGCTTAGGCTCAAGACGTATGCCAACTTTCCAGAAGCACCTCAGGAGGAGGCCTCTCCCAGCAATAGGTATTTGTGAGGGACCCCGAGATCGCTGCCTCAAGTGGAATATACAGCGAGAAGCCCTAACTTGAAAGGAGGCCGGATTTCCTTGCTGTGGCTTGAATACAGGCTCCTCTTTGATCTCAAAACATGAAGGGATGACTGAATCCCCTGTGGAGACCTTAGAGTAAGCCCTAGGTCCCTGCGTCATTTTGACGGAATGCCTCACATCCCGTTGACAACTCGAGAGGCACGCAGAATTCATTGCTTCAAAAGGTGACGATGCCTGACTCCTCTTGAATACTGATAGGAATCCCAAAATCACTGTGGCTACTGGAATGGGTCCTTGGGTGCCCTGCCTCACATCGAGAAGCGTCCCTTTTGCCCTGCCAAGCCTCGAAGGGTTTCCTGAGCTGTCCCTCGTTACTAGACTGGAGTCCTGACGTCACTGAAGAAACTCGTCTTTTGAAGGGCCATCCCCGCCGTAAGTCGAGAACATACCCCTGGTCCCCGCTGCAACTCGTGAAAAACCATGAGACTTCCCCCTAGAGGCGAGATGAGGCCCCATTCCCCTGCAGTGCATGCAGAGCTATTCCGTGATCCCATTCAAACCAGGCAGGACCTTCGACTTGCTTAATGGATCTCGAGACAGTCCCCAAGAACACTGTCACAAGTCTAGACGTATCCTGAGGTCACCCCAGCAACGCAAAGCAGCTCCATGTGCCCCAAATCAACTCGAGATGAGGCCCGATTCCCCTGCATTGACTCCAGAGCCATTCCCCGTTCCCCATTCAACACGACCGGTGGCTCGACTTCCTTCAGGCAACTCCAGAGATGCCCCGAGAAGACTGTCCCAAGGCTAGAGGAACACCAACTTCAGCACAGCAACTCGAGGAATGCTCCGTGTACACCAAATCGTCTCGAGATGAGAGCTGATTCCCTGGCTTAGGCTCAAGACGTATGCCAACTTTCCAGAAGCACCTCAGGAGGAGGCTTCACCCAGCAATAGGTATGTGGGAGGGACCCCGAGATCGCTGCCTCAAGTGGAGTATACAGCGAGAAGCCCTAACTTGAAAGGAGGCCGGATTTCCTTGCAATGGCTTGAATACAGGCTCGTCTTTCATCTCACAACATGAAGGGAAGTCTGAATCCCCTGTGGAGACCTTAGAGAAAGCCCTAGGTCCCTGCCTCATTTTGACGGAATGCCTCACATCCCGTTGACACCTCGAGAGGCACGCAGAGTTCATTGCTTCAAAAGGTGACGATGCCTGACTCCTGTTGAATACTGATAGGAATCCCAAAATCCCTGTGACTACTGGAAAGGGTCCTTGGGTGCCCTGCCTCACCTCGAGAAGCGTCCCTTTTGCCCTGCCAAGCCTCGAAGAGTTTCCTGAGGTGTCCCTGGTTACTAGACAGGAGTCCTACGTCACTGAAGAAACTCGTGTTTTGAAGGGCCATCCCCGCCGTAAGTCGAGAACATAACCCATGTCCCCGCCGCAACTCGAGAAAAACCATGAGACTTACCGCTAGAGGCGAGATGAGGCCCCATTCCCCTGCAGTGCATGCAGAGCTATTCCGTGATCCCATTCAAACAAGTCAGGAGCTTCGACTTGCTTAATGGATCTCGAGACCGTCCCCAAGAACACTGTCACCAGTCTAGACGGAACCTGAGGTCAACCCAGCAATGCAAAGCAGCTCCATGTGCCCCAAATCAACTCGAGATGAGGCCCGATTCCCCTGCATTGACTCCAGAGCCATTCCACGTTCCCCATTCAACATGACCAGTGGCTCGACTTCCTTCAGGCAACTCCAGAGATGCCCCGAGAACACTGTCCCAAGGCTAGAGGAACACCAAATTCAGCACAGCAACTCGAGGAATGCTCCGTGTACCCCAAATCGTCTCGAGATGAGAGCTGATTCCCTGGCTTAGGCTCAAGACGGATGCCAACTATCCAGAAGCACCTCAGGAGGCGGCTTCTCTCAGCAATAGGTATGTGGGGGGGACCCCGAGATAGCTGCCTCAAGTGGAATATACAGCGAGAAGCCCTAACTTGAAAGGAGGACGGATTTCCTTGCAGTGGCTTGAATACAGGCTCGTCTTTCATCTAACAACATGAAGGGATGTCTGAATCCCCTGTGGAGTCCTTAGAGAAAGCCCTATGTCCCTGCCTCATTTTGACGGAATGCCTCACATCCCGTTGACACCTCGAGAGGCAGGCGGAGTTCATTGCTTCAAAAGGTGACGATGCCTGACTCCTCTTGAATACTGAAAGGAATCCCAAAATCCCTGTGGCTACTGGAAAGGGTGCTTGGGTGCCCTGCCTCACTTCGAGAAGCATCCCTTTTGCCCTGCCAAGCCTCGAAGAGATTCCTCAGGTGTCCCTCGTTACTAGACAGGAGTCCTGACGTCACTGAATAAACACGTGTTTTGAAGGGCCATCCCCGCCGTAAGTCGAGAACATACCCCAGGTCCCCGCCGCAACTCGCGAAAAACCATGAGACTTCTCCCTAGAGTCGAGATGAGGCCCCATTCCCCTCCAGTGCATGCAGAGCTCTTCCATGATCGCATTCAAACAAATCAGGAGGTTCGACTTGCTTAATGGTTCTCGAGACAGTCCCCAAGAACACTGTCACCAGTCTAGACGGACCCTGAGGTCACCCCAGCAACGCAAAGCAGCTCCATGTGCCCCAAATCAACTCGAGATGAGGCCCGATTCCCCTGCATTGACTCCAGAGCCATTCCCAGTTCCCCATTCAACACGACCGGTGGCTCGACTACCTTCAGGCAACTCCAGAGATGCCCCGAGAACACTGTCCCAAGGCTAGAGGAACACCAACTTCAGCACAGCAACTCGAGGAATGCTCCGTGTACCCCAAATCGTCTCGAGATGAGAGCTGATTCCCTGGCTTAGGCTCAAGACGTATGCCAACTATCCAAAAGCACCTCAGGAGGCGGCTTCTCTCAGCAATAGGTATGTGGGGGGGACCCCGAGATAGCTGCCTCAAGTGGAATATACAGCGAGAAGCCCTAACTTGAAAGGAGGACGGATTTCCTTGCAGTGGCTTGAATACAGGCTCGTCTTTCATCTAACAACATGAAGGGATGTCTGAATCCCCTGTGGAGTCCTTAGAGAAAGCCCTAGGTCCCTGCCTCATTTTGACGGAATGCCTCACATCCCGTTGACACCTCGAGAGGCAGGCGGAGTTCATTGCTTCAAAAGGTGACGATGCCTGACTCCTCTTGAATACTGAAAGGAATCCCAAAATCCCTGTGGCTACTGGAAAGGGTGCTTGGGTGCCCTGCCTCACCTCGAGAAGCGTCCCTTTTGCCCTGCCAAGCCTCGAAGAGATTCCTCAGTTGTCCCTCGTTACTAGACAGGAGTCCTGACTTCACTGAATAAACACGTGTTTTGAAGGGCCATCCCTGCCGTAAGTCGAGAACATACCCCAGGTCCCCGCCGCAACTCGAGAAAAACCATGAGACTTCTCCCTAGAGTCGAGATGAGGCCCCATTCCCCTCCAGTGCATGCAGAGCTCTTCCATGATCGCATTCAAACAAATCAGGAGCTTCGACTTGCTTAATGGTTCTCGAGACAGTCGCCAAGAACACTGTCACCAGTCTAGACGGACCCTGAGGTCACCCCAGCAACGCAAAGCAGCTCCATGTGCCCCAAATCAACTCGAGATGAGGCCCGATTCCCCTGCATTGACTCCAGAGCCATTCCCAGTTCCCCATTCAACACGACCGGTGGCTCGACTTCCTTCAGGCAACTCCAGAGATGCCCCGAGAACACTGTCCCAAGGCTAGAGGAACACCAACTTCAGCACAGCAACTTGAGTAATGTTGTGTGTACCACAAATCATCTCGAGATGAGACCTGATTCCCTGGCTAGGCTCAAGACGTATGCCAACTTTCCAGAAGCACCTCAGGAGGAGGCCTCTCCCAGCAATAGGTATTTGTGAGGGACCCCGAGATCGCTGCCTCAAGTGGAATATACAGCGAGAAGCCCTAACTTGAAAGGAGGCCGGATTTCCTTGCTGTGGCTTGAATACAGGCTCCTCTTTGATCTCAAAACATGAAGTGATGACTGAATCCCCTGTGGAGACCTTAGAGAAAGCCCTAGGTCCCTGCGTCATTTTGACGGAATGCCTCACATCCCGTTGACACCTCGAGAGGCACGCAGAGTTCATTGCTTCAAAAGGTGACGATGCCTGACTCCTCTTGAATACTGATAGGAATCCCAAAATCCCTGTGGCTACTGGAAAGGGTCCTTGGGTGCCCTGCATCACCTCGAGAAGCGTCCCTTTTGCCCTGCCAGGCCTCGAAGAGTTTCCTGAGGTGTCACTGGTTACTAGACAGGAGTCCTAGGTCACTGAAGAAACCCGTGTTTTGAAGGGCCATCCCCGCCGTAAGTCGAGAACATACCCCAGGTCCCCGCCGCAACTCGAGAAAAACCATGAGACTTCCCCCTAGAGGCGAGATGAGGCCGCATTCCCCTGCAGTGCATGCAGAGCTATTCCGTGATCCCATTCAAACAAGTCAGGAGCTTCGACTTGCTTAATGGATCTCGAGACAGTTCCCAAGAACACTGTCACCAGTCTAGACGGACCCTGAGGTCATCCCAGCAATGCAAAGCTGCTCCATGTGCCCCAAATCAACTCGAGATGAGGCCCGATTCCCCTGCATTGACTCCAGAGCCATTCCCCGTTCCCCATTCAACACGACCGGTGGCTCGACTTCCTTCAGGCAACTCCAGAGATGCCCCGAGAACACTGTCCCAAGGCTAGAGGAACACCAACTTCAGCACAGCAACACGAGGAATGCTCCGTGTACACCAAATCGTCTCGAGATGAGAGCTGATTCCCTGGCTTAGGCTCAAGACGGATGCCAACTATCCAGAAGCACCTCAGGAGGCGGCTTCTCTCAGCAATAGGTATGTGGGGGGGACCCCGAGATAGCTGCCTCAAGTGGAATATACAGCGAGAAGCCCTAACTTGAAAGGAGGACGGATTTCCTTGCAGTGGCTTGAATACAGGCTCGTCTTTCATCTAACAACATGAAGGGATGTCTGAATCCCCTGTGGAGTCCTTAGAGAAAGCCCTAGGTCCCTGCCTCATTTTGACGGAATGCCTCACATCCCGTTGACACCTCGAGAGGCAGGCGGAGTTCATTGCTTCAAAAGGTGACGATGCCTGACTCCTCTTGAATACTGAAAGGAATCCCAAAATCCCTGTGGCTACTGGAAAGGGTGCTTGGGTGCCCTGCCTCACCTCGAGAAGCGTCCCTTTTGCCCTGCCAAGCCTCGAAGAGATTCCTCAGGTGTCCCTCGTTACTAGAGAGGAGTCCTGACGTCACTGAATAAACACGTGTTTTGAAGGGCCATCCCTGCCGTAAGTCGAGAACATACCCCAGGTCCCCGCCGCAACTCGAGAAAAACCATGAGACTTCTCCCTAGAGTCGAGACGAGGCCCCATTCCCCTCCAGTGCATGCAGAGCTCTTCCATGATCGCATTCAAACAAATCAGGAGCTTCGACTTGCTTAATGGTTCTCGAGACAGTCGCCAAGAACACTGTCACCAGTCTAGACGGACCCTGAGGTCACCCCAGCAACGCAAAGCAGCTCCATGTGCCCCAAATCAACTCGAGATGAGGCCCGATTCCCCTGCATTGACTCCAGAGCCATTCCCAGTTCCCCATTCAACACGACCGGTGGCTCGACTTCCTTCAGGCAACTCCAGAGATGCCCCGAGAACACTGTCCCAAGGCTAGAGGAACACCAACTTCAGCACAGCAACTTGAGTAATGTTGTGTGTACCACAAATCATCTCGAGATGAGAGCTGATTCCCTGGCTAGGCTCAAGACGTATGCCAACTTTCCAGAAGCACCTCAGGAGGAGGCCTCTCCCAGCAATAGGTATTTGTGAGGGACCCCGAGATCGCTGCCTCAAGTGGAATATACAGCGAGAAGCCCTAACTTGAAAGGAGGCCGGATTTCCTTGCTGTGGCTTGAATACAGGCTCCTCTTTGATCTCAAAACATGAAGTGATGACTGAATCCCCTGTGGAGACCTTAGAGAAAGCCCTAGGTCCCTGCGTCATTTTGACGGAATGCCTCACATCCCGTTGACACCTCGAGAGGCACGCAGAGTTCATTGCTTCAAAAGGTGACGATGCCTGACTCCTCTTGAATACTGATAGGAATCCCAAAATCCCTGTGGCTACTGGAAAGGGTCCTTGGGTGCCCTGCATCACCTCGAGAAGCGTCCCTTTTGCCCTGCCAGGCCTCGAAGAGTTTCCTGAGGTGTCACTGGTTACTAGACAGGAGTCCTAGGTCACTGAAGAAACCCGTGTTTTGAAGGGCCATCCCCGCCGTAAGTCGAGAACATACCCCAGGTCCCCGCTGCAACTCGAGAAAAACCATGAGACTTCCCCCTAGAGCGAGATGAGGCCGCATTCCCCTGCAGTGCATGCAGAGCTATTCCATGATCCCATTCAAACAAGTCAGGAGCTTCGACTTGCTTAATGGATCTCGAGACAGTTCCCAAGAACACTGTCACCAGTCTAGACGGACCCTGAGGTCATCCCAGCAATGCAAAGCTGCTCCATGTGCCCCAAATCAACTCGAGATGAGGCCCGATTCCCCTGCATTGACTCCAGAGCCATTCCCCGTTCCCCATTCAACACGACCGGTGGCTCGACTTCCTTCAGGCAACTCCAGAGATGCCCCGAGAACACTGTCCCAAGGCTAGAGGAACACCAACTTCAGCACAGCAACACGAGGAATGCTCCGTGTACACCAAATCGTCTCGAGATGAGAGCTGATTCCCTGGCTTAGGCTCAAGACGTATGCCAACTTTCCAGAAGCACCTCAGGTGGAGGCTTCACCCAGCAATAGGTATGTGGGAGGGACCCCGAGATCGCTGCCTCAAGTGGAGTATACAGCGAGAAGCCCTAACTTGAAAGGAGGCCGGATTTCCTTGCAATGGCTTGAATACAGGCTCGTCTTTCATCTCACAACATGAAGGGAAGTCTGAATCCCCTGTGGAGACCTTAGAGAAAGCCCTAGGTCCCTGCCTCATTTTGACGGAATGCCTCACATCCCGTTGACACCTCGAGAGGCACGCAGAGTTCATTGCTTCAAAAGGTGACGATGCCTGACTCCTGTTGAATACTGATAGGAATCCCAAAATCCCTGTGACTACTGGAAAGGGTCCTTGGGTGCCCTGCCTCACCTCGAGAAGCGTCCCTTTTGCCCTGCCAAGCCTCGAAGAGTTTCCTGAGGTGTCCCTGGTTACTAGACAGGAGTCCTACGTCACTGAAGAAACTCGTGTTTTGAAGGGCCATCCCCGCCGTAAGTCGAGAACATACCCCATGTCCCCGCCGCAACTCGAGAAAAACCATGAGACTTACCGCTAGAGGCGAGATGAGGCCCCATTCCCCTGCAGTGCATGCAGAGCTATTCCGTGATCCCATTCAAACAAGTCAGGAGCTTCGACTTGCTTAATGGATCTCGAGACCGTCCCCAAGAACACTCTCACCAGTCTAGATGGAACCTGAGGTCACCCCAGCAATGCAAAGCAGCTCCATGTGCCCCAAATCAACTCGAGATGAGGCCCGATTCCCCTGCATTGACTCCAGAGCCATTCCACGTTCCCCATTCAACATGACCAGTGGCTCGACTTCCTTCAGGCAACTCCAGAGATGCCCCGAGAACACTGTCCCAAGGCTAGAGGAACACCAAATTCAGCACAGCAACTCGAGGAATGCTCCGTGTACCCCAAATCGTCTCGAGATGAGAGCTGATTCCCTGGCTTAGGCTCAAGACGGATGCCAACTATCCAGAAGCACCTCAGGAGGCGGCTTCTCTCAGCAATAGGTATGTGGGGGGGACCCCGAGATAGCTGCCTCAAGTGGAATATACAGCGAGAAGCCCTAACTTGAAAGGAGGACGGATTTCCTTGCAGTGGCTTGAATACAGGCTCGTCTTTCATCTAACAACATGAAGGGATGTCTGAATCCCCTGTGGAGACCTTAGAGAAAGCCCTAGGTCCCTGCGTCATTTTGACGGAATGCCTCACATCCCGTTGACACCTCGAGAGGCAGGCGGAGTTCATTGCTTCAAAAGGTGACGATGCCTGACTCCTCTTGAATACTGAAAGGAATCCCAAAATCCCTGTGGCTACTGGAAAGGGTGCTTGGGTGCCCTGCCTCACTTCGAGAAGCGTCCCTTTTGCCCTGCCAAGCCTCGAAGAGATTCCTCAGGTGTCCCTCGTTACTAGACAGGAGTCCTGACGTCACTGAAGAAACTCGTGTTTTGAAGGGCCATCCCCGCCGTAAGTCGAGAACATACCCCAGGTCCCCGCCGCAACTCGCGAAAAACCATGAGACTTCTCCCTAGAGTCGAGATGAGGCCCCATTCCCCTCCAGTGCATGCAGAGCTCTTCCATGATCGCATTCAAACAAATCAGGAGCTTCGACTTGCTTAATGGTTCTCGAGACATTCCCCAAGAACACTGTCACCAGGCTAGACGGACCCTGAGGTCACCCCAGCAACGCAAAGCAGCTCCATGTGCCCCAAATCAACTCGAGATGAGGCCCGATTCCCCTGCATTGACTCCAGAGCCATTCCCAGTTCCCCATTCAACACGACCGGTGGCTCGACTTCCTTCAGGCAACTCCAGAGATGCCCCGAGAACACTGTCCCAAGGCTAGAGGAACACCAACTTCAGCACAGCAACTCGAGGAATGCTCCGTGTACCCCAAATCGTCTCGAGATGAGAGCTGATTCCCTGGCTTAGGCTCAAGACGTATGCCAACTATCCAGAAGCACCTCAGGAGGCGGCTTCTCTCAGCAATAGGTATGTGGGGGGGACCCCGAGATAGCTGCCTCAAGTGGAATATACAGCGAGAAGCCCTAACTTGAAAGGAGGACGGATTTCCTTGCAGTGGCTTGAATACAGGCTCGTCTTTCATCTAACAACATGAAGGGATGTCTGAATCCCCTGTGGAGTCCTTAGAGAAAGCCCTAGGTCCCTGCCTCATTTTGACGGAATGCCTCACATCCCGTTGACACCTCGAGAGGCAGGCGGAGTTCATTGCTTCAAAAGGTGACGATGCCTGACTCCTCTTGAATACTGAAAGGAATCCCAAAATCCCTGTGGCTACTGGAAAGGGTGCTTGGGTGCCCTGCCTCACCTCGAGAAGCGTCCCTTTTGCCCTGCCAAGCCTCGAAGAGATTCCTCAGGTGTCCCTCGTTACTAGACAGGAGTCCTGACGTCACTGAATAAACACGTGTTTTGAAGGGCCATCCCTGCCGTAAGTCGAGAACATACCCCAGGTCCCCTCCGCAACTCGAGAAAAACCATGAGACTTCTCCCTAGAGTCGAGATGAGGCCCCATTCCCCTCCAGTGCATGCAGAGCTCTTCCATGATCGCATTCAAACAAATCAGGAGCTTCGACTTGCTTAATGGTTCTCGAGACAGTCGCCAAGAACACTGTCACCAGTCTAGACGGACCCTGAGGTCACCCCAGCAACGCAAAGCAGCTCCATGTGCCCCAAATCAACTCGAGATGAGGCCCGATTCCCCTGCATTGACTCCAGAGCCATTCCCAGTTCCCCATTCAACACGACCGGTGGCTCGACTTCCTTCAGGCAACTCCAGAGATGCCCCGAGAACACTGTCCCAAGGCTAGAGGAACACCAACTTCAGCACAGCAACTCGAGGAATGCTGTGTGTACCACAAATCATCTCGAGATGAGAGCTGATTCCCTGGCTTAGGCTCAAGACGTATGCCAACTTTCCAGAAGCACCTCAGGAGGAGGCCTCTCCCAGCAATAGGTATTTGTGAGGGACCCCGAGATCGCTGCCTCAAGTGGAATATACAGCGAGAAGCCCTAACTTGAAAGGAGGCCGGATTTCCTTGCTGTGGCTTGAATACAGGCTCCTCTTTGATCTCAAAACATGAAGGGATGACTGAATCCCCTGTGGAGACCTTAGAGTAAGCCCTAGGTCCCTGCGTCATTTTGACGGAATGCCTCACATCCCGTTGACAACTGGAGAGGCACGCAGAATTCATTGCTTCAAAAGGTGACGATGCCTGACTCCTCTTGAATACTGATAGGAATCCCAAAATCACTGTGGCTACTGGAATGGGTCCTTGGGTGCCCTGCCTCACATCGAGAAGCGTCCCTTTTGCCCTGCCAAGCCTCGAAGGGTTTCCTGAGCTGTCCCTCGTTACTAGACTGGAGTCCTGACGTCACTGAAGAAACTCGTCTTTTGAAGGGCCATCCCCGCCGTAAGTCGAGAACATACCCCTGGTCCCCGCTGCAACTCGTGAAAAACCATGAGACTTCCCCCTAGAGGCGAGATGAGGCCCCATTCCCCTGCAGTGCATGCAGAGCTATTCCGTGATCCCATTCAAACCAGGCAGGACCTTCGACTTGCTTAATGGATCTCGAGACAGTCCCCAAGAACACTGTCACAAGTCTAGACGTATCCTGAGGTCACCCCAGCAACGCAAAGCAGCTCCATGTGCCCCAAATCAACTCGAGATGAGGCCCGATTCCCCTGCATTGACTCCAGAGCCATTCCCCTTTCCCCATTCAACACGACCGGTGGCTCGACTTCCTTCAGGCAACTCCAGAGATGCCCCGAGAAGACTGTCCCAAGGCTAGAGGAACACCAACTTCAGCACAGCAACTCGAGGAATGCTCCGTGTACAACAAATCGTCTCGAGATGAGAGCTGATTCCCTGGCTTAGGCTCAAGACGTATGCCAACTTTCCAGAAGCACCTCAGGAGGAGGCTTCACCCAGCAATAGGTATGTGGGAGGGACCCCGAGATCGCTGCCTCAAGTGGAGTATACAGCGAGAAGCCCTAACTTGAAAGGAGGCCGGATTTCCTTGCAATGGCTTGAATACAGGCTCGTCTTTCATCTCACAACATGAAGGGAAGTCTGAATCCCCTGTGGAGACCTTAGAGAAAGCCCTAGGTCCCTGCCTCATTTTGACGGAATGCCTCACATCCCGTTGACACCTCGAGAGGCACGCAGAGTTCATTGCTTCAAAAGGTGACGATGCCTGACTCCTGTTGAATACTGATAGGAATCCCAAAATCCCTGTGACTACTGGAAAGGGTCCTTGGGTGCCCTGCCTCACCTCGAGAAGCGTCCCTTTTGCCCTGCCAAGCCTCGAAGAGTTTCCTGAGGTGTCCCTGGTTACTAGACAGGAGTCCTACGTCACTGAAGAAACTCGTGTTTTGAAGGGCCATCCCCGCCGTAAGTCGAGAACATAACCCATGTCCCCGCCGCAACTCGAGAAAAACCATGAGACTTACCGCTAGAGGCGAGATGAGGCCCCATTCCCCTGCAGTGCATGCAGAGCTATTCCGTGATCCCATTCAAACAAGTCAGGAGCTTCGACTTGCTTAATGGATCTCGAGACCGTCCCCAAGAACACTGTCACCAGTCTAGACGGAACCTGAGGTCAACCCAGCAATGCAAAGCAGCTCCATGTGCCCCAAATCAACTCGAGATGAGGCCCGATTCCCCTGCATTGACTCCAGAGCCATTCCACGTTCCCCATTCAACATGACCAGTGGCTCGACTTCCTTCAGGCAACTCCAGAGATGCCCCGAGAACACTGTCCCAAGGCTAGAGGAACACCAAATTCAGCACAGCAACTCGAGGAATGCTCCGTGTACCCCAAATCGTCTCGAGATGAGAGCTGATTCCCTGGCTTAGGCTCAAGACGGATGCCAACTATCCAGAAGCACCTCAGGAGGCGGCTTCTCTCAGCAATAGGTATGTGGGGGGGACCCCGAGATAGCTGCCTCAAGTGGAATATACAGCGAGAAGCCCTAACTTGAAAGGAGGACGGATTTCCTTGCAGTGGCTTGAATACAGGCTCGTCTTTCATCTAACAACATGAAGGGATGTCTGAATCCCCTGTGGAGTCCTTAGAGAAAGCCCTATGTCCCTGCCTCATTTTGACGGAATGCCTCACATCCCGTTGACACCTCGAGAGGCAGGCGGAGTTCATTGCTTCAAAAGGTGACGATGCCTGACTCCTCTTGAATACTGAAAGGAATCCCAAAATCCCTGTGGCTACTGGAAAGGGTGCTTGGGTGCCCTGCCTCACTTCGAGAAGCGTCCCTTTTGCCCTGCCAAGCCTCGAAGAGATTCCTCAGGTGTCCCTCGTTACTAGACAGGAGTCCTGACGTCACTGAATAAACACGTGTTTTGAAGGGCCATCCCCGCCGTAAGTCGAGAACATACCCCAGGTCCCCGCCGCAACTCGCGAAAAACCATGAGACTTCTCCCTAGAGTCGAGATGAGGCCCCATTCCCCTCCAGTGCATGCAGAGCTCTTCCATGATCGCATTCAAACAAATCAGGAGCTTCGACTTGCTTAATGGTTCTCGAGACAGTCCCCAAGAACACTGTCACCAGTCTAGACGGACCCTGAGGTCACCCCAGCAACGCAAAGCAGCTCCATGTGCCCCAAATCAACTCGAGATGAGGCCCGATTCCCCTGCATTGACTCCAGAGCCATTCCCAGTTCCCCATTCAACACGACCGGTGGCTCGACTACCTTCAGGCAACTCCAGAGATGCCCCGAGAACACTGTCCCAAGGCTAGAGGAACAAAAACTTCAGCACAGCAACTCGAGGAATGCTCCGTGTACCCCAAATCGTCTCGAGATGAGAGCTGATTCCCTGGCTTAGGCTCAAGACGTATGCCAACTATCCAGAAGCACCTCAGGAGGCGGCTTCTCTCAGCAATAGGTATGTGGGGGGGACCCCGAGATAGCTGCCTCAAGTGGAATATACAGCGAGAAGCCCTAACTTGAAAGGAGGACGGATTTCCTTGCAGTGGCTTGAATACAGGCTCGTCTTTCATCTAACAACATGAAGGGATGTCTGAATCCCCTGTGGAGTCCTTAGAGAAAGCCCTAGGTCCCTGCCTCATTTTGACGGAATGCCTCACATCCCGTTGACACCTCGAGAGGCAGGCGGAGTTCATTGCTTCAAAAGGTGACGATGCCTGACTCCTCTTGAATACTGAAAGGAATCCCAAAATCCCTGTGGCTACTGGAAAGGGTGCTTGGGTGCCCTGCCTCACCTCGAGAAGCGTCCCTTTTGCCCTGCCAAGCCTCGAAGAGATTCCTCAGGTGTCCCTCGTTACTAGACAGGAGTCCTGACGTCACTGAATAAACACGTGTTTTGAAGGGCCATCCCTGCCGTAAGTCGAGAACATACCCCAGGTCCCCGCCGCAACTCGCGAAAAACCATGAGACTTCTCCCTAGAGTCGAGATGAGGCCCCATTCCCCTCCAGTGCATGCAGAGCTCTTCCATGATCGCATTCAAACAAATCAGGAGCTTCGACTTGCTTAATGGTTCTCGAGACAGTCGCCAAGAACACTGTCACCAGTCTAGACGGACCCTGAGGTCACCCCAGCAACGCAAAGCAGCTCCATGTGCCCCAAATCAACTCGAGATGAGGCCCGATTCCCCTGCATTGACTCCAGAGCCATTCCCAGTTCCCCATTCAACACGACCGGTGGCTCGACTTCCTTCAGGCAACTCCAGAGATGCCCCGAGAACACTGTCCCAAGGCTAGAGGAACACCAACTTCAGCACAGCAACTTGAGTAATGTTGTGTGTACCACAAATCATCTCGAGATGAGAGCTGATTCCCTGGCTAGGCTCAAGACGTATGCCAACTTTCCAGAAGCACCTCAGGAGGAGGCCTCTCCCAGCAATAGGTATTTGTGAGGGACCCCGAGATCGCTGCCTCAAGTGGAATATACAGCGAGAAGCCCTAACTTGAAAGGAGGCCGGATTTCCTTGCTGTGGCTTGAATACAGGCTCCTCTTTGATCTCAAAACATGAAGTGATGACTGAATCCCCTGTGGAGACCTTAGAGAAAGCCCTAGGTCCCTGCGTCATTTTGACGGAATGCCTCACATCCCGTTGACACCTCGAGAGGCACGCAGAGTTCATTGCTTCAAAAGGTGACGATGCCTGACTCCTCTTGAATACTGATAGGAATCCCAAAATCCCTGTGGCTACTGGAAAGGGTCCTTGGGTGCCCTGCATCACCTCGAGAAGCGTCCCTTTTGCCCTGCCAGGCCTCGAAGAGTTTCCTGAGGTGTCACTGGTTACTAGACAGGAGTCCTAGGTCACTGAAGAAACCCGTGTTTTGAAGGGCCATCCCCGCCGTAACTCGAGAACATACCCCAGGTCCCCGCTGCAACTCGAGAAAAACCATGAGACTTCCCCCTAGAGCGAGATGAGGCTGCATTCCCCTGCAGTGCATGCAGAGCTATTCTATGATCCCATTCAAACAAGTCAGGAGCTTCGACTTGCTTAATGGATCTCGAGACAGTTCCCAAGAACACTGTCACCAGTCTAGACGGACCCTGAGGTCATCCCAGCAATGCAAAGCTGCTCCATGTGCCCCAAATCAACTCGAGATGAGGCCCGATTCCCCTGCATTGACTCCAGAGCCATTCCCCGTTCCCCATTCAACACGACCGGTGGCTCGACTTCCTTCAGGCAACTCCAGAGATGCCCCGAGAACACTGTCCCAAGGCTAGAGGAACACCAACTTCAGCACAGCAACACGAGGAATGCTCCGTGTACACCAAATCGTCTCGAGATGAGAGCTGATTCCCTGGCTTAGGCTCAAGACGTATGCCAACTTTCCAGAAGCACCTCAGGAGGAGGCTTCACCCAGCAATAGGTATGTGGGAGGGACCCCGAGATCGCTGCCTCAAGTGGAGTATACAGCGAGAAGCCCTAACTTGAAAGGAGGCCGGATTTCCTTGCAATGGCTTGAATACAGGCTCGTCTTTCATCTCACAACATGAAGGGAAGTCTGAATCCCCTGTGGAGACCTTAGAGAAAGCCCTAGGTCCCTGCCTCATTTTGACGGAATGCCTCACATCCCGTTGACACCTCGAGAGGCACGCAGAGTTCATTGCTTCAAAAGGTGACGATGCCTGACTCCTGTTGAATACTGATAGGAATCCCAAAATCCCTGTGACTACTGGAAAGGGTCCTTGGGTGCCCTGCCTCACCTCGAGAAGCGTCCCTTTTGCCCTGCCAAGCCTCGAAGAGTTTCCTGAGGTGTCCCTGGTTACTAGACAGGAGTCCTACGTCACTGAAGAAACTCGTGTTTTGAAGGGCCATCCCCGCCGTAAGTCGAGAACATACCCCATGTCCCCGCCGCAACTCGAGAAAAACCATGAGACTTACCGCTAGAGGCGAGATGAGGCCCCATTCCCCTGCAGTGCATGCAGAGCTATTCCGTGATCCCATTCAAACAAGTCAGGAGCTTCGACTTGCTTAATGGATCTCGAGACCGTCCCCAAGAACACTGTCACCAGTCTAGATGGAACCTGAGGTCACCCCAGCAATGCAAAGCAGCTCCATGTGCCCCAAATCAACTCGAGATGAGGCCCGATTCCCCTGCATTGACTCCAGAGCCATTCCACGTTCCCCATTCAACATGACCAGTGGCTCGACTTCCTTCAGGCAACTCCAGAGATGCCCCGAGAACACTGTCCCAAGGCTAGAGGAACACCAAATTCAGCACAGCAACTCGAGGAATGCTCCGTGTACCCCAAATCGTCTCGAGATGAGAGCTGATTCCCTGGCTTAGGCTCAAGACGGATGCCAACTATCCAGAAGCACCTCAGGAGGCGGCTTCTCTCAGCAATAGGTATGTGGGGGGGACCCCGAGATAGCTGCCTCAAGTGGAATATACAGCGAGAAGCCCTAACTTGAAAGGAGGACGGATTTCCTTGCAGTGGCTTGAATACAGGCTCGTCTTTCATCTAACAACATGAAGGGATGTCTGAATCCCCTGTGGAGACCTTAGAGAAAGCCCTAGGTCCCTGCGTCATTTTGACGGAATGCCTCACATCCCGTTGACACCTCGAGAGGCAGGCGGAGTTCATTGCTTCAAAAGGTGACGATGCCTGACTCCTCTTGAATACTGAAAGGAATCCCAAAATCCCTGTGGCTACTGGAAAGGGTGCTTGGGTGCCCTGCCTCACTTCGAGAAGCGTCCCTTTTGCCCTGCCAAGCCTCGAAGAGATTCCTCAGGTGTCCCTCGTTACTAGACAGGAGTCCTGACGTCACTGAAGAAACTCGTGTTTTGAAGGGCCATCCCCGCCGTAAGTCGAGAACATACCCCAGGTCCCCGCCGCAACTCGCGAAAAACCATGAGACTTCTCCCTAGAGTCGAGATGAGGCCCCATTCCCCTCCAGTGCATGCAGAGCTCTTCCATGATCGCATTCAAACAAATCAGGAGCTTCGACTTGCTTAATGGTTCTCGAGACATTCCCCAAGAACACTGTCACCAGGCTAGACGGACCCTGAGGTCACCCCAGCAACGCAAAGCAGCTCCATGTGCCCCAAATCAACTCGAGATGAGGCCCGATTCCCCTGCATTGACTCCAGAGCCATTCCCAGTTCCCCATTCAACACGACCGGTGGCTCGACTTCCTTCAGGCAACTCCAGAGATGCCCCGAGAACACTGTCCCAAGGCTAGAGGAACACCAACTTCAGCACAGCAACTCGAGGAATGCTCCGTGTACCCCAAATCGTCTCGAGATGAGAGCTGATTCCCTGGCTTAGGCTCAAGACGTATGCCAACTATCCAGAAGCACCTCAGGAGGCGGCTTCTCTCAGCAATAGGTATGTGGGGGGGACCCCGAGATAGCTGCCTCAAGTGGAATATACAGCGAGAAGCCCTAACTTGAAAGGAGGACGGATTTCCTTGCAGTGGCTTGAATACAGGCTCGTCTTTCATCTAACAACATGAAGGGATGTCTGAATCCCCTGTGGAGTCCTTAGAGAAAGCCCTAGGTCCCTGCCTCATTTTGACGGAATGCCTCACATCCCGTTGACACCTCGAGAGGCAGGCGGAGTTCATTGCTTCAAAAGGTGACGATGCCTGACTCCTCTTGAATACTGAAAGGAATCCCAAAATCCCTGTGGCTACTGGAAAGGGTGCTTGGGTGCCCTGCCTCACCTCGAGAAGCGTCCCTTTTGCCCTGCCAAGCCTCGAAGAGATTCCTCAGGTGTCCCTCGTTACTAGACAGGAGTCCTGACGTCACTGAATAAACACGTGTTTTGAAGGGCCATCCCTGCCGTAAGTCGAGAACATACCCCAGGTCCCCGCCGCAACTCGAGAAAAACCATGAGACTTCTCCCTAGAGTCGAGATGAGGCCCCATTCCCCTCCAGTGCATGCAGAGCTCTTCCATGATCGCATTCAAACAAATCAGGAGCTTCGACTTGCTTAATGGTTCTCGAGACAGTCGCCAAGAACACTGTCACCAGTCTAGACGGACCCTGAGGTCACCCCAGCAACGCAAAGCAGCTCCATGTGCCCCAAATCAACTCGAGATGAGGCCCGATTCCCCTGCATTGACTCCAGAGCCATTCCCAGTTCCCCATTCAACACGACCGGTGGCTCGACTTCCTTCAGGCAACTCCAGAGATGCCCCGAGAACACTGTCCCAAGTCTAGAGGAACACCAACTTCAGCACAGCAACTCGAGGAACGCTCTGTGTACCCCAAATCATCTCGAGATGAGAGCTGATTCCCTGTCTTAGGCTCAAGCCGTATGCCAACTTTCCAGAAGCACCTCAGGAGGAGGACTCTCCCAGCAATAGGTATGTGGGAGGGACCCCGAGATCGCTGCCTCAAGTGGAATATACAGCGAGAAGCCCTAACTTGAAAGGAGGCCGGATTTCCTTGCTGTGGCTTGAATACAGGCTCCTCTTTGATCTCAAAACATGAAGGGATGTCTGAATACCCTGTGGAGGCCTTAGAGAAAGCCCTAGGACCCTGCGTCATTTTGACGGAATGCCTCACATCCCGTTGACACCTCGAGAGGCACGCAGAGTTCATTGCTTCAAAAGGTGATGATGCCTGACTCCTCTTGAATACTGATAGGAATCCCAAAATGCCTGTGGCTACTGGAAAGGGTCCTTGGGTGCCCTGCTTCTCCTTGAGAAGCGTCCCTTTTGCCCTGCCAAGCCTCGAAGAGTTTCCTGAGGTGTCCCTGGTTACTAGACAGGAGTCCTACGTCACTGAAGAAACTCGTGTTTTGAAGGGCCATCCCCGCTGTAAGTCGAGAACATACCCCATGTCCCCGCCGCAACTCGAGAAAAACCATGAGACTTACCCCTAGAGGCGAGATGAGGCCCCATTCCCCTGCAGTGCATGCAGAGCTATTCCGTGATCCCATTCAAACAAGTCAGGAGCTTCGACTTGCTTAATGGATCTCGAGACCGTCCCCAAGAACAATGTCACCAGTCTAGACGGAACCTGAGGTCACCCCAGCAATGCAAAGCAGCTCCATGTGCCCCAAATCAACTCGAGATGAGGCCCGATTCCCCTGCATTGACTCCAGAGCCATTCCACGTTCCCCATTCAACATGACCGGTGGCTCGACTTCCTTCAGGCAACTCCAGAGATGCCCCGAGAACACTGTCCCAAGGCTAGAGGAACACCAACTTCAGCACAGCAACACGAGGAATGCTCCGTGTACCCCAAATCGTCTCGAGATGAGAGCTGATTCCCTGGCTTAGGCTCAAGACGTATGCCAACTATCCAGAAACACCTCAGGAGGCGGCTTCTCTCAGCAATAGGTATGTGGGGGGGACCCCGAGTTAGCTGCCTCATGTGGAATATACAGCGAGAAGCCCTAACTTGAAAGGAGGCCGGATTTCCTTGCAGTGGCTTGAATACAGGCTCGTCTTTCATCTAACAACATGAAGGGATGTCTGAATCCCCTGTGGAGACCTTAGAGAAAGCCCTAGGTCCCTGCGTCATTTTGACGGAATGCCTCACATCCGGTTGACACCTCGAGAGGCAGGCGGAGTTCATTGCTTCAAAAGGTGACGATGCCTGACTCCTCTTGAATACTGAAAGGAATCCCAAAATCCCTGTGGCTACTGGAAAGGGTGCTTGGGTGCCCTGCCTCACCTCGAGAAGCGTCCCTTTTGCCCTGCCAAGCCTCAAAGAGATTCCTCAGGTGTCCCTCGTTACTAGACAGGAGTCCTGACATCACTGAATAAACACGTGTTTTGAAGGGCCATCCCCGCCGTAAGTCGAGAACATACCCCAGGTCCCTGCCGCAACTCGAGAAAAATCATGAGACTTCTCCCTAGAGTCGAGATGAGGCCCCATTCCCCTCCAGTGCATGCAGAGCTCTTCCGTGATCGCATTCAAACAAATCAGGAGCTTCGACTTGCTTAATGGTTCTCGAGACAGTCCCCAAGAACACTGTCTCCAGTCTAGACGGACCCTGAGGTCACCCCAGCAACGCAAAGCAGCTCCATGTGCCCCAAATCAACTCGAGATGAGGCCCGATTCCCCTACATTGACTCCAGAGCCATTCCCCGTTCCCCATTCAACACGACCGGTGGCTCGACTTCCTTCAGGCAACTCCAGAGATGCCCCGAGAACACTGTCCCAAGGCTAGAGGAACACCAACTTCAGCACAGCAACTCGAGGAATGCTGTGTGTACCACAAATCATCTCGAGATGAGAGCTGATTCCCTGGCTTAGGCTCAAGACGTATGCCAACTTTCCAGAAGCACCTCAGGAGGAGGCCTCTCCCAGCAATAGGTATGTGGGAGGGACCCCGAGATCGCTGCCTCAAGTGGAATATACAGCGAGAAGCCCTAACTTGAAAGGAGGCCTGATTTCCTTGCTGTGGCTTGAATACAGGCTCCTCTTTGATCTCAAAACATGAAGGGATGACTGAATCCCCTGTGGAGACCTTAGAGAAAGCCCTAGGTCCCTGCGTCATTTTGACGGAATGCCTCACATCCCGTTGACACCTCGAGAGTCACGCAGAATTCATTGCTTCAAAAGGTGACGATGCCTGACTCCTCTTGAATACTGATAGGAATTCCAAAATCCCTGTGGCTACTGGAAAGGGTCCTTGGGTGCACTGCATCACCTCGAGAAGCGTCCCTTTTGCCCTGCCAAGCCTCGAAGAGTTTCCTGAGCTGTCCCTCGTTACTAGACTGGAGTCCTGACGTCACTGAAGAAACTCGTCTTTTGAAGGGCCATCCCCGCCGTAAGTCGAGGACATACCCCAGGTCCCCGCTGCAACTCGTGAAAAACCATGAGACTTCCCCCTAGAGGCGAGATGAGGCCCCATTCCCCTGCAGTGCATGCAGAGCTATTCCGTGATCCCATTCAAACCAGGCAGGACCTTCGACTTGCTTAATGGATTTCGAGACAGTCCCCAAGAACACTGTCACAAGTCTAGACGGATCCTGAGGTCACCCCAGCAACGCAAAGCAGCTCGATGTGCCCCAAATCAACTCGAGATGAGGCCCGATTCCCCTGCATTGACTCCAGAGCCATTCCCCGTTCCCCATTCAACACGACCGGTGGCTCGACTTCCTTCAGGCAACTCCAGAGATGCCCCGAGAACACTGTCCCAAGGCTAGAGGAACACCAACTTCAGTACAGCAACTCGAGGAATGCTCCGTGTACTCCAAATCATCTCGAGATGAGAGCTGATTCCCTGGCTTAGGCTCAAGACGTATGCCAACTTTCCAGAAGCACCTCAGGAGGAGGCTTCTCCCAGCAATAGGTATGTGGGAGGGACCCCGAGATCGCTGCCTGAAGTGGAGTATACAGCGAGAAGCCCTAACTTGAAAGGAGGCCGGATTTCCTTGCAATGGCTTGATACAGGCTCGTCTTTCATCTCACAACATGAAGGGAAGTCTGAATCCCCTGTGGAGACCTTAGAGAAAGCCCTAGGTCCCTGCCTCATTTTGACGGAATGCCTCACATCCCGTTGACACCTCGAGAGGCACGCAGAGTTCATTGCTTCAAAAGGTGATGATGCCTGACTCCTCTTGAATACTGATAGTAATCCCAAAATCCCTGTGGCTACTGGAAAGGGTCCTTGGGTGCCCTGCCTCACCTCGAGAAGCGTCCCTTTTGCCCTGCTAAGCCTCGAAGAGATTCCTGAGGTGTCCCTCGTTACTAGACAGGTGTCCTGACGTCACTGAATAAACACGTGTTTTGAAGGGCCATCCCCACCGTAAGTCGAGAACATACCCCAGGTTCCCGCCGCAACGCGAGAAAAACCATGAGACTTCCCCCTAGAGTCGAGATGAGGCCCAATTCCTCTCCAGTGCATGCAGAGCTATTCCGTGATGCATTCAAACAAGTCAGGAATTTCGACTTGCTTAATGGATCTCGAGACAGTCCCCAAGAACACTGTCACCAGTCTAGACGGAACCTCTGGTCACCCCAGCAGGCAAAGCAGCTCCATGTGCCCCAAATCAACTCGAGATGAGGCCCGATTACCCTGCATTGACTCCAGAGCCATTCCACGTTCCACATTCAACACGACCGGTGGCTCGACTTCCTTCAGGCAACTCCAGAGATGCCCCGAGAACACTGTCCCAAGTCTAGAGGAACACCAACTTCAGCACAGCAACTCGAGGAACGCTCTGTGTACCCCAAATCATCTCGAGATGAGAGCTGATTCCCTGTCTTAGGCTCAAGACGTATGCCAACTTTCCAGAAGCACCTCAGGAGGAGGCCTCTCCCAGCAATAGGTATGTGGGAGGGACCCCGAGATCGCTGCCTCAAGTTGAATATACAGCGAGAAGCCCTAACTTGAAAGGAGGCCGGATTTCCTTGCTGTGGCTTGAATACAGGCTCCTCTTTGATCTCAAAACATGAAGGGATGTCTGAATCCCCTGTGGAGTCCTTAGAGAAAGCCCTAGGACCCTGCGTCATTTTGACGGAATGCCTCACATCCCGTTGACACCTCGAGAGGCACGCAGAGTTCATTGCTTCAAAAGGTGACGATGCCTGACTCCTCTTGAATACTGATAGGAATCCCAAAATCCCTGTGGCTACTGGAAAGGGTCCTTGGGTGCCCTGCCTCTCCTCGAGAAGCGTCCCTTTTGCCCTGCCAAGCCTCGAAGAGTTTCCTGAGGTGTCCCTGGTTACTAGACAGGAGTCTTACATCACTGAAGAAACTCGTGTTTTGAAGGGCCATCCCCGCCGAAAGTCGAGAACATACCCCATGTCCCCGCCGCAACTCGAGAAAAACCATGAGACTTACCCCTAGAGGCGAGATGAGGCCCAATTCCCCTGCAGTGCATGCAGAGCTATTCCGTGATCCCATTCAAACAAGTCAGGAGCTTCGACTTGATTAATGGATCTCGAGACCGTCCCCAAGAACACTGTCACCAGTCTAGACGGAACCTGATGTAACCCCAGCAATGCAAAGCAGCTCCATGTGCCCCAAATCAACTCGAGATGAGGCCCGATTCCCCTGCATTGACTCCAGAGCCATTCCACGTTCCGCATTCAACATGACCGGTGGCTCGACTTCCTTCAGGCAACTCCAGAGATGCCCCGAGAACACTGTCCCAAGGCTAGAGGAACACCAACTTCAGCACAGCAACTCGAGGAATGCTCCGTGTACCCCAATTCGTCTCGACATGAGAGCTGATTCCCTGGCTTAGTTTCAAGACGTATGCCAACTATCCAGAAGCACCTCAGGAGGCGGCTTCTCTCAGTAATAGGTATGTGGGGGGGAACCCGAGATAGCTGCCTCAAGTGGAATATACAGCAAGAAGCCCTAACTTGAAAGGACGCCGGATTTCCTTGCAGTGGCTTGAATACAGGATCCTCTTTGATCTCAAAACATGAAGGGATGTCTGAATCCCCTGTGGAGTCCTTAGAGAAAGCCCTAGTACCCTGCGTCATTTTGACCGAATGCCTCACATCCCATTGACACCTCGAGAGGCACGCAGAGTTCATTGCTACAAAAGGTGACGATGCCTGACTCCTCTTGAATACTGAAAGGAATCCCAAAATCCCTGTGGCTACAGGAAAGGGTGCTTGGGTGCCCTGCCTCACCTCGAGAAGCGTCCCTTTTGCCCTGCCAAGCTTCGAAGAGATTCCTGAGGTGTCCCTCGTTACTAGACAGGAGTCCTGTCGTCACTGAATAAACACGTGTTTTGAAGGGCCATCCCCGCCGTAAGTCGTGAACATAACCCAGGTCCCCGCCGCAACTCGAGAAAAACCATGAGACTTCCCCCTAGAGTCGAGATGAGGCCCCATTCCCCTCCAGTGCATGCAGAGATCTTCCATGATCGAATTCAAACAAATCAGGAGCTTCGACTTGCTTAATGGATCTCGAGACAGTCCCCAAGAACACTGTCACCAGTCTAGACGGACCCTGAGGTCACCCCAGCATCGCAAAGCAGCTCAATGTGCCCGAAATCAACTCGAGATGAGGCCCGATTCCCCTGCATTGACTCCAGAGCCATTCCCCGTTCCCCATTCAACACGACCGGTGGCTCGACTTCCTTCAGGCAACTCCAGAGATGCCCCGAGAACACTGTCCCAAGGCTAGAGGAAAACCAACTTCAGCACAGCAACCCGAGGAATGCTCTGTGTACAACAAATCATCTCGAGATGAGAGCTGATTCCCTGGCTTAGGCTCAAGACGTATGCCAACTTTCCAGAAGCACCTCAGGAGGAGGCCTCTCCCAGCAATAGGTATGTGGGAGGGACCCCGAGATCGCTGCCTCAAGTGGAATATACAGCGAGAAGCCCTAACTTGAAAGGAGGCCTGATTTCCTTGCTGTGGCTTGAATACAGGCTCCTCTTTGATCTCAAAACATGAAGGGATGACTGAATCCCCTGTGGAGACCTTAGAGAAAGCCCTAGGTCCCTGCGTCATTTTGAAGGAATGCCTCACATCCCGTTGACACCTCGAGAGTCACGCAGAATTCATTGCTTCAAAAGGTGACGATGCCTGACTCCTCTTGAATACTGATAGGAATTCCAAAATCCCTGTGGCTACTGGAAAGGGTGCTTGGGTGCCCTGCCTCACCTCGAGAAGCGTCCCTTTTGCCCTGCCAAGCTTCGAAGAGATTCCTGAGGTGTCCCTCGTTACTAGACAGGAGTCCTGACTTCACAGAATAAACATGTGTTTTGAAGGGACATCCCCGCTGTAAGTTGAGAAGATACCCCAGGTCCCCGCTGCAACTCGAGAAAAACCATGAGACTTCCCCCTAGAAGCGAGATGAGGCCCCATTCCCCTGCAGTGCATGCAGAGCAATTCCGTGATCCCATTCAAACAAGTCAGGAGCTTCGACTTGCTTAATGGATCTCGAGATAGTCCACAAGAACACTGTCACCAGTCTAGACGGACCCTGAGGTCACCCCAGCAACGCAAAGCAGCTGCATGTGCCCCAAATCAACTCGAGATGAGGCCCGATTCCCCTGCATTGACTCCAGAGCCATTCCCCGTTCCCCATTCAACACGACCAGTGGCTCGACTTCCTTCAGGCAACTCCAGAGATGCCCCGAGAACACTGTCCCAAGTCTAGAGGAACACCAACTTCAGCACAGCAACACGAGGATTGCTCCGTGTACACCAAATCGTCTCGAGATGAGAGCTGATTCCCTGGCTTAGGCTCAAGACGTATGCCAAATTTCCAGAAGCACCTCAGGAGGAGTATTCTCTCAGCAATAGGTATGTGGGAGGGACCCCGAGATCGCTGCCTCAAGTGGAATATACAGCGAAAAACCCTAACTTGAAAGGAGGCCGGATTACCTTGCAGTGGCTTGAATACAGGCTCATCTTTGATCTCACAACATGAAGGGATGTCTGAATCCCCTGTGGAGACCTTAGAGAAAGCCCTAGGTCCCTGCCTCATTTTGACGGAATGCCTCACATCCCGTTGACACCTCGAGAGGCACGCGGAGTTCATTGCTTCAAAAGGTGACGATGCCTCACTCCTCTTGAATACTGATAGGAATCCCAAAATCCCTGTGGCTACTAGAATGGTTCCTTGGGTGCCCTGCCTCACCTCGAGAAGCGTCCCTTTTGCCCTTCTAAGCCTCGAAGAGATTCCTGAGGTGTCCCTCATTACTAGACAGGAGTCCTGACGTCACTGAATAAACACGTGTTTTGAAGGGCCATCCCCGCCGTAAGTCGAGAACATACCCCAAGTTCCCGCCGCAACTCGAGAAAAACCATGAGACTTCCCCGTAGAGTCGAGATGAGGCCCCATTCCTCTCCAGTGCATGCAGAGCTATTCCGTGATGCATTCAAACAAGTCAGGAGCTTCGACTTGCTTAATGGATCTCGAGACAGTCCCCAAGAACACTGTCACCAGTCTAGACGGACCCTCTGGTCACCCCAGCAGGCAAAGCAGCTCCATGTGCCCCAAATCAACTTGAGATGAGGCCCGATTCCCCTGCATTGACTCCAGAGCCATTCCACGTTCCCCATTCAACAAGACCGGTGGCTCGACTTCCTTCAGGCAACTCCAGAGATGCCCCGAGAACACTGTCCCAAGTCTGGAGGAACACCAACTTCAGCACAGCAACTCGAGGAACGCTCTGTGTACCCCAAATCATCTCGAGATGAGAGCTGATTCCCTGTCTTAGGCTGAAGACGTATGCCAACTTTCCAGAAGCACCTCAGGAGGAGGCCTCTCCCAGCAATAGGTATGTGGGAGGGACCCCGAGATCGCTGCCTCAATTGGAATATACAGCGAGAAGCCCTAACTTGAAAGGAGGCCGGATTTCCTTGCAGTGGCTTGAATACAGGCTCCTCTTTGATCTCAAAACATGAAGGGATGTCTGAATCCCCTGTGGAGACCTTATAGAAAGCCCTAGGTCCCTGCGTCATTTTGACGGAATGCCTCACATCCCGTTGACACCTCGAGAGTCACTCAGAGTTCATTGCTTCAAAAGGTGACGATGCCTGACTCCTCTTGAATACTGATAGGAATCCCAAAATCCCTGTGGCTACTGGAAAGGGTCCTTGGGTGCCCAGCATCACTTCGAGTAGTGTCCCTTTTGCCCTGCCAAGCCTCGAAGAGTTTCCTGAGGTGTCCCTGGTTACTAGACAGGAGTCCTGACGTCACTGAAGAAACTCGTGTTTTGAAGGGCCATCCCCGCCTTAAGTCGAGAACATACGCCAGGTCCCCGCCGCAACTCGAGAAAAACCATGAGACTTCCCCCTAGAGGCGAGATGAGGCCGCATTCCCCTGCAGTGCATGCAGAGCTATTCTGTGATCCCATTCAAACAAGTCAGGACCTTCAACTTGCTTAATGGATGTTGAGACAGTTTCCAAGAACACTGTCAGCAGTCTAGAAGGAACCTGAGGTCACCTCAGCAATGCAAAGCTGCTCCAGGTGCCCCCAATCAACTCAAGATGAGGCCCGATTCCCCTGCATTGACACCATAGCCATTCCCCGTTCCCCATTCAACACGACTGGTGGCTCGACTTCCTTCAAGCAACTCCAGAGATGCCCCGAGAACACTGTCGAAAGTCTAGAGGAACACCAACTTCATCACAGCAACTCAAGGAATGCTACGTGTACCCCAAATCGTCTCGAGATGAGAGCTGATTCCCTGGCTTAGGCTCAAGACGTATGCCAACTTTCCAGAAGCACCACAGGAGGAGGCTTCTCTAAGCAATAGTTATGTGGGAGGGAACCCGAGATCGCTGCCTCAAGTGGAATATACAGCAAGAAGCCCTAACTTGAAAGGAGGCCGGATTTCCTTGCAGTGGCTTGAATACAGGCTCGTCTTTCATCTCAAAACATGAAGGGATGCCTGAATCCCCTGTGGAGACCTTAGAGAAAGCCCTAGGTCCCTGCGTCATTTTGAGGTAATGCCTCACATCCCGTTGACACCTCGAGAGGCACTCAGAGTTCATTGCTTCAAAAGGTGACGATGCCTGACTCTTCTTGAATACTGAGAGGAATCTCAAAATCACTGTGGCTACTGGAAAGGGTCCTTGGGTGCCCTGCCTCACCTTGAGAAGCGTCCCTTTTGCCCTGCCAAGCCTCGAAGAGATTCCTGAGGTGTCCCTCATTACTAGACAGGAGTCCTGACGTCACTGAATAAACATGTGTTTTGAAGGACCATCCCCGCTGTAAGTCGAGAACATACCCCAGGTCCCCGCCGCAATTCGAGAAAAACCATGAGACTTCCCCATAGAAGCGAGATGAGGCCCCATTCCCCTGCAGTGCATGCAGAGCTATTCCGTGATCCCATTCAAACAAGTCAGGACCTTCGACTTGCTAAATGGATCTCGAGACAGTCCCCAAGAACACTTTCACCAGTCTAGACGGACCCTGAGGTCACCCCAGCAACGCAAAGCAGCTGCATGTGCCCCAAATCAACTCGAGATGAGGCCCGATTCCCCTGCATTGACTCCAGAGCCATTCCCCGTTCCCCATTCAACACGACCGATGGCTCGACTTCCCTCAGGCAACTCCACAGATGCCCCGAGAACACTGTCCCAAGTCTAGAGGAACACCAACTTCAGCACAGCAACTCGAGGAATGCTCCGTGTACCCCAAATCGTCTCGAGATGAGAGCTGATTCCCTGGATTAGGCTCAAGACGTATGCCAATTTTCCAGAAGCACCACAGGAGGAGGCTTCTCTCAGCAAGAGGTATGTGTGAGGGACCCCGAGAACGCTGCCTCAAGTGGAATATACACTGAAAAACCCTAACTTGAAAGGAGACCGGATTTCCTTGCAGTGGCTTGAATACAGGCTCGTCTTTCATCTCACAACATGAAGGGATGTCTGAATCCCCTGTGGAGACCTTAGAAAAAGCCCTAGTTCGGTGCCTCATTTTGACAGAATGCCTCACATCCCGTTGACACCTCGAGAGGCACTCAGAGTTCATTGCTTCAAAAGGTGACGATGCCTGACTCCTCTTGAATACTGATAGGAATCCCAAAATCACTGTGGCTACTGGAAAGGGTCCTTGGGTGCCCTGCCTCACCTCGAGAAGCGTCCCTTTTGCCCTGCCAAGCCTCGAAGAGATTCCTGAGGTGTCCCTCGTTACTAGACTGGAGTCCTGACGTCACTGAAGAAACTCGTGTTTTGAAGGGCCATCCCCGCAGTAAGTCGAGAACATACCCCAGGTCCCCGCCGCAACTCGAGAAAAACCATGAGACTTCCCCCTAGAGGCGAGATGACGCCCCATTGCCCTGCAGTGCATGCAGAGCTATTCCGTGATCCCACTCAAACAAGTCAGGAGCTTCGACTTGCGTAATGGATCTCGAGACAGTCCCCAAGAACACTGTCACCAGTCTGGACGGACCCTGAGGTCACCCCAGCAACGCAAAGCAGCTCCATGTGCCCCAAATCAACTCGAGATGAGGCCCGATTCCCCTGCATTTACTCCAGAGCCATTCCCCATTCCCCATTCAACACCACCAGTGGCTCGACTTCCTTCAGGCACTCCAGAGTTGCCCCGAGAACACTGTCCCAAGGCTAGAGGAACACCAACTTCAGCACAGCAACTCGAGGAATGCTCCGTGTACCACAAATCATCTCGAGATGAGAGCTGATTCCCTGGCTTAGGCTCAAGACGTATGCCAACTTTCCAGAAGCACCTCATGAGGAGGCTTCTCCCAGCAATAGGTATGTGGGTGGGACCCCGAGATCGCTGCCTCAAGTGGAATATACGGCGAGAAGCCCTAACTTGAAAGGAGACCGGATTTCCTTGCAGTGGCTTGAATACAGGCTCGTCTTTGATCTCAAAACATGAAGGGATGTCTGAATCCCCTGTGGAGACCTTAGAGAAAGCCCTAGGTCCCTGCGTCATTTTGACGGAATGCCTCACATCCCGTTGACACCTCGAGAGGCACGCAGAGTTCATTGCTTCAAAAGGTGACGATGCCTGACTCCTCTTGAATACTGAGAGGAATCCCAAAATCCCTGTGGCTACTGGAAAGGGTCTTTGGGTGCCCTGCCTCACCTCGAGAAGCGTCCCTTTTGCCCTGCCAAGCCTCGAAGAGATTCCTGAGGTGTCCCTCATTACTAGACAGGAGTCCTGAGGTCACTGAATAAACATGTGTTTTGAAGGGCCATCCCCGCTGTAAGTCGAGAACATACCCCAGGTCCCCGCCGCAATTCGAGAAAAACCAGGAGACTTTCCCCTAGGATCGAGATGAGGCCCCATTCCCGTGCAGTGCATGCAGAGCTATTCCGTGATCCCATTCAAACAAGTCAGGAGCTTCGACTTGCTTAATGGATCTCGAGACAGTCCCCAAGAACACTGTCACCAGTCTAGACGGATCCTGAGGTCACCCCAGCAACGCAAAGCAGATGCATGTGCCCCAAATCAACTCGAGATGAGGCCCGATTCCCCTGCATTGACTCCAGAGCCATTCCCCGTTCCCCATTCAACACGACCGGTGGCTCGACTTCCTTCAGGCAACTCCAGAGATGCCCCGAGAACACTGTCCCAAGGCTAGAGGAACACCAACTTCAGCACAGCAACACGAGGAATGCTCCGTGTACCCCAAATCGTCTCGAGATGAGAGCTGATTCCCTGGCTTAGGCTCAAGACGTATGCAACTTTCCAGAAGCACCTCAGGAGGAGGCTTCTCCAAGCAATAGGTATGTGGGAGGGACCCCAAGATCGCTGCCTCAAGTGGAATATACAGTGAAAAACCCTAACTTGAAAGGAGGCTGGATTTCCTTGCAGTGGCTTGAATATAGGCTCGCCTTTGATCTCAAAACATGAAGGGATCTCTGAATCCCCCGTGGAGACCTTAGAGAAAGCCCTGGATCCCTGCGTCATTTTGATGGAATGCCTCACATCCCGTTGACACCTCGAGAGGCACGCGGAGTTCATTGCTTCAAAAGGTGACGATGCCTGACTCCTCTTGAATACTGAGAGGAATCCCAAAATCCCTGTGGCTACTGGAAAGGGTCCTTGGGTGCCCTGCATCACTTCGAGTAGAGTCCCTTTTGCCCTGCCAAGCCTCGAAGAGATTCCTGAGGTGTCCCTCGTTACTTGACAGGAGTCCTGACGTCACTGAATAAACACGTGTTTTGAAGGGCCATCCCCGCCGTAAGTCGAGAACATACCCCAGGTCCCCGCCTCAACTCGAGAAAAACCATGAGACTTACCCCTAGGATCGAGATGAGGCCCCATTGCACTGCAGTGCATGCAGAGCTATTCCGTGATCCCATTCAAACAAGTCAGGAGCTTCGACTTGCTTAATGGATCTCGAGACAGTCCCCAAGAACACTGTCACCAGTCTAGACGGATCCTGAGGTCACCCCAGCAACGCAAAGCAGCTCCATGTGCCCCAAATCAACTCGAGATGAGGCCCGATTCCCCTGCATTGACTCCAGAGCCATTCCCCGTTCCCCATTCAACACGACCGATGGCTCAACTTCCCTCAGGCAACTCCACAGATGCCCCGAGAACACTGTCCCAAGTCTAGAGGAACACCAACTTCAGCACAGCCACTCGAGGAATGCTCCGTGTACCCCAAATCGTCTCGAGATGAGAGCTGATTCCCTGGATTAGGCTCAAGACGTATGCCAACTTTCCAGAAGCACCACAGGAGGAGGCTTCTCTCAGCAAGAGGTATGTGTGAGGGACCCCGAGAACGCTGCCTCAAGTGGAATATACACTGAAAAACCCTAACTTGAAAGGAGACCGGATTTCCTTGCAGTGGCTTGAATACAGGCTCGTCTTTCATCTCACAACATGAAGGGATGTCTGAATCCCCTGTGGAGACCTTAGAAAAAGCCCTAGTTCGGTGCCTCATTTTGACAGAATGCCTCACATCCCGTTGACACCTCGAGAGGCACTCAGAGTTCATTGCTTCAAAAGGTGACGATGCCTGACTCCTTTTGAATACTGATAGGAATCCCAAAATCCCTGTGGCTACAGGAAAGGGTCCTTGGGTGCCCTGCCTCACCTCGAGAAGTGTCCCTTTTGCCCTGTCAAGCCTCGAAGAGATTCCTGAGGTGTCCCTCGTTACTAGACTGGAGTCCTGACGTCACTGAAGAAACTCGTGTTTTGAAGGGCCATCCCCGCCGTAAGTCGAGAACATACCCCAGGTCCCCGCCGCAACTCGAGAAAAACCATGAGACTTCCCCCTAGAGGCGAGATGACGCCCCATTCCCCTGCAGTGCATGCAGAGCTATTCCGTGATCCCACTCAAACAAGTCAGGAGCTTCGACTTGCTTAATGGATCTCGAGACAGTCCCCAAGAACACTGTCACCACTCTAGACGGACCCTGATGTCACCCCAGCAATGCAAAGCGGCTCCATGTGCGCCAAATCAACTCGAGATGAGGCCCGATTCCCCTGCATTGACTCCAGAGCAATTCCCAGTTCCCCATTCAACACGACCGGTGGCTCGACTTCCTTCAGGCAACTCCAGAGATGCCCCGAGAACACTGTCCCAAGGCTAGAGGAACACCAACTTCAGCACAGCAACTCGAGGAATGCTCCGTGTACCCCAAATCGTCTCGAGATGAGAGCTGACTCCCTGGCTTAGGCTCAAGACGTATGCAACTTTCCAGAAGCACCTCAGGAGGAGGCTTCTCCCAGCAATAGGTATGTGGGAGGGACTCCGAGATCGCTGCCTCAAGTTTAATATACAGTGAAAAACCCTAACTTGAAAGGAGGCCGGATTTCCTTGCAGTGGCTTGAATATAGGCTCGTCTTTGATCTCAAAACATGAAGGGATCTCTGAATCCCCCGTGGAGACCTTAGAGAAAGCCCTGGATCCCTGCGTCATTTTGACGGAATGCCTCACATCCCGTTGACACCTCGAGAGGCACGCGGAGTTCATTGCTTCAAAAGGTGATGATGCCTGACTCCTCTTGAATACTGATAGGAATCCCAAAATCCCTGTGGCTACTGGAAAGCGTCCTTGGGTGCCCTGCATCACTTCGAGTAGCGTCCCTTTTGCCCTGCCAAGCCTCGAAGAGTTTCCTGAGGTGTCCCTGGTTACTAGACAGGAGTCATGACGTCACTGAAGAAACTCGTGTTTTGAAGGGCCATCCCCGCCGTAAGTCGAGAACATACCCCAGGTCCCCGCCGCAACTCGAGAAAAACCATGAGACTTCCCCCTAGAGGCGAGATGACGCCCCATTCCCCTGCAGTGCATGCAGAGCTATTCCGTGATCCCACTCAAACAAGTCAGGAGCTTCGACTTGCTTAATGGATCTCGAGACAGTCCCCAAGAACACTGTCACCAGTCTAGACGGACCCTGAGGTCACCCCAGCAACGCAAAGCAGCTCCATGTGCCCCAAATCAACTCGAGATGAGGCCCGATTCACCTGCATTGACCCCAGAGCCATTCCCCTTTCCCCATTCAACACGACCAGTGGCTCGACTTCCTTCAGGCAACTCCAGAGTTGCCCCGAGAACACTGTCCCAAGGCTAGAGGAACACCAACTTCAGCACAGCAACTCGAGGAATGCTCCGTTCACCCCAAATCGTCTCGAGATGAGAGCTGATTCCCTGGCTTAGGCTCAAGACGTATGCCAACTTTCCAGAAGCACCTCAGGAGAAGGTTTCTCCCAGCAATAGGTATGTGGGAGGGACCCCGAGATCGCTGCCTCAAGTGGAATATACAGCGAGAAGCCCTAACTTGAAAGGAGGCCGGATTTCCTTGCAATGGCTTGAATACAGGCTCGTCTTTGATCTCAAAACATGAAGGGATGTCTGAATCCCCTCTGGAGACCTTAGAGAAAGCCCTAGGACCCTGCGTCATTTTGACGGAATGCCTCACATCCCGTTGACACCTCGAGACGCACGCAGAGTTCATTGCTTCAAAAGGTGACGATGCCTGACTCCTCTTGAATACTGAGAGGAATCCCAAAATCCCTGTGGCTACTGGAAAGGGTCCATTGGTGCTCTGCCTCACCTCGAGAAGCGTCCCTTTTGCCCTGCCAAGCCTCGAAGAGATTCCTGAGGTGTCCCTCATTACTAGACAGGAGTCCTGACGTCACTGAATAAACATGTGTTTTGAAGGGCCATCCCCACTGTAAGTCGAGAACATACCCCAGGTTCCCGTCGCAATTCGAGAAAAACCATGAGACTTCCCCCTAGAAGCGAGATGAGGCCCCATTCCCCTGCAGTGCATGCAGAGCTATTCCGTGATCCCATTCAAACAAGTCAGGAGCTTCGACTTGCTTAATTTATCTCGAGACCGTCCCCAAGAGCACTGTTACCAGTCTAGACAGACCCTGAGGTCACCCCAGCAATGCAAAGCAGCTGCATGTGCCCCAAATCAACTCGAGATGAGGCCCGATTCCCCTGCATTGACTCCAGAGCCATTCCCCGTTCCCCATTCAACACGACCGGTGGCTCGACTTCCTTCAGGCAAATCCAGAGATGCCCCGAGAACACCGTCCCAAGGCTAGAGGAACACCAACTTCAGCACAGCAACTCGAGGAATGCTCCGTGTACGCCAAATCGTCTCGACATGAGAGCTGATTCCCTGGATTAGGCTCTAGACGTATGCCAACTTTCCAGAAGCACCACAGGAGGAGGCTTCTCTCAGCAATAGGTATGTGGGAGGGACCCCGAGAACGCTGCCTCAAGTGGAATATACAGTGAAAAACCCTAACTTGAAAGGAGGCCGGATTTCCTTGCAGTGGCTTGAATACAGGCTCGTCTTTCATCTCACAACATGAATGGATGTCTGAATCCCCTGTGGATACCTTAGAAAAAGCCCTAGTTCGGTGCCTCATTTTGACGGAATGCCTCACATCCCGTTGACACCTCGAGAGGCACTCAGAGTTCATTGCTTCAAAAGGTGACGATGCCTGACTCCTTTTGAATACTGATAGGAATCCCAAAATCCCTGTGGCTACTGGAAAGGGTCCTTGGGTGCCCTGGCTCACCTCGAGAAGCGTCCCTTTTGCCCTGTCAAGCCTCGAAGAGATTCCTGAGGTGTCCCTCGTTACTAGACTGGAGTCCTGACGTCACTGAAGAAACTCGTGTTTTGAAGGGCCATCCCCGCCGTAAGTCGAGAACATACCCCAGGTCCCCGCCGCAACTCGAGAAAAACCATGAGACTTCCCCCTAGAGGCGAGATGACGCCCCATTCCCCTGCAGTGCATGCAGAGCTATTACGTGATCCCACTCAAACAAGTCAGGAGCTTCGACTTGCTTAATGGATCTCGAGACAGTCCCCAAGAACACTGTCACCACTCTAGACGGACCCTGATGTCACCCCAGCAATGCAAAGCGGCTCCATGTGCGCCAAATCAACTCGAGATGAGGCCCGATTCCCCTGCATTGACTCCAGAGCAATTCCCAGTTCCCCATTCAACACGACCGGTGGCTCGACTTCCTTCAGGCAACTCCAGAGATGCCCCGAGAACACTGTCCCAAGGCTAGAGGAACACCAACTTCAGCACAGCAACTCGAGGAATGCTCCGTGTACCCCAAATCGTCTCGAGATGAGAGCTGACTCCCTGGCTTAGGCTCAAGACGTATGCAACTTTCCAGAAGCACCTCAGGAGGAGGCTTCTCCCAGCAATAGGTATGTGGGAGGGACTCCGAGATCACTGCCTCAAGTTTAATATACAGTGAAAAACCCTAACTTGAAAGGAGGCCGGATTTCCTTGCAGTGGCTTGAATATAGGCTCGTCTTTGATCTCAAAACATGAAGGGATCTCTGAATCCCCCGTGGAGACCTTAGAGAAAGCCCTGGATCCCTGCGTCATTTTGACGGAATGCCTCACATCCCGTTGACACCTCGAGAGGCACGCGGAGTTCATTGCTTCAAAAGGTGATGATGCCTGACTCCTCTTGAATACTGATAGGAATCCCAAAATCCATGTGGCTACTGGAAAGGGTCCTTGGGTGCCCTGCATCACTTCGAGTAGCGTCCCTTTTGCCCTGCCAAGCCTCGAAGAGTTTCCTGAGGTGTCCCTGGTTACTAGACAGGAGTCATGACGTCACTGAAGAAACTCGTGTTTTGAAGGGCCATCCCCGCCGTAAGTCGAGAACATACCCCAGGTCCCCGCCGCAACTCGAGAAAAACCATGAGACTTCCCCCTAGAGGCGAGATGACGCCCCATTCCCCTGCAGTGCATGCAGAGCTATTCCGTGATCCCACTCAAACAAGTCAGGAGCTTCGACTTGCTTAATGGATCTCGAGACAGTCCCCAAGAACACTGTCACCAGTCTGGACGGACCCTGAGGTCACCCCAGCAACGCAAAGCAGCTCCATGTGCCCCAAATCAACTCGAGATGAGGCCCGATTCACCTGCATTGTCCACAGAGCCATTCCCCTTTCCCCATTCAACACGACCAGTGGCTCGACTTCCTTCAGGCAACTCCAGAGTTGCCCCGAGAACACTGTCCCAAGGCTAGAGGAACACCAACTTCAGCACAGCAACTCGAGGAATGCTCCGTGCACCCCAAATCGTCTCGAGATGAGAGCTGATTCCCTGGCTTAGGCTCAAGACGTATGCCAACTTTCCAGAAGCACCTCAGGAGAAGGTTTCTCCCAGCAATAGGTATGTGGGAGGGACCCCGAGATCGCTGCCTCAAGTGGAATATACAGCGAGAAGCCCTAACTTGAAAGGAGGCCGGATTTCCTTGCAATGGCTTGAATACAGGCTCGTCTTTGATCTCAAAACATGAAGGGATGTCTGAATCCCCTGTTGAGACCTTAGAGAAAGCCCTAGGTCCCTGCGTCATTTTGACGGAATGCCTCACATCCCGTTGACACCTCGAGACGCACGCAGAGTTCATTGCTTCAAAAGGTGACGATGCCTGACTCCTCTTGAATACTGAGAGGAATCCCAAAATCCCTGTGGCTACTGGAAAGGGTCCATTGGTGCTCTGCCTCACCTCGAGAAGCGTCCCTTTTGCCCTGCCAAGCCTCGAAGAGATTCCTGAGGTGTCCCTCATTACTAGACAGGAGTCCTGACGTCACTGAATAAACATGTGTTTTGAAGGGCCATCCCCACTGTAAGTCGAGAACATACCCCAGGTTCCCGTCGCAATTCGAGAAAAACCATGAGACTTCCCCCTAGAAGCGAGATGAGGCCCCATTCCCCTGCAGTGCATGCAGAGCTATTCCGTGATCCCATTCAAACAAGTCAGGAGCTTCGACTTGCTTAATTTATCTCGAGACCGTCCCCAAGAACACTGTTACCAGTCTAGACAGACCCTGAGGTCACCCCAGCAATGCAAAGCAGCTGCATGTGCCCCAAATCAACTCGAGATGAGGCCCGATTCCCCTGCATTGACTCCAGAGCCATTCCCCGTTCCCCATTCAACACGACCGGTGGCTCGACTTCCTTCAGGCAAATCCAGAGCTGCCCCGAGAACACCGTCCCAAGGCTAGAGGAACACCAACTTCAGCACAGCAACTCGAGGAATGCTCCGTGTACGCCAAATCGTCTCGACATGAGAGCTGATTCCCCGGATTAGGCTCTAGACGTATGCCAACTTTCCAGAAGCACCACAGGAGGAGGCTTCTCTCAGCAATAGGTATGTGGGAGGGACCCCGAGAACGCTGCCTCAAGTGGAATATACAGTGAAAAACCCTAACTTGAAAGGAGGCCGGATTTCCTTGCAGTGGCTTGAATACAGGCTCGTCTTTCATCTCACAACATGAATGGATGTCTGAATCCCCTGTGGAGACCTTAGAGAAAGCGCTAGGTCCCTGCGTCATTTTGAGGTAATGCCTCACATCCCGTTGACACCTCGAGAGGCACTCAGAGTTCATTGCTTCAAAAGGTGTCGATGCCTGACTCCTCTTGAATACTGAGAGGAATCCCAAAATCCCTGTGGCTACTGGAAAGGGTCCTTGGGTGCCCTGCCTCACCTCGAGAAGCGTCCCTTTTGCCCTGCCAAGCCTCGAAGAGATTCCTGAGGTGTCCCTCATTACTAGACAGGAGTCCTGACGTCACTGGATGAACATGTGTTTTGAAGGGCCATCCCCGTTGTAAGTCGAGAACAACCCCAGGTCCCCGCCGCAATTCGAGAAAAATCATGAGACTTCCCCATAGAAGCGAGAAGAGGCCCCATTCCCCTGCAGTGCATGCAGAGCTATTCCGTGATCCCATTCAAACAAGTCAGGAACTTCGACTTGCTTAATGGATCTCGAGACAGTCCCCAAGAACACTGTCACCAGTCTAGACGGACCCTGAGGTCACCCCAGCAACGCAAAGCTGTTGCATGTGCCCCAAATCAACTCGAGATGAGGCCCGATTCCCCTGCATTGACTCCAGAGCCATTCCCCGTTCCCCATTCAACACGACCGGTGGCTCGACTTCCTTCAGGCAACTCCAGACATGCCCCGAGAACACTGTCCCAAGGCTAGAGGAACACCAACTTCAGCACAGCAACTCGAGGAATGCTCCGTGTACCCCAAATCGTCTCGAGATGAGAGCTGATTCCCTGGCTTAGGCTCAAGACGTATGCCAACTTTCCAGAAGCACCTCAGGAGGAGGCTTCTCCCAGCAATAGGTATGTGGGAGGGACCCCGATATCGCTGCCTCAAGTGGAATATACAGCGAGAAGCCCTAACTTGAAAGGAGGCCGGATTACCTTGCAGTGGCTTGAATACAGGCTCATCTTTGATCTCACAACATGAAGGGATGTCTGAATCCCCTGTGGAGACCTTAGAGAAAGCCCTAGGTCCCTGCCTCATTTTGACGGAATGCCTCACATCCCGTTGACACCTCGAGAGGCACGCGGAGTTCATTGCTTCAAAAGGTGACGATGCCTCACTCCTCTTGAATACTGATAGGAATCCCAAAATCCCTGTGGCTACTGGAATGGTTCTTTGGGTGCCCTGCCTCACCTCGAGAAGCGTCCCTTTTGCCCTGCCAAGCCTCGAAGAGATTCCTGAGGTGTCCCTCATTACTAGACAGGAGTCCTGACGTCACTGAATAAACACGTGTTTTGAAGGGCCATCCCCGCCGTAAGTCGAGAACATACCCCAAGTTCCCACCGCAACTCGAGAAAAACCATGAGACTTCCCCGTAGAGTCGAGATGAGGCCCCATTCCTCTCCAGTGCATGCAGAGCTATTCCGTGATGCATTCAAACAAGTCAGGAGCTTCGACTTGCTTAATGGATCTCGAGACAGTCCCCAAGAACACTGTCACCAGTCTAGACGGACCCTCTGGTCACCCCAGCAGGCAAAGCAGCTCCATGTGCCCCAAATCAACTTGAGATGAGGCCCGATTCCCTTGCATTGACTCCAGAGCCATTCCCCGTTCCCCATTCAACACGACCAGTGGCTCGACTTCCTTCAGGCAACTCCAGAGTTGCCCCGAGAACACTGTGCCAAGGCTAGAGGAACACCAACTTCAGCACAGCAACTCGAGGAATGCTCCGTGTACCCCAAATCGTCTCGAGATGAGAGCTGATTCCCTGGCTTAGGCTCAAGACGTATGCCAACTTTCCAGAAGCACCTCAGGAGGAGGCTTCTCCCAGCAATAGGTATGTGGGAGGGACCCCGATATCGCTGCCTCAAGTGGAATATACAGCGAGAAGCCCTAACTTGAAAGGAGGCCAGATTACCTTGCAGTGGCTTGAATACAGGCTCATCTTTGATCTCACAACATGAAGGGATGTCTGAATACCCTGTGGAGACCTTAGAGAAAGCCCTAGGTCCCTGCCTCATTTTGACGGAATGCCTCACATCCCGTTGACACCTCGAGAGGCACGCGGAGTTCATTGCTTCAAAAGGTGACGATGCCTCACTCCTCTTGAATACTGATAGGAATCCCAAAATCCCTGTGGCTACTGGAATGGTTCCTTGGGTGCCCTGCCTCACCTCGAGAAGCGTCCCTTTTGCCCTGCCAAGCCTCGAAGAGATTCCTGAGGTGTCCCTCATTACTAGACAGGAGTCCTGACGTCACTGAATAAACACGTGTTTTGAAGGGCCATCCCCGCCGTAAGTCGAGAACATACCCCAAGTTCCCACCGCAACTCGAGAAAAACCATGAGACTTCCCCGTAGAGTCGAGATGAGGCCCCATTCCTCTCCAGTGCATGCAGAGCTATTCCGTGATGCATTCAAACAAGTCAGGAGCTTCGACTTGCTTAATGGATCTCGAGACAGTCCCCAAGAACACTGTCACCAGTCTAGACGGACCCTCTGGTCACCCCAGCAGGCAAAGCAGCTCCATGTGCCCCAAATCAACTTGAGATGAGGCCCGATTCCCTTGCATTGACTCCAGAGCCATTCCCCGTTCCCCATTCAACACGACCAGTGGTTCGACTTCCTTCAGGCAACTCCAGAGTTGCCCCGAGAACACTGTGCCAAGGCTAGAGGAACACCAACTTCAGCACAGCAACTCGAGGAATGCTCCGTGTACCCCAAATCGTCTCGAGATGAGAGCTGATTCCCTGGCTTAGGCTCAAGACGTATGCCAACCTTCCAGAAGCACCACAGGAGGAGGCTTCTCTCAGCAATAGGTATGTGGGAGGGACCCCGAGATAGCTGCCTCAAGTGGAATATACAGCGAGAAGCCCTAACTTGAAAGGAGGCCGGATTTCCTTGCAGTGGCTTGAATACAGGCTCATCTTTCATCTCAAAACATGAAGGGATGCCTGAATCCCCTGTGGAGACCTTAGAGAAAGCGCTAGGTCCCTGCCTCATATTGAGGTAATGCCTCACATCCCGTTGACACCTCGAGAGGCACTCAGAGTTCATTGCTTCAAAAGGTGTCGATGCCTGACTCCTCTTGAATACTGAGAGGAATCCCAAAATCCCTGTGGCTACTGGAAAGGGTCCTTGGGTGCCCTGCCTCACCTCGAGAAGCGTCCCTTTTGCCCTGCCAAGCCTCGAAGAGATTCCTGAGGTGTCCCTCATTACTAGACAGGAGTCCTGACGTCACTGAATGAACATGTGTTTTGAAGGGCCATCCCCGTTGTAAGTCGAGAACAACCCCAGGTCCCCGTCGCAATTCGAGAGAAATCATGAGACTTCCCCATAGAAGCGAGAAGAGGCCCCATTCCCCTGCAGTGCATGCAGAGCTATTCCGTGATCCCATTCAAACAAGTCAGGAACTTCGACTTGCTTAATGGATCTCGAGACAGTCCCCAAGAACACTGTCACCAGTCTAGACGGACCCTGAGGTCACCCCAGCAACGCAAAGCTGTTGCATGTGCCCCAAATCAACTCGAGATGAGGCCCGATTCCCCTGCATTGACTCCAGAGCCATTCCCCGTTCCCCATTCAACACGACCGGTGGCTCGACTTCCTTCAGGCAACTCCAGACATGCCCCGAGAACACTGTCCCAAGGCTAGAGGAACACCAACTTCAGCACAGCAACTCGAGGAATGCTCCGTGTACCCCAAATCGTCTCGAGATGAGAGCTGATTCCCTGGCTTAGGCTCAAGACATATGCCAACTTTCCAGAAGCACCTCAGGAGGAGGCTTCTCCCAGCAATAGGTATGTGGGAGGGACCCCGAGATCGCTGCCTCAAGTGGAATATACAGCGAGAGGCCCTAACTTGAAAGGAGGCCGGATTACCTTGCAGTGGCTTGAATACAGGCTCATCTTTGATCTCACAACATGAAGGGATGTCTGAATCCCCTGTGGAGACCTTAGAGAAAGCCCTAGGTCCCTGCCTCATTTTGACGGAATGCCTCACATCCCGTTGACACCTCGAGAGGCACGCGGAGTTCATTGCTTCAAAAGGTGACGATGCCTCACTCCTCTTGAATACTGATAGGAATCCCAAAATCCCTGTGGCTACTGGAATGGTTCCTTGGGTGCCCTGCCTCACCTCGAGAAGCGTCCCTTTTGCCCTGCCAAGCCTCGAAGAGATTCCTGAGGTGTCCCTCATTACTAGACAGGAGTCCTGACGTCACTGAATAAACACGTGTTTTGAAGGGCCATCCCCGCCGTAAGTCGAGAACATACCCCAAGTTCCCACCGCAACTCGAGAAAAACCATGAGACTTCCCCGTAGAGTCGAGATGAGGCCCCATTCCTCTCCAGTGCATGCAGAGCTATTCCGTGATGCATTCAAACAAGTCAGGAGCTTCGACTTGCTTAATGGATCTCGAGACAGTCCCCAAGAACACTGTCACCAGTCTAGACGGACCCTCTGGTCACCCCAGCAGGCAAAGCAGCTCCATGTGCCCCAAATCAACTTGAGATGAGGCCCGATTCCCTTGCATTGACTCCAGAGCCATTCCCCGTTCCCCATTCAACACGACCAGTGGCTCGACTTCCTTCAGGCAACTCCAGAGTTGCCCCGAGAACACTGTGCCAAGGCTAGAGGAACACCAACTTCAGCACAGCAACTCGAGGAATGCTCCGTGTATCCCAAATCGTCTCGAGATGAGAGCTGATTCCCTGGCTTAGGCTCAAGACGTATGCCAACCTTCCAGAAGCACCACAGGAGGAGGCTTCTCTCAGCAATAGGTATGTGGGAGGGACCCCGAGATAGCTGCCTCAAGTGGAATATACAGCGAGAAGCCCTAACTTGAAAGGAGGCCGGATTTCCTTGCAGTGGCTTGAATACAGGCTCATCTTTCATCTCAAAACATGAAGGGATGCCTGAATCCCCTGTGGAGACCTTAGAGAAAGCGCTAGGTCCCTGCGTCATTTTGAGGTAATGCCTCACATCCCGTTGACACCTCGAGAGGCACTCAGAGTTCATTGCTTCAAAAGGTGTCGATGCCTGACTCCTCTTGAATACTGAGAGGAATCCCAAAATCCCTGTGGCTACTGGAAAGGGTCCTTGGGTGCCCTGCCTCACCTCGAGAAGCGTCCCTTTTGCCCTGCCAAGCCTCGAAGAGTTTCCTGAGGTGTCCCTGGTTACTAGACAGGAGTCCTACGTCACTGAAGAAACTCGTGTTTTGAAGGGCCATCCCCGCCGTATGTCGAGAACATACCCCATGTCCCCGCCGCAACTCGAGTAAAACCATGAGACTTACCCCTAGAGGCGAGATGAGGCCCCATTCCCCTGCAGTGCATGCAGAGCTATTCCGTGATCCCATTCAAACAAGTCAGGAGTTTCGACTTGCTTAATGGATCTCGAGACCTTCCCCAAGAACACTGTCACCAGTCTAGACGGAACCTGAGGTCACCCCAGCAATGCAAAGCAGCTCCATGTGCCCCAAATCAACTCGAGATGAGGCCCGATTCCCCTGCATTGACCCAGAGCCATTCCACGTTCCCCATTCAACATGACCGGTGGCTCGACTTCCTTCAGGCAACTCCACAGATGCCCGAGAACACTGTCCCAAGGCGAGAGGAACACCAACTTCAGCACAGCAACTCGAGGAATGCTCCGTGTACCCCAAATCGTCTCGACATGAGAGCTGATTCCCTGGCTTAGGCTCAAGACGTATGCCAACTATCCAGAAGCACCTCAGGAGGCGGCTTCTCTCAGCAATAGGTATGTGGGGGAGACCCCGAGATAGCTGCCTCAAGTGGAATATACAGCGAGAAGCCCTAACTTGAAAGGAGGCCGGATTTCCTTGCAGTGGCTTGAATACAGGCTCGTCTTTCATCTAACAACATGAAGGGATGTCTGAATCCCCTGTGGAGACCTTATAGAAAGCCCTAGGTCCCTGCGTCATTTTGACGGAATGCCTCACATCCCGTTGACACCTCGAGAGTCACTCAGAGTTCATTGCTTCAAAAGGTGACGATGTCTGACTCCTCTTGAATACTGATAGGAATCCCAAAATCCCTGTGGCTACTGGAAAGGGTCCTTGGGTGCCCAGCATCACTTCGAGTAGTGTCCCTTTTGCCCTGCCAAGCCTCGAAGAGTTTCCTGAGGTGTCCCTGGTTACTAGACAGGAGTCCTGACGTCACTGAAGAAACTCGTGTTTTGAAGGGCCATCCCCGCCTTAAGTCGAGAACATACCCCAGGTCCCCGCCGCAACTCGAGAAAAACCATGAGACTTCCCCCTAGAGGCGAGATGAGGCCGCATTCCCCTGCAGTGCATGCAGAGCTATTCTGTGATCCCATTCAAACAAGTTAGGACCTTCAACTTGCTTAATGGATGTTGAGACAGTTTCCAAGAACACTGTCAGCAGTCTAGAAGGAACCTGAGGTCACCTCAGCAATGCAAAGCTGCTCCAGGTGCCCCAAATCAACTCAAGATGAGGCCCGATTCCCCTGCATTGACACCATAGCCATTCCCCGTTCCCCATTCAACACGACTGGTGGCTCGACTTCCTTCAAGCAACTCCAGAGATGCCCCGAGAACACTGTCGAAAGTCTAGAGGAACACCAACTTCATCACAGCAACTCAAGGAATGCTCCGTGTACCCCAAATCGTCTCGAGATGAGAGCTGATTCCCTGGCTTAGGCTCAAGACGTATGCCAACTTTCCAGAAGCACCACAGGAGGAGGCTTCTCTAAGCAATAGTTATGTGGGAGGGAACCCGAGATCAGTGCCTCAAGTGGAATATACAGCAAGAAGCCCTAACTTGAAAGGAGGCCGGATTTCCTTGCAGTGGCTTGAATACAGGCTCGTCTTTCATCTCAAAACATGAAGGGATGCCTGAATCCCCTGTGGAGACCTTAGAGAAAGCCCTAGGTCCCTGCGTCATTTTGAGGTAATGCCTCACATCCCGTTGACACCTCGAGAGGCACTCAGAGTTCATTGCTTCAAAAGGTGACGATGCCTGACTCTTCTTGAATACTGAGAGGAATCCCAAAATCACTGTGGCTACTGGAAAGGGTCCTTGGGTGCCCTGCCTCACCTTGAGAAGCGTCCCTTTTGCCCTGCCAAGAATCGAAGAGATTCCTGAGGTGTCCCTCATTACTAGACAGGAGTCCTGACGTCACTGAATAAACATGTGTTTTGAAGGACCATCCCCGCTGTAAGTCGAGAACATACCCCAGGTCCCCGCCGCAATTCGAGAAAAACCATGAGACTTCCCCATAGAAGCGAGATGAGGCCCCATTCCCCTGCAGTGCATGCAGAGCTATTCCGTGATCCCATTCAAACAAGTCAGGACCTTCGACTTGCTAAATGGATCTCGAGACAGTCCCCAAGAACACTTTCACCAGTCTAGACGGACCCTGAGGTCACCCCAGCAACGCAAAGCAGCTGCATGTGCCCCAAATCAACTCGAGATGAGGCCCGATTCCCCTGCATTGACTCCAGAGCCATTCCCCGTTCCCCATTCAACACGACCGATGGCTCGACTTCCCTCAGGCAACTCCACAGATGCCCCGAGAACACTGTCCCAAGTCTAGAGGAACACCAACTTCAGCACAGCAACTCGAGGAATGCTCCGTGTACCCCAAATCGTCTCGAGATGAGAGCTGATTCCCTGGATTAGGCTCAAGACGTATGCCAACTTTCCAGAAGCACCACAGGAGAAGGCTTCTCTCAGCAAGAGGTATGTGTGAGGGACCCCGAGAACGCTGTCTCAAGTGGAATATACACTGAAAAACCCTAACTTGAAAGGAGACCGGATTTCCTTGCAGTGGCTTGAATACAGGCTCGTCTTTCATCTCACAACATGAAGGGATGTCTGAATCCCCTGTGGAGACCTTAGAAAAAGCCCTAGTTCGGTGCCTCATTTTGACAGAATGCCTCACATCCCGTTGACACCTCGAGAGGCACTCAGAGTTCATTGCTTCAAAAGTTGACGATGCCTGACTCCTCTTGAATACTGATAGGAATCCCAAAATCACTGTGGCTACTGGAAAGGGTCCTTGGGTGCCCTGCCTCACCTCGAGAAGCGTCCCTTTTGCCCTGCCAAGCCTCGAAGAGATTCCTGAGGTGTCCCTCGTTACTAGACTGGAGTCCTGACGTCACTGAAGAAACTCGTGTTTTGAAGGGCCATCCCCGCCGTAAGTCGAGAACATACCCCAGGTCCCCGCCGCAACTCGAGAAAAACCATGAGACTTCCCCCTAGAGGCGAGATGACGCCCCATTGCCCTGCAGTGCATGCAGAGCTATTCCGTGATCCCATTCAAACAAGTCAGGAGCTTCGACTTGCTTAATGGATCTCGAGACAGTCCCCAAGAACACTGTCACCAGTCTGGACGGACCCTGAGGTCACCCCAGCAACGCAAAGCAGCTCCATGTGCCCAAAATCAACTCGAGATGAGGCCCGATTTCCCTGCATTTACTCCAGAGCCATTCCCCATTCCCCATTCAACACCACCAGTGGCTCGACTTCCTTCAGGCACTCCAGAGTTGCCCCGAGAACACTGTCCCAAGGCTAGAGGAACACCAACTTCAGCACAGCAACTCGAGGAATGCTCCGTGTACCACAAATCATCTCGAGATGAGAGCTGATTCCCTGGCTTAGGCTCAAGACGTATGCCAACTTTGCAGAAGCACCTCATGAGGAGGCTTCTCCCAGCAATAGGTATGTGGGTGGGACCCCGAGATCGCTGCCTCAAGTGGAATATACGGCGAGAAGCCCTAACTTGAAAGGAGACCGGATTTCCTTGCAGTGGCTTGAATACAGGCTCGTCTTTGATCTCAAAACATGAAGGGATGTCTGAATCCCCTGTGGAGACCTTAGAGAAAGCCCTAGGTCCCTGCGTAATTTTGACGGAATGCATCACATCCCGTTGACACCTCGAGAGGCACGCAGAGTTCATTGCTTCAAAAGGTGACGATGCCTGACTCCTCTTGAATACTGAGAGGAATCCCAAAATCCCTGTGGCTACTGGAAAGGGTCTTTGGGTGCCCTGCCTCACCTCGAGAAGCGTCCCTTTTGCCCTGCCAAGCCTCGAAGAAATTCCTGAGGTGTCCCTCATTACTAGACAGGAGTCCTGAGGTCACTGAATAAACATGTGTTTTGAAGGGCCATCCCCGCTGTAAGTCGAGAACATACCCCAGGTCCCCGCCGCAATTCGAGAAAAACCATGAGACTTCCCCATAGAAGCGAGATGAGGCCCCATTCCCCTGCAGTGCATGCAGAGCTATTCCGTGATCCCATTCAAACAAGTCAGGACCTTCGACTTGCTAAATGGATCTCGAGACAGTCCCCAAGAACACTTTCACCAGTCTAGACGGACCCTGAGGTCACCCCAGCAACGCAAAGCAGCTGCATGTGCCCCAAATCAACTCGAGATGAGGCCCGATTCCCCTGCATTGACTCCAGAGCCATTCCCCGTTCCCCATTCAACACGACCGATGGCTCGACTTCCCTCAGGCAACTCCACAGATGCCCCGAGAACACTGTCCCAAGTCTAGAGGAACACCAACTTCAGCACAGCAACTCGAGGAATGCTCCGTGTACCCCAAATCGTCTCGAGATGAGAGCTGATTCCCTGGATTAGGCTCAAGACGTATGCCAACTTTCCAGAAGCACCACAGGAGGAGGCTTCTCTCAGCAAGAGGTATGTGTGAGGGACCCCGAGAACGCTGTCTCAAGTGGAATATACACTGAAAAACCCTAACTTGAAAGGAGACCGGATTTCCTTGCAGTGGCTTGAATACAGGCTCGTCTTTCATCTCACAACATGAAGGGATGTCTGAATCCCCTGTGGAGACCTTAGAAAAAGACCTAGTTCGGTGCCTCATTTTGACAGAATGCCTCACATCCCGTTGACACCTCGAGAGGCACTCAGAGTTCATTGCTTCAAAAGTTGACGATGCCTGACTCCTCTTGAATACTGAGAGGAATCCCAAAATCCCTGTGGCTACTGGAAAGGGTCTTTGGGTGCCCTGCCTCACCTCGAGAAGCGTCCCTTTTGCCCTGCCAAGCCTCGAAGAGATTCCTGAGGTGTCCCTCATTACTAGACAGGAGTCCTGAGGTCACTGAATAAACATGTGTTTTGAAGGGCCATCCCCGCTGTAAGTCGAGAACATACCCCAGGTCCCCGCCGCAATTCGAGAAAAACCAGGAGACTTTCCCCTATGATCGAGATGAGGCCCCATTCCCCTGCAGTGCATGCAGAGCTATTCCGTGATCCCATTCAAACAAGTCAGGAGCTTCGACTTGCTTAATGGATCTCGAGACAGTCCCCAAGAACACTGTCACCAGTCTAGACGGATCCTGAGGTCACCCCAGCAACGCAAAGCAGATGCATGTGCCCCAAATCAACTCGCGATGAGGCCCGATTCCCCTGCATTGACTCCAGAGCCATTCCCCGTTCCCCATTCAACACGACCGGTGGCTCGACTTCCTTCAGGCAACTCCAGACATGCCCCGAGAACACTGTCCCAAGGCTAGAGGAACACCAACTTCAGCACAGCAACACGAGGAATGCTCCGTGTACCCCAAATCGTCTCGAGATGAGAGCTGATTCCCTGGCTTAGGCTCAAGACGTATGCAACTTTCCAGAAGCACCTCAGGAGGAGGCTTCTCCAAGCAACAGGTATGTGGGAGGGACCCCAAGATCGCTGCCTCAAGTGGAATATACAGTGAAAAACCCTAACTTGAAAGGAGGCCGGATTTCCTTGCAGTGGCTTGAATATAGGCTCGCCTTTGATCTCAAAACATGAAGGGATCTCTGAATCCCCCGTGGAGACCTTAGAGAAAGCCCTGGATCCCTGCGTCATTTTGATGGAATGCCTCACATCCCGTTGACACCTCGAGAGGCACGCGGAGTTCATTGCTTCAAAAGGTGACGATGCCTGACTCCTCTTGAATACTGAGAGGAATCCCAAAATCCCTGTGGCTACTGGAAAGGGTCCTTGGGTGCCCTGCATCACTTCGAGTAGCGTCCCTTTGGCCCTGCCAAGCCTCGAAGAGATTCCTGAGGTGTCCCTCGTTACTTGACAGGAGTCCTGACGTCACTGAATAAACACGTGTTTTGAAGGGCCATCCCCGCCGTAAGTCGAGAACGTACCCCAGGTCCCCGCCTCAACTCGAGAAAAACCATGAGACTTCCCCCTAGGATCGAGATGAGGCCCCATTGCACTGCAGTGCATGCAGAGCTATTCCGTGATCCCATTCAAACAAGTCAGGAGCTTCGACTTGCTTAATGGATCTCGAGACAGTCCCCAAGAACACTGTCACCAGTCTAGACGGATCCTGAGGTCACCCCAGCAACGCAAAGCAGCTCCATGTGCCCCAAATCAACTCGAGATGAGGCCCGATTCCCCTGCATTGACTCCAGAGCCATTCCCCGTTCCCCATTCAACACGACCGATGGCTCGACTTCCCTCAGGCAACTCCACAGATGCCCCGAGAACACTGTCCCAAGTCTAGAGGAACACCAACTTCAGCACAGCAACTCGAGGAATGCTCCGTGTACCCCAAATCGTCTCGAGATGAGAGCTGATTCCCTGGATTAGGCTCAAGACGTATGCCAACTTTCCAGAAGCACCACAGGAGGAGGCTTCTCTCAGCAAGAGGTATGTGTGAGGAACCCCGAGAACGCTGCCTCAAGTGGAATATACACTGAAAAACCCTAACTTGAAAGGAGACCGGATTTCCTTGCAGTGGCTTGAATACAGGCTCGTCTTTCATCTCACAACATGAAGGGATGTCTGAATCCCCTGTGGAGACCTTAGAAAAAGCCCTAGTTCGGTGCCTCATTTTGACAGAATGCCTCACATCCCGTTGACACCTCGAGAGGCACTCAGAGTTCATTGCTTCAAAAGGTGACGATGCCTGACTCCTCTTGAATACTGATAGGAATCCCAAAATCACTGTGGCTACTGGAAAGGGTACTTGGGTGCCCTGCCTCACCTCGAGAAGCGTCCCTTTTGCCCTGCCAAGCCTCGAAGAGATTCCTGAGGTGTCCCTCGTTACTAGACTGGAGTCCTGACGTCACTGAAGAAACTCGTGTTTTGAAGGGCCATCCCCGCAGTAAGTCGAGAACATACCCCAGGTCCCCGCCGCAACTCGAGAAAAACCATGAGACTTCCCCCTAGAGGCGAGATGACGCCCCATTGCCCTGCAGTGCATGCAGAGCTATTCCGTGATCCCACTCAAACAAGTCAGGAGCTTCGACTTGCGTAATGGATCTCGAGACAGTCCCCAAGAACACTGTCACCAGTCTGGACGGACCCTGAGGTCACCGAAGCAACGCAAAGCAGCTCCATGTGCCCCAAATCAACTCGAGATGAGGCCCGATTCCCCTGCATTTACTCCAGAGCCATTCCCCATTCCCCATTCAACACCACCAGTGGCTCGACTTCCTTCAGGCACTCCAGAGTTGCCCCGAGAACACTGTCCCAAGGCTAGAGGAACACCAACTTCAGCACAGCAACTCGAGGAATGCTCCGTGTACCACAAATCATCTCGAGATGAGAGCTGATTCCCTGGCTTAGGCTCAAGACGTATGCCAACATTCCAGAAGCACCTCATGAGGAGGCTTCTCCCAGCAATAGGTATGTGGGAGGGACCCCGAGATCGCTGCCTCAAGTGGAATATACGGCGAGAAGCCCTAACTTGAAAGGAGTCCGGATTTCCTTGCAGTGGCTTGAATACAGGCTCGTCTTTGATCTCAAAACATGAAGGGATGTCTGAATCCCCTGTGGAGACTTTAGAGAAAGCCCTAGGTCCCTGCGTCATTTTGACGGAATGCCTCACATCCCGTTGACACCTCGAGAGGCACGCAGAGTTCATTGCTTCAAAAGGTGACGATGCCTGACTCCTCTTGAATACTGAGAGGAATCCCAAAATCCCTGTGGCTACTGGAAAGGGTCTTTGGGTGCCCTGCCTCACCTCGAGAAGCGTCCCTTTTGCCCTGCCAAGCCTCGAAGAGATTCCTGAGGTGTCCCTCATTACTAGACAGGAGTCCTGAGGTCACTGAATAAACATGTGTTTTGAAGGGCCATCCCCGCTGTAAGTCGAGAACATACCCCAGGTCCCCGCCGCAATTCGAGAAAAACCAGGAGACTTTCCCCTAGGATCGAGATGAGGCCCCATTCCCCTGCAGTGCATGCAGAGCTATTCCGTGATCCCATTCAAACAAGTCAGGAGCTACGACTTGCTTAATGGATCTCGAGACAGTCCCCAAGAACACTGTCACCAGTCTAGACGGATCCTGAGGTCACCCCAGCAACGCAAAGCAGATGCATGTGCCCCAAATCAACTCGCGATGAGGCCCGATTCCCCTGCATTGACTCCAGAGCCATTCCCCGTTCCCCATTCAACACGACCGGTGGCTCGACTTCCTTCAGGCAACTCCAGACATGCCCCGAGAACACTGTCCCAAGGCTAGAGGAACACCAACTTCAGCACAGCAACACGAGGAATGCTCCGTGTACCCCAAATCGTCTCGAGATGAGAGCTGATTCCCTGGCTTAGGCTCAAGACGTATGCAACTTTCCAGAAGCACCTCAGGAGGAGGCTTCTCCAAGCAATAGGTATGTGGGAGGGACCCCAAGATCGCTGCCTCAAGTGGAATATACAGTGAAAAACCCTAACTTGAAAGGAGGCCGGATTTCCTTGCAGTGGCTTGAATATAGGCTCGCCTTTGATCTCAAACATGAAGGGATCTATGAATCCCCCGTGGAGACCTTAGAGAAAGCCCTGGATGCCTGCGTCATTTTGATGGAATGCCTCACATCCCGTTGACACCTCGAGAGGCACGCGGAGTTCATTGCTTCAAAAGGTGACGATGCCTGACTCCTCTTGAATACTGAGAGGAATCCCAAAATCCCTGTGGCTACTGGAAAGGGTCCTTGGGTGCCCTGCATCACTTCGAGTAGCGTCCCTTTTGCCCTGCCAAGCCTCGAAGAGATTCCTGAGGTGTCCCTCGTTACTTGACAGGAGTCCTGACGTCACTGAATAAACACGTGTTTTGAAGGGCCATCCCCGCCGTAAGTCGAGAACATACCCCAGGTCCCCGCCTCAACTCGAGAAAAACCATGAGACTTCCCCCTAGGATCGAGATGAGGCCCCATTGCACTGCAGTGCATGCAGAGCTATTCCGTGATCCCATTCAAACAAGTCAGGAGCTTCGACTTGCTTAATGGATCTCGAGACAGTCCCCAAGAACACTGTCACCAGTCTAGACGGATCCTGAGGTCACCCCAGCAACGCAAAGCAGCTGCATGTGCCCCAAATCAAATCGAGATGAGGCCCGATTCCCCTGCATTGACTCCAGAGCCATTCCCCGTTCCCCATTCAACACGACCGGTGGCTCGACTTCCTTCAGGCAACTCCAGAAATGCCCTGAGAACACTGTCCCAAGGCTAGAGGAACACCAACTTCAGAACAGCAACTCGAGAAATGCTCCCTGTACCCCAAGTCGTCTCGAGATGAGAGCTGATTCCCTGGCTTAGGCTCAAGACGTATGCTAACTTTCCAGAAGCACCTCAGGAGGAGGTTTCTCTCAGCAATAGGTATGTGGGAGGGACCCCGAGAACGCTGCCTCAAGGGGAATATACAGCGAGAAGCCCTAACTTGAAAGGAGGACGGATTTCCTTGCAGTGGCTTGAATACAGGCTCGTCTTTCATCTCACAACATGAAGGGATGTCTGAATCCCCTGTGGAGACCTTAGAAAAAGGCCCAGTTTGGTGCCTCATTTTGTCGGAATGCCTCACTTCCCGTTGACACCTCGAGAGGCACTCAGAGTTCATTGCTTCAAAAGGTGACGATGCCTGACTCCTTTTGAATACTGATAGGAATCCCAAAATCCCTGTGGCTACAGGAAAGGGTCCTTGGGTGCCCTGCATCACTTCGAGAAGGGTCCCTTTTGCCCTGTCAAGCCTCGAAGAGATTCCTGAGGTGTCCCTCGTTACTAGACTGGAGTCCTGACGTCACTGAAGAAACTCGTGTTTTGAAGGGCCATCCCCGCCGTAAGTCGAGAACATACCCCAGGTCCCCGCCGCAACTCGAGAAAAACCATGAGACTTCCCCCTAGAGGCGAGATGACGCCCCATTCCCCTGCAGTGCATGCAGAGCTATTCCGTGATCCCACTCAAACAAGTCAGGAGCTTCGACTTGCTTAATGGATCTCGAGACAGTCCCCAAGAACACTGTCACCACTCTAGACGGACCCTGATGTCACCCCAGCAATGCAAAGCGGCTCCATGTGCGCCAAATCAACTCGAGATGAGGCCCGATTCCCCTGCATTGACTCCAGAGCCATTCCCCGTTCGCCATTCAACACGACCGGTGGCTCGACTTCCTTCAGGCAACTCCAGAGATGCCCCGAGAACACTGTCCCAAGGCTAGAGGAACACCAACTTCAGCACAGCAACTCGAGGAATGCTCCGTGTACCCCAAATCGTCTCGAGATGAGAGCTGACTCCCTGGCTTAGGCTCAAGACGTATGCAACTTTCCAGAAGCACCTCAGGAGGAGGCTTCTCCCAGCAATAGGTATGTGGGAGGGACTCCGAGATCGCTGCCTCAAGTTTAATATACAGTGAAAAACCCTAACTTGAAAGGAGGCCGGATTTCCTTGCAGTGGCTTGAATATAGGCTCGTCTTTGATCTCAAAACATGAAGGGATCTCTGAATCCCCCGTGGAGACCTTAGAGAAAGCCCTGGATCCCTGCGTCATTTTGACGGAATGCCTCACATCCCGTTGACACCTCGAGAGGCACGCGGAGTTCATTGCTTCAAAAGGTGATGATGCCTGACTTCTCTTGAATACTGATAGGAATCCCAAAATCCCTGTGGCTACTGGAAAGCGTCCTTGGGTGCCCTGCATCACTTCGAGTAGCGTCCCTTTTGCCCTGCCAAGCCTTGAAGAGTTTCCTGAGGTGTCCCTGGTTACTAGACAGGAGTCATGACGTCACTGAAGAAACTCGTGTTTTGAAGGGCTATCCCCGCCGTAAGTCGAGAACATACCCCAGGTCCCCGCCGCAACTCGAGAAAAACCATGAGACTTCCCCCTAGAGGCGAGATGACGCCCCATTCCCCTGCAGTGCATGCAGAGCTATTCCGTGATCCCACTCAAACAAGTCAGGAGCTTCGACTTGCTTAATGGATCTCGAGACAGTCCCCAAGAACACTGTCACCAGTCTAGACGGACCCTGAGGTCACCCCAGCAACGCAAAGCAGCTCCATGTGCCCCAAATCAACTCGAGATGAGGCCCGATTCCCCTGCATTGACTCCAGAGCCATTCCCCTTTCCCCATTCAACACGACCAGTGGCTCGACTTCCTTCAGGCAACTCCAGAGTTGCCCCGAGAACACTGTCCCAAGGCTAGAGGAACACCAACTTCAGCACAGCAACTCGAGGAATGCTCCGTGTACCCCAAATCGTCTCGAGATGAGAGCTGACTCCCTGGCTTAGGCTCAAGACGTATGCAACTTTCCAGAAGCACCTCAGGAGGAGGATTCTCCCAGCAATAGGTATGTGGGAGGGACTCCGAGATCGCTGCCTCAAGTTTAATATACAGTGAAAAACCCTAACTTGAAAGGAGGCCGGATTTCCTTGCAGTGGCTTGAATATAGGCTCGTCTTTGATCTCAAAACATGAAGGGATCTCTGAATCCCCCGTGGAGACCTTAGACAAAGCCCTGGATCCCTGCATCATTTTGACGGAATGCCTCACATCCCGTTGACACCTCGAGAGGCACGCGGAGTTCATTGCTTCAAAAGGTGATGATGCCTGACTCCTCTTGAATACTGATAGGAATCCCAAAATCCCTGTGGCTACTGGAAAGCGTCCTTGGGTGCCCTGCATCACTTCGAGTAGCGTCCCTTTTGCCCTGCCAAGCCTCGAAGAGTTTCCTGAGGTGTCCCTGGTTACTAGACAGGAGTCATGACGTCACTGAAGAAACTCGTGTTTTGAAGGGCTATCCCCGCCGTAAGTCGAGAACATACCCCAGGTCCCCGCCGCAACTCGAGAAAAACCATGAGACTTCCCCCTAGAGGCGAGATGACGCCCCATTCCCCTGCAGTGCATGCAGAGCTATTCCGTGATCCCACTCAAACAAGTCAGGAGCTTCGACTTGCTTAATGGATCTCGAGACAGTCCCCAAGAACACTGTCACCAGTCTAGACGGACCCTGAGGTCACCCCAGCAACGCAAAGCAGCTCCATGTGCCCCAAATCAACTCGAGATGAGGCCCGATTCACCTGCATTGACTCCAGAGCCATTCCCCTTTCCCCATTCAACACGACCAGTGGCTCGACTTCCTTCAGGCAACTCCAGAGTTGCCCCGAGAACACTGTCCCAAGGCTAGAGGAACACCAACTTCAGCACAGCAACTCGAGGTATGCTCCGTGCACCCCAAATCGTCTCGAGATGAGAGCTGATTCCCTGGCTTAGGCTCAAGACGTATGCCAACCTTCCAGAAGCACCACAGGAGGAGGCTTCTCTCAGCAATAGGTATGTGGGAGGGACCCCGAGATAGCTGCCTCAAGTGGAATATACAGCGAGAAGCCCTAACTTGAAAGGAGGCCGGATTTCCTTGCAGTGGCTTGAATACAGGCTCATCTTTCATCTCAAAACATGAAGGGATGCCTGAATCCCCTGTGGAGACCTTAGAGAAAGCGCTAGGTCCCTGCGTCATTTTGAGGTAATGCCTCATATCCCGTTGACACCTCGAGAGGCACTCAGAGTTCATTGCTTCAAAAGGTGTCGATGTCTGACTCCTCTTGAATACTGAGAGGAATCCCAAAATCCCTGTGGCTACTGGAAAGGGTCCTTGGGTGCCCTGCCTCACCTCGAGAAGCGTCCCTTTTGCCCTGCCAAGCCTCGAAGAGATTCCTGAGGTGTCCCTCATTACTAGACAGGAGTCCTGACGTCACTGAATAAAAATGTGTTTTGAAGGGCCATCGTCGCTGTAAGTCGAGAACATACCCCAGGTCCCTGCCGCAATTCGAGAAAAACCATGAGACTTCCCCCTAGAGGCGAGATGAGGCCCCATTCCCCTGCAGTGCATGCAGAGCTATTCCGTGATCCCATTCAAACAAGTCAGGAGCTTCGACTTGCTTAATGGATCTCGAGACAGTCCCCAAGAACACTGTCACCAGTCTAGACGGACCCTGAGGTCACCCCAGCAACGCAAAGCTGTTGCATGTGCCCCAAATCAACTCGAGATGAGGCCCGATTCTCCTGCATTGACTCCAGAGCCATTCCCCGTTCCCCATTCAACACGACCGGTGGCTCGACTTCCTTCAGGCAACTCCAGACATGCCCCGAGAACACTGTCCCAAGGCTAGAGGAACACCAACTTCAGCACAGCAACTCGAGGAATGCTCCGTGTACCCCAAATCGTCTCGAGATGAGAGCTGATTTCCTGGCTTAGGCTCAAGACGTATGCCAACTTTCCAGAAGCACCTCAGGAGGAGGCTTCTTCCAGCAATAGGTATGTGGGAGGGACCCCGATATCGCTGCCTCAAGAGGAATATACAACGAGAAGCCCTAACTTGAAAGGAGGCCGGATTTCCTTGCAGTGGCTTGAATACAGGCTCGTCTTTGATCTCAAAACATGAAGGGATGTCTGAATCCCCTGTGGAGACCTTAGAGAAAGCCAAAGATCCCTGCGTCATTTTGACGGAATGCCTCACATCCCGTTGACATCTCGAGAGGCACGCAGAGTTCATTGTTTCAAAAGGTGACGATGCCTGACTCCTCTTGAATACTGAGAGGAATCCCAAAATCCCTGTGGCTACTGGTAAGGGTCCTTGGGTGCCCTGCCTCACCTCGAGAAGCGTCCATTTTGCCCTTCCAAGCCTCGAAGGTATTCCTGAGGTGTTCCTCATTACTAGACAGGAGTCCTGACGTCACTGAATAAACATGTGTTTTGAAGGGCCATCCCCGCTGTAAGTCGAGAACATACCCCAGGTCCCCGCCGCAATTCGAGAAAAACCATGAGACTTCCCCCTAGAAGCGAGATGAGGCCCCATTCCCCTGCAGTGCATGCAGAGCTATTCCATGATCCCATTCAAACAAGTCAGGAGCTTCGACTTGCTTAATGGATCTCGAGACAGTCCCCAAGAACACTGTCACCAGTCTAGACGGACCCTGAGGTCACCCCAGCAACGCAAAGCAGCTGCATGTGCCCCAAATCAACTCGAGATGAGGCCCGATTCCCCTGCATTGACTCCAGAGCCATTCCCCGTTCCCCATTCAACACGACCGGTGGCTCGACTTCCTTCAGGCAACTCCAGACATGCCCCGAGAACACTGTCCCAAGTCTAGAGGAACACCAACTTCAGCACAGCAACTCGAGGAATGCTCCGTGTACCCCAAATCGTCTCGAGATCAGAGCTGATTCCCTGGCTTAGGCTCAAGACGTATGCCAACTTTCCAGAAGCACCTCATGAGGAGGCTTCTCCCAGCAATAGGTAGGTGGGAAGGACCCCGATATCGCTGCCTCAAGTGGAATATACAGCGAGAAGCCCTAACTTGAAAGGAGGCCGGATTTCCTTGCAGTGGCTTGAATACAGGCTCGTCTTTGATCTCAAAACATGAAGGGATGTCTGAATCACCTGTGGAGACCTTAGAGAAAGCCCAAGGTCCCTGCGTCATTTTGACGGAATGCCTCACATCCCGTTGACACCTCGAGAGGCACGTAGAGTTCATTGCTTCAAAAGGTGACGATGCCTGACTCCTCTTGAATACTGATAGGAATCCCAAAATCCCTGTGGCTACTTGAAAGGGTCCTTGGGTGCCCTGCCTCACCTCGAGAAGCGTCCATTTTGCCCTGCCAAGCCTCGAAGAGATTCCTGAGGTGTCCCTCATTACTAGACAGGAGTCCTGACGTCACTGAATAAACATGTGTTTTGAAGGGCCATCCTCGCTGTATGTCGAGAACATACCCCAGGTCCCTGCCGCAATTCGAGAAAAACCATGAGACTTCCCCCTAGAGGCGAGATGAGGCCCCATTCCCCTGCAGTGCATGCAGAGCTATTCCGTGATCCCATTCAAACAAGTCAGGAGGTTCGACTTGCTTAATGGATCTCGAGACAGTCCCCAAGAACACTGTCACCAGTCTAGACGGACCCTGAGGTCACCCCAGCAACGCAAATGAGCTGCTTGTGCCCCAAATCAAGTCGAGATGAGGCCGGATTCCCCTGCATTGACTCCAGAGCCATTCCCCGTTCCCCATTCAACACGACCGGTGCCTCGACTTCCTTCAGGCAACTCCAGACATGCCCCGAGAACACTGACCCAAGGCTAGAGGAACACCAACATCAGCACAGCAACTCGAGGAATGCTCCGTGTACCCCAAGTCGTCTCGAGATGAGAGCTGATTCCCTGGCTTAGGCTCAAGACATATGCCAACTTTCCAGAAGCACCTCAGGAGGAGGTTTCTCCCAGCAATACGTATGTGCGAGTGACCCCGAGATAGCTGCCTCAAGGGGAATATACAGCGCGAAGCCCTAACTTGAAAGGAGGCCGGATTTCCTTGCAGTGGCTTGAATACAGGCTCGTCTTTCATCTCACAACATGAAGGGATGTCTGAATCCCCTGTGGAGACCTTAGAAAAAGCCCTAGGTCCCTGCGTCATTTTGACGGAATGCCTCACATCCCGTTGACACCTCGAGAGGCACTCAAAGTTCATTGCTTCAAAAGGTGACGATGCCTGACTCCTTTTGAATACTGATAGGAATCCCAAAATCCCTGTGGCTACTGGAAAGGGTCCTTGGGTGCCCTGCCTCACCTCGAAAAGCGTCCCTTTTGCCCTGGCAAGCCTCGAAGAGATTCCTGAGGTGTCCCTCGTTACTAGACTGGAGTCCTGACGTCACTGAAGAAACTTGTGTTTTGAAGGGCCATCCCTGCCGTAAGTCGAGAACATACCCCAGGTCCCCGCCGCAATTTGAGAAAAACCATGAGACTTCCCCCTAGAGGCGAGATGACGCCCCATTCCCCTGCAGTGCATGCAGAGCTATTCCGTGATCCCACTCAAACAAGTCAGGAGCTTCGACTTGCTTAATGGATCTCGAGTCAGTCCCCAAGAACACTGTCACCAGTCTAGACGGACCCTGAGGTCACCCCAGCAACGCAAAGCAGCTCCATGTGCCTCAAATCAACCCGAGATGAGGCCCAATTCCCCTACATTGACTCCAGAGCCATTCCCCGTTCCACATTCAACACGACCAGTGGCTCGACTTCCTTCAGGCAACTCCAGAGTTGCCCCGAGAACACTGTCCCAAGGCTAGAGGAACACCAACTTCAGCACAGCAACTCGAGGAATGCTCCGTGTACCCCAAATTGTCTCGAGATCAGTGCTGATTCCCTGGCTTAGGCTCAAGACGTATGCCAACTTTCCAGAAGCACCTCAGGAGTAGGCTTCTACCAGCAATAGGTATGTGGGAGGAACCCCGAGATCGCTGCCTCAAGTGGAATATACAGCGAGAAGCCCTAACTTGAAAGGAGGCCGGATTTCCTTGCAGTGGCTTGAATACAGGCTCGTCTTTGATCTCAAAACATGAATGGATCTCTGAATCCCCCGTGGAGACCTTAGAGAAAGCCGTGGATCCCTGCGTCATTTTGACGGAATGCCTCACATCCCGTTGACACCTCGAGAGGAACGCGGAGTTCATTGCTTCAAAAGGTGACGATGCCTGACTCCTCTTGAATGCTGATAGGAATCCCAAAATCCCTGTGGCTACTGGAAAGGGTCCTTGGGTGCCCTGGATCACTTCGAGTAGCGTCCCTTTTGCCCTGCCAAGCCTCGAAGAGTTTCCTGAGTTGTCCCTGGTTACTAGACAGGAGTCCTGACGTCACTGAAGAAACTCGTGTTTTGAAGGGCCATCCCCGCCGTAAGTCGAGAACATATCCCAGGTCCCCGCTGCAACTCGAGAAAAACCATGAGACTTCCCCCTAGAGGCGAGATGAGGCCGCATTCCCCTGCAGTGCATGCAGAGCTATTCCGTGATCCCATTCAAACAAGTCAGGAGCTTCGACTTGCTTAATGGATCTCGAGACAGTTTCCAAGAACACTGTCACCAGTCTAGACGGACCCTGAGGTCACCCCAGCAAGGCAAAGCTGTTGCATGTGCCCCAAATCAACTCGAGATGAGGCCCGATTCCCCTGCATTGACTCCAGAGCCATTCCCCGTTCCCCATTCAACACGACCGGTGGCTCGACTTCCTTCAGGCAACTCCAGACATGCCCCGAGAACACTGTCCCAAGGCTAGAGGAACACCAACTTCAGCACAGCAACTCGAGGAATGCTCCGTGTACCCCAAATCGTCTCGAGATGAGAGCTGATTCCCTGGCTTAGGCTCAAGACGTATGCCAACTTTCCAGAAGCACCTCAGGAGGAGGCTTCTCCCAGCAATAGGTATGTGGGAGGGACCCCGATATCGCTGCCTCAAGTGGAATATACAGCGAGAAGCCCTTACTTGAAAGGAGGCTGATTTCCTTGCAGTGGCTTGAATACAGGCTCGTCTTTGATCTCAAAACATGAAGGGATGTCTGAATCCCCTGTGGAGACCTTAGAGAAAGCCAAAGGACCCTGCGTCATTTTGACGGAATGCCTCACATCCCGTTGACATCTCGAGAGGCACGCAGAGTTCATTGCTTCAAAAGGTGACGATGCCTGACTCCTCTTGAATACTGAGAGGAATCCCAAAATCCCTGTGGCTACTGGAAAGGGTCTTTGGGTGCCCTGCCTCACCTCGAGAAGCGTCCCTTTTGCCCTGCCAAGCCTCGAAGAGATTCCTGAGGTGTCCCTCATTACTAGACAGGAGTCCTGAGGTCACTGAATAAACATGTGTTTTGAAGGGCCATCCCCGCTGTAAGTCGAGAACATATCCCAGGTCCCCGCCGCAATTCGAGAAAAACCAGGAGACTTTCCCCTAGGATCGAGATGAGGCCCCATTCCCCTGCAGTGCATGCAGAGCTATTCCGTGATCCCATTCAAACAAGTCAGGAGCTTCGACTTGCTTAATGGATCTCGAGACAGTCCCCAAGAACACTGTCACCAGTCTAGACGGATCCTGAGGTCACCCCAGCAACGCAAAGCAGATGCATGTGCCCCAAATCAACTCGCGATGAGGCCCGATTCCCCTGCATTGACTCCAGAGCCATTCCCCGTTCCCCATTCAACACGACCGGTGGCTCGACTTCCTTCAGGCAACTCCAGACATGCCCCGAGAACACTGTCCCAAGGCTAGAGGAACACCAACTTCAGCACAGCAACTCGAGGAATGCTCCGTGTACCCCAAATCGTCTCGAGATGAGAGCTGATTCCCTGGCTTAGGCTCAAGACGTATGCAACTTTCCAGAAGCACCTCAGGAGGAGGCTTCTCCAAGCAATAGGTAGGTGGGAGGGACCCCGATATCGCTGCCTCAAGTGGAATATACAGCGAGAAGCCCTAACTTGAAAGGAGGCCGGATTTCCTTGCAGTGGCTTGAATACAGGCTCGTCTTTGATCTCAAAACATGAAGGGATGTCTGAATCCCCAGTGGAGACCTTAGAGAAAGCCCAAGGTCCCTGCGTCATTTTGACGGAATGCCTCACATCCCGTTGACACCTCGAGAGGCACGTAGAGTTCATTGCTTCAAAAGGTGACGATGCCTGACTCCTCTTGAATACTGATAGGAATCCCAAAATCCCTGTGGCTACTTGAAAGGGTCCTTGGGTGCCCTGCCTCACCTCGAGAAGCGTCCATTTTGCCCTGCCAAGCCTCGAAGAGATTCCTGAGGTGTCCCTCATTACTAGACAGGAGTCCTGACGTCACTGAATAAACATGTGTTTTGAAGGGCCATCCTCGCTGTATGTCGAGAACATACCCCAGGTCCCTGCCGCAATTCGAGAAAAACCATGAGACTTCCCCCTAGAGGCAAGATGAGGCCCCATTCCCCTGCAGTGCATGCAGAGCTATTCCGTGATCCCATTCAAACAAGTCAGGAGCTTCGACTTGCTTAATGGATCTCGAGACAGTCCCCAAGAACACTGTCACCAGTCTAGACGGACCCTGAGGTCACCCCAGCAACGCAAATGAGCTGCTTGTGCCCCAAATCAAGTCGAGATGAGGCCGGATTCCGCTGCATTGACTCCAGAGCCATTCCCCGTTCCCCATTCAACACGACCGGTGCCTCGACTTCCTTCAGGCAACTCCAGACATGCCCCGAGAACACTGACCCAAGGCTAGAGGAACACCAACATCAGCACAGCAACTCGAGGAATGCTCCGTGTACCACAAGTCGTCTCGAGATGAGAGCTGATTCCCTGGCTTAGGCTCAAGACATATGCCAACTTTCCAGAAGCACCTCAGGAGGAGGTTTCTCCCAGCAATAGGTATGTGCGAGTGACCCCGAGATAGCTGCCTCAAGGGGAATATACAGCGCGAAGCCCTAACTTGAAAGGAGGCCGGATTTCCTTGCAGTGGCTTGAATACAGGCTCGTCTTTCATCTCACAACATGAAGGGATGTCTGAATCCCCTGTGGAGACCTTAGAAAAAGCCCTAGGTCCCTGCGTCATTTTGACGGAATGCCTCACATCCCGTTGACACCTCGAGAGGCACTCAAAGTTCATTGCTTCAAAAGGTGACGATGCCTGACTCCTTTTGAATACTGATAGGAATCCCAAAATCCCTGTGGCTACTGGAAAGGGTCCTTGGGTGCGCTGTCTCACCTCGAGAAGCGTCCCTTTTGCCCTGGCAAGCCTCGAAGAGATTCCTGAGGTGTCCCTCGTTACTAGACTGGAGTCCTGACGTCACTGAAGAAACTTGTGTTTTGAAGGGCCATCCCTGCCGTAAGTCGAGAACATACCCCAGGTCCCCGCCGCAATTTGAGAAAAACCATGAGACTTCCCCCTAGAGGCGAGATGACGCCCCATTCCCCTGCAGTGCATGCAGAGCTATTCCGTGATCCCACTCAAACAAGTCAGGAGCTTCGACTTGCTTAATGGATCTCGAGTCAGTCCCCAAGAACACTGTCACCAGTCTAGACGGACCCTGAGGTCACCCCAGCAACGCAAAGCAGCTCCATGTGCCTCAAATCAACCCGAGATGAGGCCCAATTCCCCTACATTGACTCCAGAGCCATTCCCCGTTCCACATTCAACACGACCAGTGGCTCGACTTCCTTCAGGCAACTCCAGAGTTGCCCCGAGAACACTGTCCCAAGGCTAGAGGAACACCAACTTCAGCACAGCAACTCGAGGAATGCTCCGTGTACCCCAAATTGTCTCGAGATCAGTGCTGATTCCCTGGCTTAGGCTCAAGACGTATGCCAACTTTCCAGAAGCACCTCAGGAGTAGGCTTCTACCAGCAATAGGTATGTGGGAGGAACCCCGAGATCGCTGCCTCAAGTGGAATATACAGCGAGAAGCCCTAACTTGAAAGGAGGCCGGATTTCCTTGCAGTGGCTTGAATACAGGCTCGTCTTTGATCTCAAAACATGAATGGATCTCTGAATCCCCTGTGGAGACCTTAGAGAAAGCCGTGGATCCCTGCGTCATTTTGACGGAATGCCTCACATCCCGTTGACACCTCGAGAGGAACGCGGAGTTCATTGCTTCAAAAGGTGACGATGCCTGACTCCTCTTGAATGCTGATAGGAATCCCAAAATCCCTGTGGCTACTGGAAAGGGTCCTTGGGTGCCCTGGATCACTTCGAGTAGCGTCCCTTTTGCCCTGCCAAGCCTCGAAGAGTTTCCTGAGTTGTCCCTGGTTACTAGACAGGAGTCCTGACGTCACTGAAGAAACTCGTGTTTTGAAGGGCCATCCCCGCCGTAAGTCGAGAACATATCCCAGGTCCCCGCTGCAACTCGAGAAAAACCATGAGACTTCCCCCTAGAGGCGAGATGAGGCCGCATTCCCCTGCAGTGCATGCAGAGCTATTCCGTGATCCCATTCAAACAAGTCAGGAGCTTCGACTTGCTTAATGGATCTCGAGACAGTTTCCAAGAACACTGTCACCAGTCTAGACGGACCCTGAGGTCACCCCAGCAACGCAAAGCTGTTGCATGTGCCCCAAATCAACTCGAGATGAGGCCCGATTCCCCTGCATTGACTCCAGAGCCATTCCCCGTTCCCCATTCAACACGACCGGTGGCTCGACTTCCTTCAGGCAACTCCAGACATGCCCCGAGAACACTGTCCCAAGGCTAGAGGAACACCAACTTCAGCACAGCAACTCGAGGAATGCTCCGTGTACCCCAAATCGTCTCGAGATGAGAGCTGATTCCCTGGCTTAGGCTCAAGACGTATGCCAACTTTCCAGAAGCACCTCAGGAGGAGGCTTCTCCCAGCAATAGGTATGTGGGAGGGACCCCGATATCGCTGCCTCAAGTGGAATATACAGCGAGAAGCCCTTACTTGAAAGGAGGCTGATTTCCTTGCAGTGGCTTGAATACAGGCTCGTCTTTGATCTCAAAACATGAAGGGATGTCTGAATCCCCTGTGGAGACCTTAGAGAAAGCCAAAGGACCCTGCGTCATTTTGACGGAATGCCTCACATCCCGTTGACATCTCGAGAGGCACGCAGAGTTCATTGCTTCAAAAGGTGACGATGCCTGACTCCTCTTGAATACTGAGAGGAATCCCAAAATCCCTGTGGCTACTGGAAAGGGTCTTTGGGTGCCCTGCCTCACCTCGAGAAGCGTCCCTTTTGCCCTGCCAAGCCTCGAAGAAATTCCTGAGGTGTCCCTCATTACTAGACAGGAGTCCTGAGGTCACTGAATAAACATGTGTTTTGAAGGGCCATCCCCGCTGTAAGTCGAGAACATATCCCAGGTCCCCGCCGCAATTCGAGAAAAACCAGGAGACTTTCCCCTAGGATCGAGATGAGGCCCCATTCCCCTGCAGTGCATGCAGAGCTATTCCGTGATCCCATTCAAACAAGTCAGGAGCTTCGACTTGCTTAATGGATCTCGAGACAGTCCCCAAGAACACTGTCACCAGTCTAGACGGATCCTGAGGTCACCCCAGCAACGCAAAGCAGATGCATGTGCCCCAAATCAACTCGCGATGAGGCCCGATTCCCCTGCATTGACTCCAGAGCCATTCCCCGTTCCCCATTCAACACGACCGGTGGCTCGACTTCCTTCAGGCAACTCCAGACATGCCCCGAGAACACTGTCCCAAGGCTAGAGGAACACCAACTTCAGCACAGCAACTCGAGGAATGCTCCGTGTACCCCAAATCGTCTCGAGATGAGAGCTGATTCCCTGGCTTAGGCTCAAGACGTATGCAACTTTCCAGAAGCACCTCAGGAGGAGGCTTCTCCAAGCAATAGGTAGGTGGGAGGGACCCCGATATCGCTGCCTCAAGTGGAATATACAGCGAGAAGCCCTAACTTGAAAGGAGGCCGGATTTCCTTGCAGTGGCTTGAATACAGGCTCGTCTTTCATCTCAAAACATGAAGGGATGTCTGAATCCCCAGTGGAGACCTTAGAGAAAGCCCAAGGTCCCTGCGTCATTTTGACGGAATGCCTCACATCCCGTTGACACCTCGAGAGGCACGTAGAGTTCATTGCTTCAAAAGGTGACGATGCCTGACTCCTCTTGAATACTGATAGGAATCCCAAAATCCCTGTGGCTACTTGAAAGGGTCCTTGGGTGCCCTGCCTCACCTCGAGAAGCGTCCATTTTGCCCTGCCAAGCCTCGAAGAGATTCCTGAGGTGTCCCTCATTACTAGACAGGAGTCCTGACGTCACTGAATAAACATGTGTTTTGAAGGGCCATCCTCGCTGTATGTCGAGAACATACCCCAGGTCCCTGCCGCAATTCGAGAAAAACCATGAGACTTCCCCCTAGAGGCAAGATGAGGCCCCATTCCCCTGCAGTGCATGCAGAGCTATTCCGTGATCCCATTCAAACAAGTCAGGAGCTTCGACTTGCTTAATGGATCTCGAGACAGTCCCCAAGAACACTGTCACCAGTCTAGACGGACCCTGAGGTCACCCCAGCAACGCAAATGAGCTGCTTGTGCCCCAAATCAAGTCGAGATGAGGCCGGATTCCGCTGCATTGACTCCAGAGCCATTCCCCGTTCCCCATTCAACACGACCGGTGCCTCGACTTCCTTCAGGCAACTCCAGACATGCCCCGAGAACACTGACCCAAGGCTAGAGGAACACCAACATCAGCACAGCAACTCGAGGAATGCTCCGTGTACCACAAGTCGTCTCGAGATGAGAGCTGATTCCCTGGCTTAGGCTCAAGACATATGCCAACTTTCCAGAAGCACCTCAGGAGGAGGTTTCTCCCAGCAATAGGTATGTGCGAGTGACCCCGAGATAGCTGCCTCAAGGGGAATATACAGCGCGAAGCCCTAACTTGAAAGGAGGCCGGATTTCCTTGCAGTGGCTTGAATACAGGCTCGTCTTTCATCTCACAACATGAAGGGATGTCTGAATCCCCTGTGGAGACCTTAGAAAAAGCCCTAGGTCCCTGCGTCATTTTGACGGAATGCCTCACATCCCGTTGACACCTCGAGAGGCACTCAAAGTTCATTGCTTCAAAAGGTGACGATGCCTGACTCCTTTTGAATACTGATAGGAATCCCAAAATCCCTGTGGCTACTGGAAAGGGTCCTTGGGTGCGCTGTCTCACCTCGAGAAGCGTCCCTTTTGCCCTGGCAAGCCTCGAAGAGATTCCTGAGGTGTCCCTCGTTACTAGACTGGAGTCCTGACGTCACTGAAGAAACTTGTGTTTTGAAGGGCCATCCCTGCCGTAAGTCGAGAACATACCCCAGGTCCCCGCCGCAATTCGAGAAAAACCATGAGACTTCCCCCTAGAGGCGAGATGACGCCCCATTCCCCTGCAGTGCATGCAGAGCTATTCCGTGATCCCACTCAAACAAGTCAGGAGCTTCGACTTGCTTAATGGATCTCGAGTCAGTCCCCAAGAACACTGTCACCAGTCTAGACGGACCCTGAGGTCACCCCAGCAACGCAAAGCAGCTCCATGTGCCTCAAATCAACCCGAGATGAGGCCCAATTCCCCTACATTGACCCCAGAGCCATTCCCCGTTCCACATTCAACACGACCAGTGGCTCGACTTCCTTCAGGCAACTCCAGAGTTGCCCCGAGAACACTGTCCCAAGGCTAGAGGAACACCAACCTCAGCACAGCAACTCGAGGAATGCTCCGTGTACCCCAAATTGTCTCGAGATCAGAGCTGATTCCCTGGCTTAGGCTCAAGACGTATGCCAACTTTCCAGAAGCACCTCAGGAATAGGCTTCTACCAGCAATAGGTATGTGGGAGGGACCCCGAGATCGCTGCCTCAAGTGGAATATACAGCGAGAAGCCCTAACTTGAAAGGAGGCCGGATTTCCTTGCAGTGGCTTGAATACAGGCTCGTCTTTGATCTCAAAACATGAATGGATCTCTGAATATCCCGTGGAGACCTTAGAGAAAGCCCTGGATCCCTGCGTCATTTTGACGGAATGACTCACATCCCGTTGACACCTCGAGAGGAACGCGGAGTTCATTGCTTCAAAAGGTGACAATGCCTGACTCCTCTTGAATACTGATAGGAATCCCAAAATCCCTGTGGCTACTGGAAAGGGTCCTTGGGTGCCCTGGATCACTTCGAGTAGCGTCCCTTTTGCCCTGCCAAGCCTCGAAGAGTTTCCTGAGTTGTCCCTGGTTACTAGACAGGAGTCCTGACGTCACTGAAGAAACTCGTGTTTTGAAGGGCCATCCCCGCCGTAAGTCGAGAACATATCCCAGGTCCCCGCTGCAACTCGAGAAAAACCATGAGACTTCCCCCTAGAGGCGAGATGAGGCCGCATTCCCCTGCAGTGCATGCAGAGCTATTCCGTGATCCCATTCAAACAAGTCAGGAGCTTCGACTTGCTTAATGGATCTCGAGACAGTTTCCAAGAACACTGTCACCAGTCTAGACGGACCCTGAGGTCACCCCAGCAAGGCAAAGCTGTTGCATGTGCCCCAAATCAACTCGAGATGAGGCCCGATTCCCCTGCATTGACTCCAGAGCCATTCCCCGTTCCCCATTCAACACGACCGGTGGCTCGACTTCCTTCAGGCAACTCCAGACATGCCCCGAGAACACTGTCCCAAGGCTAGAGGAACACCAACTTCAGCACAGCAACTCGAGGAATGCTCCGTGTACCCCAAATCGTCTCGAGATGAGAGCTGATTCCCTGGCTTAGGCTCAAGACGTATGCCAACTTTCCAGAAGCACCTCAGGAGGAGGCTTCTCCCAGCAATATGTATGTGGGAGGGACCCCGATATCGCTGCCTCAAGTGGAATATACAGCGAGAAGCCCTAACTTGAAAGGAGGCCTGATTTCCTTGCAGTGGCTTGAATACAGGCTCGTCTTTGATCTCAAAACATGAAGGGATGTCTGAATCCCCTGTGGAGACCTTAGAGAAAGCCAAAGGACCCTGCGTCATTTTGACGGAATGCCTCACATCCCGTTGACATCTCGAGAGGCACGCAGAGTTCATTGCTTCAAAAGGTGACGATGCCTGACTCCTCTTGAATACTGAGAGGAATCCCAAAATCCCTGTGGCTACTGGAAAGGGTCTTTGGGTGCCCTGCCTCACCTCGAGAAGCGTCCCTTTTGCCCTGCCAAGCCTCGAAGAGATTCCTGAGGTGTCCCTCATTACTAGACAGGAGTCCTGAGGTCACTGAATAAACATGTGTTTTGAAGGGCCATCCCCGCTGTAAGTCGAGAACATACCCCAGGTCCCCGCCGCAATTCGAGAAAAACCAGGAGACTTTCCCCTAGGATCGAGATGAGGCCCCATTCCCCTGCAGTGCATGCAGAGCTATTCCGTGATCCCATTCAAACAAGTCAGGAGCTACGACTTGCTTAATGGATCTCGAGACAGTCCCCAAGAACACTGTCACCAGTCTAGACGGATCCTGAGGTCACCCCAGCAACGCAAAGCAGATGCATGTGCCCCAAATCAACTCGCGATGAGGCCCGATTCCCCTGCATTGACTCCAGAGCCATTCCCCGTTCCCCATTCAACACGACCGGTGGCTCGACTTCCTTCAGGCAACTCCAGACATGCCCCGAGAACACTGTCCCAAGGCTAGAGGAACACCAACTTCAGCACAGCAACACGAGGAATGCTCCGTGTACCCCAAATCGTCTCGAGATGAGAGCTGATTCCCTGGCTTAGGCTCAAGACGTATGCAACTTTCCAGAAGCACCTCAGGAGGAGGCTTCTCCAAGCAATAGGTATGTGGGAGGGACCCCAAGATCGCTGCCTCAAGTGGAATATACAGTGAAAAACCCTAACTTGAAAGGAGGCCGGATTTCCTTGCAGTGGCT